AATCCAAACTCAAAACACATTTGTTTTGAACAGCACACTCTTTCCTTTTTATAATTATATTTTAGGAGTTTTTAATCATTATTTTATAGAACTATACAGAGAGAGGGGAAGGATCAGCAAAGGACCTCCATCCAGGACTCAAACTCAGGTCACTGTGAGCACCTCACTGCTATATGTTGATGCACTACCACTAGGCTATTTATAACTTGTTGTTTAACTAATTGTTTACTTTGTTTTCCATTAATTTAAATGCTCTTGTGTTGATTTGTATGTATGTATGTATGTATGTACCCTGTACTGTTAAGGCTGATTTATACTTCTGAGTGCAAGCGCAAGCGTATGCTTCAGCACAGCTTTCGCGCAGTCACAAAGCCCTCACCGTGGCTGAGTGTGGGTGGGACAGAGAGCCGGGCGAACCCGGTTGAGCGAGTGTTTACAAGTTTCAAGTTGCATGAAGAAGCGCCATTCGTAGACTTTTGTTTTGTGTTTACCTTATGAATAAAGTTGTTGCATGTCCACCGGTTCCCGGGTTTAGCTACTTCTACATTGTAAGTTAACGTTCAGAAAAAACAAACACTAGCGAATAAACTCGACGCAGAGGAACACAAACAGCAAGCAGAACTATAAAGGCACAGCAACCTGCAGATCATGCGCACTCACACGATCAGACACAGAAGTATAAACCAGCCTTTGAACTTTTTCTCAATTTTACAGTTATTTATTGCAAAAACTCCCAGTAAAATACTATACATTCTTTACAGTTTATTACTGTAATATGCACTGCATTGTGTGTAATTTTAAAAACTATTACAGTAACTTTCTGCATATGAGGAATTTGCAGTGTTCTACTGTAATCAAAGTAGTCAAAGACAAGAATGAAGTTGAAGACAAAATGAAACGTTCATAAAAATTATTATTAAAATCTTGTATCGCAAAATGTACTTATAAGATTGATGAATGAAAATTACTTTTGTAGACAGTTTAAAATGGATATAATGACAATGAATAATAAAAATACTGCTGTATACTGTATCTTGTCATTTGTTTTGAATTTTTTAATTCAATAGTAAATACTAAAAGTAAAGGTTTTGTACTGCCGGTGTAAAATGTAAATAAATGGAAATGTACAAATGATCATATTGTAAAATTGAAATGTGGTAATGGGCATTTTTCCATAAAAGAAGTTGTAGTAAGGCTATTTGGCTGTAAAATGAAATTGCGGTATAGGGCCCTGCTGCTGTGAAACATATTTACAGGTAAGTTACTGTAAAGGGGCAGTTGCAGTAAATTGCTGGCAGCAGTGCTGTAACAGTGCAGTAAACAACTGCAAAAATACTATAAAATATCTAACAATGTGAGATCCTGAAAAACCACAAAAAGTGAACTGTGTTTGAGCACGCTTGGCGAATAAAATTCATTCTGTTTATGATTCTATTGATGCCGACAGCCTACTCTCTCTCTCTAAGCGCAACAGCAATTTGCTGTAAAAATTGATTGTATTTTTTTACATAATTGTTTTTATGGGTTTTCACCTTTTATTGGGATAGGACAGTGGAGGTTACAGAAAGGAAAGTATTGGGAGCAGAGAGAGGGGAAGGTGCTCAATGTTGGCGCACTTAACCACTAGGCTATTGGTGCCAACATTTTTTTGTGTTTAAATAAAATGCAGTATTATTATAATTAATAGGCTCAGAGGAAGACGGCTTTAGAGAGACCAGATATTTGCATGAACAATTTCAGGAAATGTGCAATAAAGAGGTGATTCTTTATGAGAAAGATAGTGTTTTTTTTTAACCTTGAATGCATGTAAACCTATTTTATGCACCTCTAAAACAAAATAAGGAACATTTAAAATAGCATTAAACATTTAAAACAACTTTAGGTTTGCTAATAGTGTATGCAAAGTGGTTTTAATGGATCAGCAGTTTCCTGATCGATTCTAAAAAAAACTCATTTATCTATATCTTACGAGTTTCCATTTTTGTGCTAACAGTAATTACTTGAAAAGGCTTAATGAATGAAATGAAATATGCTGTTACAAAAGGAGAAAGTGAGGAAGTCATAATAAACTTCTTATCGACTTTTGAGTGGTCAACCAGCAATGCAAATTCACCCACAATTGCATCCCATCTTTCCTGATTTGAATGTAAATTTGCCTGGACATCCATTTTGAATACGTGGAAACTCAGCTGGATGTTCAGAGCAAGTGTGCTGTTGTGATTTTACATGTTGCAGGTTACTCTTTTTTTAGTGAAGAATCATTTCATACCAACTAAACCTACTGTGGCCTTGCTTTCAAGCCTGAATGGAAAGATTGATTGCACCTTTCTCAACTGTGAGTCTGAGGGCTCTCAGCATAAACCACAACACATCGAAGTAACACAACACATAAGCTTTTGTTGCTGTAGAAGTTGCCTTTACTGTACACAGTAACTACCTGTACTATTAAAGTGCAAAAATATATGCCATTGCCAAAGAGCATTATGTATTGAAAATATTGGTGACTTTTCCAATAAGATTGTATTAGTTAATGTTAGTTATTGCATTTACTAACATGAACAAACAATAAACAATACATTTACAGTATTTGTTCATGTAAGTTAAGGTTAGTTAATGAAGTTCATTACTAATTCATGTTAACTCACAGTGAATTAATGTTAACAAGCATTACTGGATGTTAGTAATGGATTAGTTATTATGTAAATAGATATTATACTTGCAGATGACATTTCCTATAAAAAAAACTACAATTGAATCAACTGAAACTGAACTGACTGATAAAAACAATTACACAATTAGATTGTGGGCCTTTAAACTAAATATTGTCCTGTTGAATATCATGTTTTGGCTTATGAACTGAAACATGAAATTTACTCATATTTTATAAAATGAGAGGCTGTGTGGTTGTGTTTTTATAGAGGCCCGTGCAGAGACCGTCCAAAGGGCATGTGCAGGATAAATTTTTAGAAGGGGGGGTTGGGGGGAGCGGTGTTGTCGCGCGCGTTCTGATCAGCTGTGTTGTCGCGCGCCTACTGAAGGGCGGGACCAAGGGTGTGTTGCGTCGCGGGGGCACTTTTGATCATTTTGGAAGGGCACTTTCTATCCAAGACTAAAAAGGGCATGTGCACTGCACAGGTTGAGCCCTATGTGTGCACGTGCCTGGGCCTATGTAGCCTCCTCATATAAACATTCTTAGACTATTCCTGGTTTTATCCCAAAAAATGTTTTTGATTTGTTTTGTTTTTTGTAAGACTTGCTTACAGACAGAGATTGCTTTAATTTATTCATTCATTTTGTTCGGCTTAGTCTCAATTATAAAGGTCGCCAGAGCGGAATAAACCACCTGCTTCGATTACACTAAATTTCTTAGACTATTCCTGGTGTTATCCCAAAAAATCATTTTGATTTGTTTTGTTTTTTTATAAGACTTGCTTACAGACAGAGATTGCTTTAATTTATTCATTCATTTTCTTCGGCTTAGTCTCAATTATAAAGGTCGCCATAGCGGAATAAACCACCTGCTTCGATTACACTAAATTTATTTTTAATTGCAGTTAATATGTTACCACATGAAAGGTAAATTACATTGCTAACCAAATGTGCATTTTAGACAATAAAACAATAATATTTCAATTAAAAATAACTTTTTTAATACAATTAAAAATGTACTTAATTTAAGTGATTCCATGCAAAATCTTAAGCATCATTAGTCTTCAGTGTTTCATGATCTTTCAAAAACCATTCTAAGTTGTTGATTTGCTGCTGTATTCTGATCAATTATTATTTATGTCCAATCATGGCGTTTCATATTCTTATAATTCATTTAAAAGTACGTTTTTATTTTCATATTTTTTTGTGGAAACAATGATAGGCCTACATATTTTGGTTCCAAAAAGCAACTTATATTAGAAATTAGTTATTTTGTAACACTATAAACCCCTTTCATGTTTTCAACACTGATAATAATCAGACATCAAGAAGCGAATTTGCCATTTTAAATTATTTTGGAAGAATCATGGGACATTTAAACGATGTTCAAAATGACAGGAATTAATTGCCTATTTAACTTTACTCACATAGAAATCCTCTTAAAGCAATATTTTGCACTATCAGGCCTACTACTTTTATTATACTTTTTGCTTGTGAAAGAAACGCAGGCTGAGCAGAAGAGACTTTTTCTGTTTTTCAGTTAAGGCACTCACTATTGGTGAACTAACTCAACTACAACATGATTCACAAGAGTTTATGTGTTAATAATGGCTACATTAAATACTTGTGGGTACATGTTATTAATTAATGTATTAATTAACATTTAAGTTTAAGCTAAATGTAACCAACATGAACTCAAGAGATGTTAATGACAGTTATGTCATGACTTTACTTGGAGGGGCACATCATCATTAACTCACCCTTAACTACTCAGTTGACTGTTAGGTTGGGGTTAGGATTAGTGTAAATTGACATGTACTTGCAATTAAGTAAATTGTACTGTAAAGTAGCACAGATATTAAGCAGACAGTCTACTGATACTCAAATTGACCATCAAAATAGTGTTTCCTTGTATATTAACAGCTTAAAGCAGTTTATTAAGCATAAACTAATGTGGCAAATAATACATTAATTAACAATCATGTACTAACAAGTAGCCGTTATTCACACATGAACTCATGTGACTAATGTTGTAGTTATATAGTTCATGATTAGCACATGCCTTAAGAATCATTAGTTCACAATAAAGTAATGTTTAGTTTACATATTAAACATCATTATTCATGTAACGTACTATTATTGTAAAGTGTTACTGTCCATGTTTCTCAACTATTGACTGGTCATTCACAGTAAGCACGACGCTCCAAAATACCTCGTAATATATGAGCCAAAGAGAAGCTGTCAGTCTCAGGGGTCTCATTGACTGTTGTGCTGTTTTTTAGCTTTTCTCGTTTTCAAGAGGCTGTTAGTCTCATCTGTATTCTTCCACGCGGTTTCCTCCTCCCCTACAGGCGTGTTTTGACTTGACAAAGTTGCGCGTGCTTCCTGGTTTGAAGCGCTGTGACCTCAGGTACGCCGCAAAACTCCAACAACGAGCCACTTCTGCTGCTCCTCGGACATCTGTGCTCCACGCTCCCAGCTGCACACCCGACCAGGGATTACACGTTTGCTGTTTTCTTCAAAATTCCCAGCTCTGCCGAGATGCATTTAAACTTTAACTGTGGCTGAAGCGCGTGCCTCCACCCGCTTTATCAGGAAGAGTTTGAGAGTAAAGTGTCCGGGCTTCTTAAGAACAAACTCAAGCAAGCACCCATCTTCGCATTGAAAGGCAAAGATGTCCGATTCGGCGTCTAGTTTTCTCCATATCGGGGATATTGTGTCCCTGTATGCAGAAGGAACTGTCAATGGTTTTATAAGCACACTGGGGTGAGTGTCTTTCTCATTGACTTTTACTGTACGTCTTCCTGCCTGTGTGCGTTTTACTGTAGTCTGTCTTCACCTCAACCCAAGAAGATACTGCACCAGATGTTTTAGCTGGATTTAAAGCTTTCGCAGTTAATATGCTGAAATCCTAGACATTGATTATTGATTAATAATTAAATGACTAAATAAATCAAGTGGCTGCATTTTGCTCTTCAGCTCGAAGGCTTTGCTCCTTTTCTGTGCTAGTTGGTTGTACAGTGGCTTACTTTTACTCTGCACTTTGATGTGTTTTGAGTGTTTTGGTTTGCAAAAAGAAAGGGAGATATGAAAACAGGTGTGCAGAAGTTGATGTGAAAAAGAAAGCTTAGATTGTAAATCATATTTTCAATCATAGAGTAAGGTATTCTGCACCCACATGTACTGTAAATGTGAATGTGGATAAAACAAATGAATATAAGCAATACAAACAGCTTTTTGTTCTTAAACCAAAATTAAATGCTCTAACTGATATTTTTATTATAAACTGTTAAGAGGTCATCAGTTTGCTGAATAAAAGAAATTACAGAAACTCATAAATCATAAATCCAGAGAGTTTTCATAGCTGTACGTTTAAGTAACATTTAAATAACATGTACAGCTGAAGTCAGTGTTGTGAGTGATCATTAGCAATAGTAATATTCCACATTTTTTGGAACTTTTTTGATATCAATAATTAATATACAGTTGAAGTCAGAATTATTCGCCCCCCTGAATTATTAGCCCCGTTTATTTCCCCCCCTAATTTCTGTTTAACGGAAAGAAGATTTTTTTTCAACAGATTTCTAAATATAATAGTTTTAGTAACTCATTTCTAATAACTGATTTATTTTATCTTTGACATGATGACCGTAAATAATAATTTACTAGATACTTTTCAAGACACTTCTATACAGCTTAAAGTGACATTTAAAGGCTTAACTAGGTTGATTTGGTTAACTAGACAGGTTAGGGTAATTAGGCAAGTTATTGTACAATGATGATTTGTTCTGTAGACTATCAGAAAAAATATAGCTTAAAGGAGCTAATAATTTTGTCCTTCAAAATGGTGTTTAAAAAACTAAAAACTGCTTTTATCCTAGCCATAATAAAACAAATAGGAATTTCTCTTGAAGAAAAAATATTATCAGACATACTGTGAAAATTTCCTTTGCTCTCTTAAACATCATTTGGAAATTATTTTAAAAAGAAACCAAAAAACCAAATGGAGGCTAATAATTCTGACTTCAACTGTATATTCTGTCCTGAACTCTTACTATATTTGATTCAGTTTAAAAAAACTTCTTGTTGACCAATGAGTGACCTGAACACTGTTTTTGTCTCATTTTTACTGCAATCAGAATGATTTTGTGAAAACACCAGACTATTTCTTCAATTAAATTCACAGCCTTGAATTTACATATACAGCACAATGAGACCTTTTAGTCATTGAATAGGAAGAAAGACTATTTAATGCTATTTTCACAGCATGAACTTTTCAGCCCAAATCTTACTGTTGTTTTAATGTCAGGAGGAAATACCACCCCTGTTTTTGGATACAGGCCAGATGCAAGAACAAAAACGATGGAGACAATCATCCTAAAAAGCACACGTTATTCAAGAACGGCACTCCGAAACAGCATTCACAGGCGTCCAGGATTTCTCCTTGGGCTATTTCAGTCATTCTGTTTGACAGGCTCATCGAGTGTCCTATTGAACTGGCCTGTCAACATATAAACACGTTTTAACCTGTTTCCTAGAAACACTCAAAAGTTGCTATTGTTAGTTGCAGGTTACACCTAGAGGTGTTATCAGGATTGATTGGCTTGATAATATACCTAGACCACCAATACATATTTTGCAGAGAATTTGTTTTATATTCTAGTAGGATGTCTGAAGTCTGCAGAAATTGACTCTCAGTCCAGGAATGAAGAACTTTTGAAATTTGTGACCCATCCTTTTTTATGACCGCTGATACAGTTTTATTGAGATGGCTCCATGTGTTTACCTTCCCAGGCTGGTGGATGACCGTTGTGTCGTGGAGCCTGCAAGTGGAGATTTAGAAAACCCTCCCAAAAAATTCAGAGGTATTTTTCAAATGACCTTGAGTCAAGCTAAATGTACTTTTTTTCTCATTGCTCACTTCATTGGAAGCTTAAAGTCTGCATAAAATCTTAGATTTCAGATGAATATTATTATGTACTATAAAACTATAATATTGTTCCAGTGTTATTTTCTCATATATTTTTTCCACATAATTGACTGTTAATTTAAGCATAATCTTTTAAGTTAATTTATTTACTTATTTGCATTATATGGAAATAAGCCATATGACAAGCGGGTAAATATGCACAAGAGTCAGATAAATTTTTTTAATGTATTATTATATTTATTAACATTTTAAAGTTTATTGAAAATATTTGAAATGATAAATGTGTAAATGTATATATATTTTTGAAACAAATATAAATGTCATAATTTGTTTAGAATGATAACCATATTTAATACAACTTTAAGGGCTTAATTTCCTCTTAAATAAAAGTTTGCATTATACTTAATACACAATGTAAGCAATTACAGTTTCAGTATGTAACATGTACACATAGACATCACCTATACAGGGCCTACAGAAAGTCATCATACCCTGTTAAGATCTATACCTTTACTCACATTACACCCTGCTTTCAAAAAACCTTCAGGATAAAGTTGTAGAAAGCCACAGGTTAGGAGAAGGCTGTAAAAATATTCCAAAGGCTGAAAAAGTTATTTGGAATGTGGTTTGATTTCAGACTGTATGACAAATAAAATTATTTTAAATGGGTATGATGATTTTCTATAGGCTGAATAACAGCAGGTTAACTATGTTTCCATGCTATAAATTTACTACAATAATGTGCCCCTTGTGAAACAATAATTATAGTGAAAAGTGCTAAATAAATAAACTTGAATTGAATCAAATTAACATGAACTGAAAATTATAATTTCAGCGTTTAATAATGCATTATACAGTTAAACGTTGTATCTGTTCATATTATTCAATGAACCTGGGAAAAGAAGAACAATGAACTATTTTTTAAATTAAACGTCAGCAAAGATAAAAAACATAACAAAATAGTTTTAATGAATGTTAGTGTGAATAAGCAAGAATTTCCCCAAATAAACTCTTCATAATGTTATAGAGGCTGGGTGTGAAAAGAAGCATGTAAATTATGTCTGGTTTAGAGTTACCTGCCTAGGTAATATTTGCTTTAGTCTTGTTGAGCAAGCTGCTATTAAAATTAGGGCTGGTTTGTTAATGCTCACCGGGTCAGCGATGCAGAAAAAGTAACCTCAAACCATAAACCCCCAAACCATCAAGATCTGATCTGCACACCATTCAAAAGTTCAATTGAAATCATATGCAAGTGAGTACAAATGCTCCCCGGTTACTTTGAATACAAGTTAAATAGTCTGGATTTTTCAATGTTATTTTTTATAATGCAGAATTTTGAGTCATTTGTGTTTCTCCGGTCTCACGAAAACATTGGTTTTGGTGTTTTTTGAAGCATAAACATGTTTTGAACTGTAGAAAGATTTACAATTATGCATTAATCAGCTAACATAAATGTTGTTTAATTTTTGTGTGTTGTTGTTTTTTTAAATGTAGACTGCCTCTTTAAGGTGTATCCCATGAACAGATATTCGGCTCAGAAACAGTTCTGGAAAGCCAAACAGGCCAAACATGAAAAGGATAAAATTGGAGACATGGTGCTTCTTCAGAAATTGCAGGCAAGTTTCAAATATTTCTATTCATTTTAGAGAATCATACTGAAAGTGTTTGTGGTTTTACTTTTATCACAGCTTTGAGCAAAGAGGAATCTGATGTATTTGATCGATGTATTCAGTTTAGGTGTTCATTGACATTTGTACCTTTGAGCTGTTTGCTGTTCTTTGTAATTGATTTGTTTATTCTTCTCCTACAAAAGCATGCAGCTAATTTGGAACAAAAGCAGAATGATGCTGAGAACAAAAAGGTCCACGGCGATGTGGTTAAATACGGCAGCGTCATTCAGGTGAGAATTTGGATGTAGTAAAATTATGCCTTTTAATTTTTTTTATTTTATAGCCCCGTTTTTCCCCATTGTTTGCAAAATATGTTTTTCCCAGACTTGGAAACATTTCTTTAAGACACATCACTGCATTTAATATTCATAAAAACAAATAAAACCAGGAGTAAAGCTCAATTAAGCAGCAGTTCGTTCAAGATAATTAGACATTCACTACTGGGTGTCCACGTAGTCTTAAAAAGTTGATAAATCAATGTAGAAAAATTTAAAGCCCTTAAAAAGTATTTAAAAAGTGCTATTTTGCAGGGTATTCAATTTTATATTCTTTTTGAATATGCAATGTATGGTTGTATGCAAACGTTTGCTTGAATTTTATCTGTGAATATCAGGATGCTGTGTAGTTTATGAAATCAATAAAATCCTGCTAGATTTGACATCATGCTGCTTTGTTTACTGCAATAATCAAGACAACACTATTATTTCTTCAGTTCTATAGGCGTCAACCTGCTGAATTAGCTTGATTTAATAGATTTTTTTTTATATTCGGTATATGAATAATGGTTTAGTTTTGGATTAGTTTCTTCCATTAATATTTAGTAAGTATATTGTCAGTTAAAATCTCACCAGTGTTTCCGGTTGAACCCTAAAGTGGTCTAAAATGTATAGAAAGAATCTTAAAAAAGGTTTTAAGAGGTTGTGAATTTCACTCTCTGATTCGTGTATATACTCTGCCCTAGTATTTAACAATATATAAAGGAGACAGAATTGACTTGCTTAATCCTTGCTTCCAGAAACAAAAGATTAAGAGCTCTCCTAGATATCTGGGGTAATCATGCATTACAGTTAAGATTCAAGGCACACCACCAATTATGGACTCTAAAAAAAATAAATAAAAAGAGTTATATGGCTGAAAAGAAAAAAAACAAGTGAAGTGTAAACATGTTTTTGTAATATGACAGTCATATCTTGAAAAGTGGGTGGTGCTTACTCCAATGAACTAATATAATTGGCTAGACATGCTGATGACATATGGTGGGTTGGTAATGTCAGTAAGAAATAAAAATCTTTCTAAATTTGTTTTAATAAACATTATATATATATATATATATATATATATATATATATATATATATATATATATATATATATATATATATAGGACAAATGTTTTGTTTCAGTGTAATAGCACGCATCAGTGAATTCTGCAGTTTGTGTACAGTAGTAACTGACTAAAAGTCACAGCTGTACCCACACATTTTTTTTTATCTGAGTCAGAAAATGCAAAAAAAATGTGTTTCCTCTCTGTCAGTGACGTTAGTGACAGATAATGTGCCTACAGCAGTGCTGCACTAAAGGAAACAGGGCCTTTTCCTGATACTATAGAGCAGGGGTGCCCACACTTTTTCTTATGAAGGGCCGAAAACCAAACTTGATTGAGGCTTGTGGGCTGAAGATAAATATAGTTGCCATGTGTAATTTCCTTATTTATTTAATAATATTTTAAAATAACTAGAAAACATTGCGGTATAATAACTAACACAGTATATTTTATATTACATTTTATAATGAACTATATAACTCATTTCTAACAGAATGGGGTTACACTAATTTTGCCTTGATTTGCTCGCTGATGTCTTCTTCGTAGTCCACTATTCATCGAGTGACAGTATTTACATTTTAAAAACTCAGATTCATTCACAACATTTAATTTCAGTTTGCTTTTTTTGTAGCTCAGCAATTAAACAAACAAACAAACAAACAAACAAACAAACAAACAAACAAACAAACAAACAAACAAACAAACAAACAAACAAACAAACAAACAAAAAAGGTTTAGTCAAAATAGAAACAACGATCTTTGTTAAAGGCATTCTCCCCAACTCTCTCCTTCATTTTCACTCTCTTCTCAGATGGGATGGTGGGCCATATCAAAGGTTACAATGGGCTTTGGGCCCCACTTTGGGCATCTCTGAGAGTAGAGGATCCTGAAAAAAAAAAAAAAAAACGGCTGCTTGGTGATTCTGTAGATTACAGCCAGTAATACTGTAGAGTATAATATAATACAGTAATAGCCAACACATTTATTTGCACAAATACATATTAAACTACCCCATTATACTTTTATCATAAATATACCCCATTATACTTTATCATAAATATTACATTTAATGCTTAGTGAAATATAGCAGTTTGAATGTGAAATGATTAAAGTTTAAAAGATCAAAGTACATGACAAAATACTGTCATATTATTCTAAAATAAAGAAATCATTCTGAACTGCCGACTGAAGTCATCAGGAGATCCAGTTTTTCATTAATAGTTTTACTGTATTGAAACAGAAACATAACTCTTCAGTGCTTATTCAGAAATATGCAGCTCTACAAGTCTGCATTAAGTTGTAATCATGCAAAATGTATGATGGAAGCTTCCTTGTGCTTGAGGCTCAGAATCAAAAATTCCATCATCACCATTTTTTTACAGTCATATCTATATTATTTTCAGTCTGACCAGAGCAGACTCTCGAATCCTTGAATGATCATTTCAGAGACTGTGAGACAAGAAGTGATGTGTACTTTTATTACAAAAAAGTTTTTTTTTTATCTCGTAAATATAAAGCTATAGTAGTAGGAGACCTTCAAAACATAACTGATTAACTTTTATAACTGTAATAATAACACTGTAGTTGTCAGAAAGTGTTGTATAGTTGAAATTATCAGCTCTGCTTCCTGCCATTCAGCAAACACACTCTAGCACACCCATTCAAAATATCTGTAAAGGTCTTTTTTTCAGACAAGAAAAGGAAGTGCTTTATTTTTAGTAAGCTCAGTAGTAGGTGCAGTGTTGTGGAAAACAACAATAAACCACAACAGACCGTTGTGTTATTGTATGATAGCATTGGTTGACTTGCATTTTTGAAATGTTGACTGTAGCAAGATTTTAAAACAAATGGTGGCTATGACTAATCAATTCATTCATTTTCCTTCGGCTCAGTCACTTTATTTATCAGTGGTCGCCCCAGCGGAATTAACCGCCAACTTATCCAGCATATGTTTTACATAGCGGTTGCCCTTCTAGCTGCAACCCAGTACTGGGAACCATACACTCTCATTCACACACATAAACTAAGGCCAATTTAGTTTATTTAATTCACCTATGCTGCATGATTATGGTGGAAACCTGAGCACCTAGGGGAAACTTGCGCGAACACAAGGAGAACATGCAAACTCCATACAGAAATGGCAACTGACCCAACCAGGGATCGAACAAGCCTCCTTTCTTGCTGTGAGGCGACAGTGCTAACCACTGAGCCACCATGCTGACTAAAAATAAATAGTATGGAATACACCCTGAAATTTCAAACAGATTTTCCAGTCAAGATTTGATCAAGGGATTTTTACCATGTCCATATTGAACATACAAGACTAATTCATGGTTTTTAGGTTAAAAATGAAGACTCAAGTGTTTACTTAATTGGACTGTCTCGCTTTAAATATATGCAGAAGTCATGAAATGAACTCACTCAAAGAAGATATTCAGCAAACTTTAAAGTTTGTATCATATATTAATGTTAATAATCTACTATATATATAATCTATCTATAATGTTAATGAATCTAATTTATGTACTTATTTGTTTGTGGCTTTATTGTATTTATTTTGACTTTATCGTTTTTGCCATGAAAATAGCCGTTATTGCTGGCATAGCATTACATAAAAGATTTGATATGATAGGATATGACTTGATTATATGATATAAAATAAATGTTCAGTTAATAATTGATTCTAATAATCATAATAATAATAATAATTATGAGGTGGCGCAGTAGGTAGTGCTGTCGCCTCAGAGCAGAAAGGTCGCTGGTTCGAGCCTTAGCTGGGTCAGTTGGCGTTTCTGTGTGGAGTTTGCATGTTCTCCCTGCGTTCGCATGGGTTTCGTCCAGGTGCTCCGGTTTCCCCCACAGTCCAGGATCATGCGGTACAGGTGAACTGGGTAGGCTAAATTGTCCGTAGTGTATGAGTGTGTATGAATGTTTCCCAGAAATTGGTTGCAGCTGAAAGGGCATCCACTGCGTAAAACTTATGCTGGATAAGTTGGCGGTTCATACCGCTGTGGAGACCCCAGATTAATAGAGGGACTAAGCCAAAAATAAAATGAATGAATGAATGAATAATAATTATGATTATCTCCTCTGCCAAGTGATCCAGAGTATTAGTGACACCATGTGTGGCTTGTGGATTTACTTTCAAAGGGGAGCTATTCTGCCCCTTTTTACAAGATGTTTCAGCTTAAAATACACCACAAATAATTGTTTATAACTTTTTAAAACTTTCTCTTTTATATTGCATTTAAACTGTGTCGTTTTGGTGATGGCCGCTTTAAATGTAAATAAGAGGGCAGAGCTACTAACAACTATGTGTCAGCGTAGTGGCAGATTCAAAACAGGACTAATGTTATCTTTGTGAAAAAATGAAAGTGTCAAAAGACATGGCTATAGAGGCTACAGTGTTCATTGGTGCATTCTAAAACTCTGAAAACTTTAATGGCGGATGGCTGCTTCTCACTCAGGGCTGACTATGCTAATGAGGCAGAGATTGTCACTAATGGGTGGGTCTTTCCTCCCTCTGAAAACATGCACAAAGGGTGAATGTCAATTAAAGTGGTTTTATGAAGTGCGATTTAAAAAAAACAACAAAAAAAACAAAAACAGAATGAATAGATTTTTACCATTAGAGGCTGGCTATATTCACACACTAATGCCACACAAATATGCTTAAACCCTCTATAAAAGTGAATTTTGTGTTATTGGTCCTCTTTAAGTGTCTGAAGTGCCTGTTTTATATTTATTAAGAACACGGCAGAGATGTTGATTCTAATGAATGCCGATGTGTTTTCAGCTGCTCCACATGAAGAGTAACAAGTATTTGACAGTAAATAAGCGTCTCCCAGCACTACTGGAGAAGAATGCAATGCGCGTCACTCTGGATGGGACGGGGAATGAGGGCTCCTGGCTTTTCATTCAGCCTTTCTGGAAGCTCAGAGCCAACGGAGACAATGTAATGCAAGTGCACACACATAAACTCAATGCAAACACGCATACGCTCAACAGTCACAAATATGAGGCAAAAATTGGGAAATTAATTTGCAGAAAAATTAGGTTGAGTCTTTGGAAACTTCATGTCAGAAACATTCTGGAATTATTTTTGATGTCAAAATCACATTAATAACGAACATGTTTAGGAAAAAGTGTTTTGATGCTAGGTTTTTTGCATTGGGAAAGTATTTTCATCACAGTTACACATTTCTGATCATAACAGTGGAAATAAATAATATTATGAATTTTATAAATATTATGTAGTATATTTTTACCTCAAAATCAATGAATAAGCCAAAAAGTATGTTTTTGTAAACTACTGTATATCACAGTTCAAATAAAAGAACGATTACAATATTTTAATAATGTTATATAACTAAAATGCATTCGGTTAAGTTGTTGTTGGTTAGTATTTTTACATTGTGACATTATTTCAATCACAATTACACATTTCTGATCATAGCAGTGTAAACAAAGAAGTTTATAAATAAATATAATATAGTATTATTTTACCTCCAAATAGGTTAGAGTAGTTTTTATAAACAATATCACAGTTCAAATAAATATGTATGATAATTTATATTTAATATTAAAATAAATAATAAGTATAATGTTGTGAAATATAATTGTATTTTTTTATTTACAAAATAAAAAAATAAATGCAATAAGTTAAGTTGTTTCTGATGAATAAGATATTTTGACATTATTTACATATTAATTAGACATTTCTGATCATAACAGTGTAAATAAATAAATAGATATTTAAATTAATTGTTAAATATTATGTTAAATCTATTATAATCTATTATGTATAATTATGTATAATCTATTATTCTGGCTTAAAATCTATTATAATCATTTAGTTGAGCTCAAAGAAAAAAAAAAAGCATTATGCTTTGTAATACTGACAACTGAAAGCTGCTCAAACCCTTTTTTTATTTAATAGTAAGTATCATAGTAGCTATTTTTATTCATGCTGAATAGAATTAATTACTGTAATAATGTTTACTATAATACTTATTAATTATAATCTATGGGAAATCTTATAGAGCAGTGATATTCATATCATACCATTGAAAACAATTATTAGTAATTTAAATATTATTTAATTGTGAGAATATTGTTTTAACAGTAATATTTTAACACATTATCAAACGTAAAGGTTTCAATAACTTTTAGTCCATAATATTTTGGTAGTTATTTTCCAAGCTACTAGTTTTCAGCTTAAAGTGCAATTTAAATCCCTAACTAGGTTAATTAGATTAACTATGCAACTTATTACAACCGTGGTTTGTTCTTTAGTCAATTGGTGGAAAAAGTATTTTTATAAAATACTTCTTTTAAAATTTCATACTAAAATAAAAAAGACCTTTCCAGAAGATACATAATAAATACTATAAAAATGTCCTTGCTCTGTTAAACATAATTTAGGAAATAGTTGAAAAATGATAACTACTTTAAAGCAGGGCTAAAAATTTAGTCTTCAGCTGTATATGCAAAATGATTCTTCTTTTTTCTTTGGTTTGGATTAGTTTTGTTTTTAGTGTGCATATAAAATTGCATGCTTTTATAGTCATCACCTACAGTATGTACAAGTACATCAACATTCTTTGAAGTCATACATTTACACACCTAAATACCAACCATGGCCTATAGAAAGCACAACTACTGCATGCACAAAGCCCACGTAAACACTCAAGAGTTATAAAAAAAAGCATGCGAATCATCCTATTACACATTTAAACAGGTTTACCAAGCTAATCTGGGTTTAAATGTTTGTAGATTGCTTCTTCCTTGTGTAAACTGATAGGGATGTACATATTTGCTTTTCAGATATCTGCGGCCATGACACTCATATTGAATGGTTTGTAATCCATTGCAGGTGGTGGTTGGAGACAAAGTGATCCTGAATCCTGTGAATGCTGGACAGCCTCTCCATGCCAGCAGCTATGAGCTTCCCGATCATTCAGGGTGCAAAGAGGTTTGCGATAAGTTAACGAGTTTACATTGCATTTGTCTGTCAACATGACTGTGAAGTAGATGTGTTTACCCATGGCTTAAAGCAAGATACTGCAGATGAATAGGGACAATAGGCTAACAAAATAATAAATTATGATAAATTAATAGTCATCTTGTACCCTCACAGCTAATTAATTACATGAAAAAGTTATCAATGTCAATGAAATATGCACTAGTTTGCACACATTTCTAGCACAAAAATGTCAACATGGGATGAAATTAGGTTCAAAATTCTTCTTTTTTTATGACATATTAGAGTGTAACACTCTGTCCTAACAACATGCGACATGATATTTAAGTTACAGCCTAATTACCTAAAAACCTAATTAATGAATATTAAATCTCATTAACATTATTTAATTATATGCTGAATAACTGATGTTATCGGTTGGCCACTAATCTAGTCACAGTTCTAATGTTCCTGTGTAAACTGTTTGCTAGTCATTTATTTTTAGTCGTCTGAGGTTAACTACCTTTTTTCACTTTAAGAATGGCAATAAATGTAACTTAAAATGGTATTCAAACACATACTGGTTATATCTGACCTTGAATCAAGCACACATGTCACATAATATGGTATTCAAACTCATCCTGGTAATATTTGACACTGAATGCAGCATAAATCATGTAAAATAATGTTTATACTCATACTGGTAATATTTAATGCTGTAATAGGCACAAATATGTAAAATAGTATTCAAACTCATACTGATAATATTTGACACTGAATAAAGCAAAAATGTCATATGAAATAATATTTAAACTCATACTGGTAACATTTAACACGGAATTAGGCACAAATGTCATGTAAAATAGCATTCAAACTCATATTAGAAATATTTGACACTAAATAAAGCACAAATGTGACATTAAATAGTATTTAAACTCATACTGATAACATTCAACACTGAATTAGGCACAATTGTCATGTAAAATAGTATTTAAACTTCTACTGGTAATATTTGACACTGAATAAAGCGTAGATGTCATGTAAAATAGTATTTAAACTCATACTGATAACAGTTAACACCGAATTAGGCACAGATGTCATGTAAAATAGTATTTAAACCCGTAATAGTAATATTTGGCACATAATAAAGCACAAATGTGACATTAAATAGCATTTAAACTCATACTGATAACATTTAACACTGAATTAGGCACAATTGTCATGTAAAATAGTATTTAAACTTCTACTGGTAATATTTGACACTGAATAAAGCATAGATGTCATGTAAAATAGTATTTAAACTCGTACTGATAACAGTTAACACCGAATTAGGCACAGATGTCATGTAAAATAGTATTTAAACCCGTAATAGTAATATTTGGCACATAATAAAGCACAAATGTGACATTAAATAGCATTTAAACTCATACTGATAACATTCAACACTGAATTAGGCACAGATGTCATGTAAAATAACATTCAAACTCATAATAGTAATATTTGACACAGAATAAAACACAAATGTGACATTAAATGGTATTCAAACTTATACTGATAACATTCAACACTGAATTAGGCACAATTGTCATGTAAAATAGTATTTAAACTTCTACTGGTAATATTTGACACTGAATTAAGCATAGATGTCATGTAAAATAGTATTCAAACTCAATAGCAATATTTGATACTGAATAAAGCACAAATGTGACATTAAATAGCACTCAAACTCATACTGATTAACATTTAACACTGAATAAAATACAGATGTCATGTAAAATAGTATTTAAACTCATTTGACGCGTTTCATTGTAGTTTATAATGTTGAAATAGCTTCTTTAATACTTTGTGCATTGCTGTCATGGGTGGCTAGGACACAGTATAATATATTATATATTTTTACAGAGGGGATTTTAGAATTTTTAAAAATAATTTCTTAATTCAGAAAATACTATACAGTAAATGCCTAAAACGAAACATTTGTTTATAGTCAGACAAGTAATGTGTGAACGTCTCTCTCTGTATAAACCTTCACAATATATACATATGAATTGAACTGTATAGTTTGTTTTGTAATTGCTAATAAAATGTCAAATATGTGTCTATATTTAGAAAACCGCTTTTAAATATATGTATTATAATGGAAGTCTACAGAAAAAAATAGATAAATTGTGACAACACTCGAGTATGTTTTGTGTGCTTTCTTTACATTGAACTGAAAAAAGACTTTAGAAAATGACCAAAGCTCAAATATGTTAGGTATACAGTATATGACATATGTTTTGCTTGTGAGGTCCCACTTTAAATAGAGAGAGAGTATAAAGCTGTTTTTGTGGACATCTCCAAAAGGAGCCATGCATTTTTAAAATACAATACTGCCTCCTACAGATCAACTCTGTGAACAGCAACACCAGCTGGAAGATCAGTCTGTTTATGATGTTCAGTGACCACAAAGATGAAGTGCTGAAAGGAGTAAGTGCTAACTCCACATTTCTCACTTCATACACACAAATTCATCTTTTCCAACATGCAATGTTTGCTTAAACCATTGTCACATTTTCAAGGCTTTTTAATATTTCTTGAAGGCCAAGCCTGTTAAGTTGATATTTCATAATAAACGATTTGTTCATTCTTAGGGAGACGTGGTGAGGCTGTTTCACGCTGAACAGGAGAAGTTTCTGACCTGTGATGAGTACAAGTCTAAACTGCACGTGTTCTTGCGCACAACTCTGCGTCAGTCAGCTACTTCAGCCACCAGCTCTAATGCATTATGGGAAGTGGAGGTAAGAGCCTATATATATATATATATATATATATATATATATATATATATATATATATATGTGTGTGTGTATGTATTTAAGAGCCAAATATTTTTCTGTGGCAATGCACTAGCATTTAAATTTTATAAATTAAGATAGATTGTAAGTGTTTTTTTTTTAATTATGGTTTTCAAGCATTAAAACAACATATATTATTTTACATACATTATTATTTTATTTTTTTATTTTGTTTAATTAAAAAAAAAAACATCAAACAATTTGCAGAACACTCTCACTGAATGTTGGCCAGTATTATAATAGTTTATATTTACAAATATTATTCTTACTATTTATCTTCAAAATAATATAGAATCTATTAAAATGCCATTTATGGTTCACATTGAAGCCTTAAATTGCTAATTAATTGCTATTTTAAATCTTGACACTTTTTTTATCACTCTCTTTGAAACCACCAAGTTTTAACCATTATTTTTTCATTCATTCGTTCATTCATTCATTTTTTTTTCGGCTTAGTCCCTTTATTTATGTGGGGTCGCCACAGCGGAATAAACCGACAACTTATCCAGCTTATGTTAAAAAAAATATCTTTAAAATGATCTCAATGTTTTTTTAAGCATGAAACCTAATCACTGTCATACATTTTTGTCATAATTTACAGAAGTCTTCTACTGAATATAATAGTTTTATCTATGAAAACTACTCTAAAAATAATAGATCATTCAAAAAAGACCATTTATTCTGCACATTGTAGCTTGAAAATAACTATAAATTATCATTTTAAATCTATACGTTTCCACTAAACACCATATTTTATCCATTAGTGAGTTTTTAATAGTTACCCAAAATATAACTTTAGGATCACTTTTTATTTTATTAAGTACAATTCAGTACAAATCTGTTATGCTGAATAATCAGGCATCATTATTTCACCCTCTTTATTTTTACACAATTTATTTGAATAATTAAAATAGGTCATCCATACAGTGTTTTTGCTTTATTTGCAATTAGTTTGTTACTATGAATAAAAATGCAGCTTCTCATTTGTTACAATCATGTTTTTTTTGTGTGTGTGTGTGTGTGTGTGAAAAAGTGCTTTGGTAAAGACTTGATGGTGTATTGTCTGCTTGTTGTTTGCAGGTGGTCCACCATGATCCATGTCGAGGAGGAGCCGGACACTGGAACAGCCTCTACAGATTCAAACACCTGGCCACAGGAAACTATCTCGCTGCTGAGGTAAAACCTTCCACATTTATACAAACATAAATCTGATATAATTAATTAAATTGAATATATAAAATAACAAATTACCATTATTTATTTGCGTTTCAGGAGAACCCAGGTTACAAAGAAAACAGCAATGATATTGAGGTAGGATACATTGTTTATAGTTTAGATTATTCGTTTACAGGGGCAATGCATTATTGTAATAATGTTAATACTGTCAATGTAAATAATGTTAATAAACATTACTGTAAAATGTGTCAGAATTAGCCAAGAATGGCTATTTTTCATTTGTAGACCATTGACTTGGTTCTTCAAACAAGTTTGCGAATCAGATTAAAATATCTGGAGGAACTGATCTGAGATCGCTGCGTGTGTTCTGAAGGTCAGATTTATCGATCCACGAAATCATGATCAGCAATGCAGCAATTGGCTGACGGCACAGCAGCGTAATGACATCATCTGATTAATATTCAATTATCCATGTGAGCAAAATTACATCAAATTCATAGTAAACGTTTTGTTAATTATGATACGCAATAACTTTTCACCTTTCTTGTGAGCTGCAGGCTTTACATTTTCATGTGTCAGGAGTATTCATCATGTATTTCAATGCATATCAATGTATTTAGTTCTACATTTAGAGAAGATTTTCTTTATTATAGTAGCCTAGGCCTGCTCAAGTTTTTCTTTATCGACTTAAGGAATAACTGTATAAAATAATTTTGCATAAAAAAAGCATTTTGATAACTAACGGTGCCAATCACCGGCATATTACCAGTCAAAACATGTGCATGACTGCAAAAATTATTATCCTTTTTTTTTTTTTTTAAAGACGAATGTTGTGCATGTACGCGTTTGTATCTAAAAAATGTATACATTTTCTCTTTGTACTTTATTTCGGAGTGCAGATTGCATATGTTTTATTAATATATATATATATATAGTTTTAAAAAATTATATTTACTATTTTCTCAAGTGTATATAGCTACTGTAAGAAAACATCAGCATTTAGTACATACTTTAAGTATTATCTTTGCTTGAAATGAGCCAATCTAATCCTGTTTACATGAATAAGCCTGCTCCCGACCAGGTTTGAGCTACCAGAACTGTTGCTATGACAATAACTCTTAGATGAGTTTTGAAGAACGAAATGATCCTGGATCATGTCAAATCGTCAACATCCTAATCCAGCTAACTGAGTAATTCACCTACAAAGAACAGACCCCAAGACTTTACTTTTTATGTTGTGAAAAGTTGTTTTTTCTGTCATGAATGTCTGATTGTTTCTTTGCCTACAGGTGGACAGCAGTCGTATCAAGAGAAGCCTTGGAGAAAGGATTAAATATAAGCTAGTCGCAGTGCCTCATGGGAACGACATCGCCTCTCTGTTTGAGCTGGACCCGACAACACTGCAGAAGACTGATTCATTTGTGCCAAGGTATTACGTTGTGTGCTTTTCTCTCCCTTTCTCTCGGTTTGACTGGCTGCATTCTGTGGGAAGAAGAACTTGATTTACCCCCTGTCTGTTTATCTTTTTCACTGCCTACAGAAATTCTTATGTTCGATTTCGCCACCTGTGCACGAACACTTGGATCCAAAGCACCAACATTCCTATCGACATCGATGAAGAGCGGCCGATTCGATTAATGGTGAAAAACTTTCCAACTATAATTTCACAGTTTCAACATTTCTGTATTTTGTAAATAGGACAAATTACAACGCTAACTATATGTTTTGCCACAACTTTTGTTTAATTGTTTATTTATAAAGTTGTATGTCACATTGTATTTCTGTTTATAATATAATATTATTAAAGATTTTGCTGGTCAATAAAATAAAAAAATTAAATGTATGAAACCTATGTAATCATGACATGACATAACACATAAATATGAAGGTTTTATGCATCCTTATGACTATTGACATTAGGTGTCATTTGCTAAGTTAAGTCATTTTAAATGCAAAGGTGACATTGTTTGAGATGTCTTTGTCATGACAAGTATGATGTATTTGGTTATTTGTCATGAAAACTTGACAACACCAAAACAACACAACTTGTCATAAATCTGTCATAAACTTGATTGTTATGAGGCCATTTTAATTATCATGAATATTGTAACAATTTTATAATTTCATAACAAATTGAATTTGTCATTAAATGTAATTAAATATTAACAATGCTGTTATAAAATTAAGATTATTAAGACAGGGTATCTGCTGGGTCTTAAAAATTCTTAAAATGTCCTAAATCTCAAAAATGAAATTTTAGGCCTTAAATTTTTTTATTTTTTTTTTAAGTCTTAAACTGAAATATTTTGTTGTAGATCTTCAATTTTTTTAAACAGGTCTTAATTTTCCTTTGTTCATGTATAGCTACCCAATCTGGCCAACACCCATCTAATAAATACTGTAAATAATATAATCTTAATTTATATCTCTTAATTAAATAATATCTCTTAATTTATTTTTTTTTTATTTAAGAATGTAAATTTAGCTCTATAATTACCATAATGGATAAATCATTGTCCTTACAATAACATTTGTTCCTAGACAGACTGTTGTGCATACATTTAGTTTATTATAGTTTTTAAAACCTTTAAAACAATTTTCAATTTATTTTATTTTTTAAGAATGTTATGTTAAAATAAAACTGTAGGTATACCACTAGAGCTTGCTTGTTTTGACGCAATATTTAAAATATTTTGCTCAGAATTAATTCAAATATGTATATTTTTTAATTTTTAATTATTTATTATTTTTTATTATTTTTAAATTAATAAATTCTTCTTCTTCTATTAATAAATTATAAAAATGTTTGATAGGGCAAATAAAAATCTTTTCCAACTGGGCCATTCGAAAAACTCCTTAGTGTTTAGCCCTGTATAAGTCTAAAATTTCATTCATAATGGTCTTAAAAAGTATTAAATTTACCTTGCTGAAACCTGCAGATACTCTGTAAGAGTATTAAGTATTATTGTATATGACATAATTTGGTTCCATTGAAAAAGTGATCAGAAAAATATTCATTACACAATTATAAAAGCCTGCCGAGAATTATGTTTATGACAGGTTTATGACAAGTTATGTTTTCTTGGTAATGTCAAGTTGTCATAAGTGACATAATTATAATTTTTGCAGACAAACAAACAAACTTTGAGCAACATAAAAACTTTTTTTCAACATAAATATATGTATATTACAGCTATCAACAAAACTGCATGGAATGAATTCAAAATACTTTAAGTTAACTAGGGGTGTCAAAATTAATCGTTTCTTCGGTGCACTGCATATGCGCTCTGTCGCGAGGGAGGCGATCGCGAGTATTTACAGCGCTTTAACTACTTAAAACTCATAAACTGTGCACAATTTCACTGTGTGTTTGCTGGATCAGTCTTTCACTGACATATACAACAATAGCCCCTATTTCACTGAGATCGAGAGAATGAAAGTAGCCTACTCCATTTCTCTCTCTCTCTCTCGCTCTCGCTCTGTCTCTCTCTCTCTTTCTCACACACACACACAGTGGCCCATTTGACCTGCTGGCGTGGCTTTTCTTCTCTTTTCGGCTGTTTTACAGCGTTACTTTTGCATACAGAAACGAGCGCGTGTCCTAGGAGTTTTCTCCACCGTGTCTATCATACATCAGCTGTGAGATCGTCGCTGCCGCCTGCAGCTTATCAGTATCACTCATCTGTGAAGAGCGCAGCGCACAAGAGCCAATCGCAACCGTTTTTTTTGAGGGTGTGACCAATCAAAGGGGTGTAAGAGAACTAGACAAGGATCAGAAATTGAGCTGGATATTTATATTTGTTTATATTATTTGCTAAATGCTCGTTTTGTTTAAAGTTACAGTTTATATATCTGACTGTTTGTATTAAATTACAAAATTGTATTACAAATAGTATATAAATATAAATATATTCATACATTTTAATACAAGAAATGCTGCTGTGAAGAAAATATTAAACTGTATGGAAAGCACCGTCAATGCACCGTGATGCACCGAAATATCGAATTGAACCGTATCGATGGCATGATAATCGTAACCGAACCGAACCGTGAGACTAGTGTAGGTTCACAGCTCTAACGTTAACATTATTTAACTCAAATAATGTAATTAAAATGATTGTTAAATTATTGCGTGTGCAGTATTTTAATATTTATTCTATGTCTCCTGGTAGCTGGGCACGTGCCCCACTAAAGAGGACAAAGAAGCATTCGCCATCGTCTCTGTGCCGGTCATGGAGATTCGAGATCTAGACTTCGCCAATGATGCGAGTCTCATGTTGAGCACTGTTGTCGAGAAGTTCAAATACGGTTTTCTCAGTCCTAATGACAGAAGGTACAGTAGAGTTGACACGAGTCCCTGATTTAATCCTTTGTTCTGAGACAACTGAGGATTTACTTTGTAAACAGTTGTAATGTAGACATATTGCCATGTATGCTCAGGTATGCCATTAAGCTGCTGGAGGATGTGGTATTCTTTGTTGTGGATCAACTTAACAATGGCCAGCCGGCCCTGGAGGTGTCGATGAACAAGCCCAACCGAGAGAGACAGAAACTGATGAGAGAGCAGAACATTTTAAAACAGGTCGGATTTTTTTTTAATAATTTACAAGTTTGCCCGTTGAAACGTCTTGTTTGGTGAAGCTTGGCTTATTGTGCTGTTTTCTGCTTAGATATTTGGGATCATTAAAGCTCCGTTCAAAGAGAGGGGAGATGATCCTCCTCTACTGACACTGGAGGAACTGTCCGACCAGAAATACTTATTGTATCAGTACATGCTCAGGCTGTGCTACAGGGTGCTGCGTCATTCACAGGAAGACTACCGAAAGAATCAGGTACTCCAGTTCACAACCACACAGGTGCCTACGGGTGCTGTGTGTCACCGTGTGGCATCGTTTTGACTTTTGAGGCTTAACAATTCCATAATATGTTAGTAGATATTTAGGAAACATGCAAAGTTCATATCTGTCTTTCTGATGAGACGATAAACTGAGGTCCTGACTCTCTGTGGTCATTAAAATTTCCATGGCACTTCTCGTAAAGAGTAGAGGTGTAATCTCGGTGTCCTGGCCCAATTCTCTTCCATCGCCCCATACAATACACTACATGCATTACAGATTTTGTTTCTCTGAAAAACTATGCTGTGGTAAGTTAGTTCACTTTGAAATGTTTTATGTGTCAGAAGGCCTATTTTTCTGTGTGTGATCTCACCCACTGCCACTTTAACTACTATTACTAAAACAAAAAACTGTGCATTGTAGCCATTCATATTATTTTGCTTGATGTTCAGATGGTTTTTATTCAGAATGCTTTGTTTTAATATCATATATTATGGAATATGCATAAGATGAAATGATTTACAGCACATTATATCTGTGTTGATGCAATGATATGTTTGCAAATCTATATTTTACCCAAAGAAACACTTATTCAGTAGCAAATAGAAGGATTAAGAAGCTGCACTTTGATAGTTACTTAAATAAAATCATTACTTAAAATGTATAGAATTTGTAGATTTATTTGAGAGATGAAGGCAGATTAAAGGCACAGTACCTCCAAAAGTATTTACTATCTATTTACTGACTCTCAAGTGATTCCAAACCTTTATTTATTTAATTTTTCTGTTGAACACAATTTGAAAAATGTTGGTCAGTGGTAGCCATTAGCATTCATAGGTTGATGGTTTCCAACATTTTTCAAATTATTTTCTTTTTTGTTTAACCAAAGAAAGAAACTCAAATAGGTTTATGAAGTGAAGGGTGAGTAAACGATGACGGAATTAGCATTTTTGGGTAAACTATCCCTTTACATTCCATTGTCTGTTGTGCATGTTCATCAGTCTGACAACTCACCTGAGGATCTGTTTTGAAGTTAGACTATAGTACCCAGTTCAGTTGCTAGCTGACTTTTTTGTATACTATTTCAAAGTATTGATGTTGGTTGTTTTATTTACATGGTATTCAGTCTTCCTATCATACTACAGTTATCACACTGCAGTTATCAAATATGGGGATTGATAAGTTAATATGTTGTTTACCATCCATCTTTGCTCTTGTCTTACAGGAGTACATAGCTAAGCAGTTTGGAATGATGCAGTCTCAGATCGGCTATGATATTCTGGCGGAGGACACCATCACAGCCCTGCTCCACAACAACCGCAAACTGCTAGAGAAACACATCACTAAAACTGAGGTGGAGACATTTGTCAGTCTGGTTCGCAAAAACAGGGAACCCAGGTTAGTGTTTCAATCGTAAACCCTCTTTGTAGGCAAGACTGATTGATGTTACTTTAAGAATCTGAGATTCACCATATGAACTTAAAGTATATTAACATCATATGAAGATTCAAATTACTGTAGTTAACTTGGGTGCATCTGCTGTAATCACTGTTACACATTAGGGATGCTCAACAACCTTTTTGGTATATATGTATGACATGACTCTTTCAGAGGTATAACTCTGCATTCACACCACCGCTAGCAAGTCATGCTTTTTCAATTTAGGCTAGGGGCAACGACTGCGGTTGTGGTGTGATGCATCAACCATCAAAACGTCCACCATTTGAGTTGATTCCCGAGAACCAGATCTGTATACTAATTTGGTTCTGGGCAAATTTCCAAGCAAAATTGAGGGTTTTACTTTTTGAGAAAACAGATTTAGAATGCACCGAATTTTCAGCAGTCAAAAATCAGCTTTTCGGTTATGGGTTTAAAGAGAAAAAGGACACACTTTATTTTGATGGACCATCACATTGCATCTACATGCCAACTAATTCTCATTAGATTGTAAGTTGACTGTTAGGTTGTGGTTAGAGCTATGGTTAGGGTGAGTTGACATGTACTTGTTAACATGTACATGTTAAATGTCTGTTGAAGGAGCAGCATCAACAGCAGACAGTGTACTATGATGCACCGCACAGTGCATAGGTTTTACTTTCCCTCCAGCTGCAGCCAATGCATGTGTGCTGCGTGCTTTCTCTCTCTCTATCACACACAAAATTAAAATAGCTTGATATTCTGCTCTGTGCATGCTCTGTTCATGAAACTTTATGATACTTACCTATGCATGAACCACACATGCTCACTGGAATAGCAAAGAACACACAAATAAATAGCTGTCATGGCAACGCTGGTATAATAATGCCTCTCAGCAAGTTCACTGTCAGTCAAATGTGGTTATGTCGATGCCAATAGCCTAGTGGTTAAGTGCGTCAACATATAGTGCTCTCGGAAACCAGAACTCTGTTTATTCACTGACCTATAAATTTAAGGTTTTATAATAAATAAAATAAAATAAATTGAATAAAATTAAATAATATGTAGTTGGTGTTTTATTGGCTTTTTAGGCATCTTTTGAAATCAGTATAATCTAAGTTGAGTAAAAATAAATAAAAATAGCATTTTTTTATTTGTTTAATTAAATAGTAAATAATTATTACAAAGCATTTTGTTTTTGTGTAAGTGCATCCAGAATATTTGGTTTTCCTCTTGAGTTTTAATTCAGTGCATCCTTAGGTAGTTTTCCCTATTACATTCTTGTTTTTAATTTAACTGTTTTGCATTGATATATATATTAGTCAGAGAGCCACAGCACCAAACATATAGAATCATTAAACATCACAGTCTAGCAACAAAACACAATTTGCTCACATTTTCTTTTTCTCTGAATAAAGCAATACAATATATTCAACATATTCTAGTGAGACATATTAGGCCTTACAATTATACAGAAAAATATATAAATACAAATATGCAAAGGGTACAGCAGTAGAACCCTTTACAATTATTTTAAAAATTTGAAAGGAAGAATTGACAAGTGGTGTCAAATTTTTCATTATTACAGCAAACTATATCTAATCTTTTCTATTGCATAGACTGCATCAGATCATGCATCCAATGTATATAACTGAGTGGAGAAAGATTTTTCCAGTGTTATAAGCTTTTTAGCAATTATTAAATAAAAGGCGAGTGCATTTGATTGTGTAGATCAGGGGTTCGCAAACTTATCAGCCCACAACCCCCAAAATGACAATGTCAGTGACTCACGACCCCCAATATCCTCTGAGGTGGTTAAAAATACAGAAACCTTGCATGCAATGCTGCACACACTCCAATAGACCCAATTCTATTCTGGGTCAGAAAGTTTAACATGGTGCCATAAAATCAATATGGTGCATCTGATGCTATTGCTGTGTCTTTAATATTATGTAATAATCCCAGGGGTCGCAATCCAATAGAACTAGTAACTATAAGCTACTATAGTAACTATATAGTATATAGTAACTATAAACATATTTTTTCTCTTCAGTAGGTTATAAATAAAATATGGTAATTTTAATGGTCTATTTAAAATAATATGATTTTTGGAAATCACCAGTCGACCCCCCCCCCCCCCCCCCTAATTGTCCCGCGACCCCTCAGGGGTCCCGACCTCCACTTTGAGAACCACTGGTGTAGATGACAAGGAAACATTTGTAGGGTTAAGTCCAAGTAATGCTACTAGGGGGCATGGCTCAATATCTAAAAGAAAACATTCAGAAGATAATTTAAAAATTGATGCCCAAAAAGTGCTTAGTGCTGGACAAAGCCAGAAAGTATGAAAAAAGAGTGGCTGGAGCTTGTTGACACCGATCACAAATTGGATCAAAACCAGGGTTAATTTTAGATATTTTGGCCTTATTCGACATACTCTATGCAATAATTTGAATTGTACAGAATGTTTTTTTAAGCAGGAAGGCAATCACTTTAAATACAAGACCTAAATATTCAACTGTGAGAGCGAATTTTGTTGCTCTCGTCTTTTGGTGCACCCAAGTATCATGGGTGACAAATTGATGCACTGACATGTCTAAATCTGGTTGTCTCTAAAAGCCTGTTGTGACATGTTGTTGCTTTTGTTTTCCAGGTTTCTAGACTATCTTTCAGACTTGTGTGTGTCCAATAATGTAGCAATCCCAGTTACTCAAGAGCTGATCTGTAAATGCGTGCTGAACGCCAAGAACCAGGATATTCTCATGAAAACAGAGTAGGTCTGCAAAAAATTACATGCATCTGTATTTGGTTATATACTTGTGCAAACGCATTTTCTGTGTGTCTGTGAAGGCGGCGAGCAGCTAAGGAAAGTCAGCACACTTCCGAGTACTTGGAAGAGTTTGGAGACGAGGATGAAGTTTGGCTGATCTGGTCTGAAAAGGAAAATGAGAACCATGAAAAGAGCATTCGGCAGCTTGCCCAAGAGGCCCGTCAAGGGAACGTGCATGATGAAAATGTTCTGACATATTACAGGTGCTTGAAAATGGAAATAACATATGCTATCAGTTCAATACACAAATCCAATTTAAGCTTCAAATTCTTCTACAACAAAATTTCTAAATGTATCTCCTCGAAGATAATTAAAGCTATAACCAGCAGACTCAAATCAGACCTTCTGGATGATCTGGAGTTTTAGGCTATGTCTTTTCTAACCGATCCAACTTGCGGTTTTCCTAAAATTCATGAAAGTCGTAAAAATCTAATAGACTTTCATTGAGGGGGTGAAAAGTTTTGAACAGTAACTCTAAAACAGCACTTAATCAACAGCCACTCAGTTCACAACCTTCAAACCTTCATCTAACTGGTCAAATATTACTAGCAAAGCCTTGCAACTAGCCTAGAGCATGCTAGCGACATGCTAATTCATGTTAAAATTGACATCCCTTGAAATAACGAAAACAAATCAATTACAAAAATAGGCATGTTGTCCTCTGCTCATGTCCATATGAATATATATGTATATATTATTTTCAGGTACCAGCTGAAGCTGTTCGCACGAATGTGTTTTGATCGGCAGTATCTGGCCATAGATGTGATCTCAAAGCAGCTGGATATAGAGCTAATCTCGCTCTGCATGATGGACGAGACTCTTCCCTTTGACCTGCGAGCGTCTTTCTGTAGGCTCATGCTGCACGCACACGTTGATCGTGACCCTCAGGAGCTTGTGACGCCCATCAAGTTTGCCCGCTTGTGGACTGAGATTCCCACCTCTATCAGCATCAAAGAGTGTGTTCACATATCCACACAAACTTTTCACTTTTTACTTTATGAATGACTTTATATTGTGTTTTTTTTAACCCTTGATACAATAGGGAACCATATATGATCACTTCATATACATTGATTTTATTATCATTTTTTTAAGTTGTAGAAGTTTTGTAATAACACCTAGTAACACTTAAGATTTTTCTAATAATTATTTCAATCAGTACTCGGTAAATCACTAACACAAAAGTTTGGATATTTTTTTTAGCTAAACAAGGTTGCATATACTTGATCAAACTTACAGAAAAAAAATCTAATCAAATATTGTCATTTAAACTAATTTTTTTTCTGTATTCAATACAGTTTCAATTTTAATTTATCTGATTCAAAATGAATTGTCAGACTTTTTTCTGCATTCTTTAGAAATTGCAAATTAAAAATAGTATTTATATGAAATATAAATATTTTATAACATTATAAAAGTTTTTAAAGGCACATTTTAATCAATATCTAAATTAAAAGTAAAAAATTTCCCTAAAAAAATCTGTAACAAAGGGACTAAGCCGAAAAGAAAATGAATGAGTGAAGGAAAAAAAAAATCAACACTTTAATTTAATACTAATTCTAACTATTTTATTTTAGTACTGTTTATTTGTGCATATTCTGCATGATCTTATACAACATCTTTAATCCAACCTATTACTCCCCAAGTCTAGGGAAAAACAACATGGACATAATAAACAAAATAAGGTTGTGGTGGTGGATTTTCCAAACAAACAAACAAACAAAAAACTTATACAAAAAATCCCCTTTGGTCGACAACCAAATGTGAAGTTGAGAGTAATTAAATAGATTTATTATAGAAAAAATAATAGTTTAAATGAGCATATCTGTAGGGTGGCCACAGGCCAAAAAAACAAACAAAAGAATCTACAAAGTAAATCAACTTTATTACCTGCAAATCTTTAAAGAAATATACAGGGAAATTACCTTCCTCCTTGAACATAAACAAAGTCAAAAGTAATCAAAATAAATAAGCTGGCCACCCCTACAAGCTCAAACTCTCAAAAAGTTGCTAGCATACATGGATATTTGTACAAGAATAGGGGTTGTTGTTGGCCGGAGGGGTAGGGAAATCCAGAAGCTCTCCACTTACAGCAACCATCGTACTACAAATGAGCTTTTCAAACTTTGCCGGCAGTTCCCTTTTATAGATCTCTGCAACAGCAGCCAATCAGAGCCTGGACCACATTAAAATGGGAGCCAATGGTTTGGGCCAGACGGAATCTGTCGACGTTTTTGCTATTTCTGCTGAGAGTTTTGGTGAAAATCTGCGGATTTCTGCGTTATTAATTTGGGAGTATCTTAACTATATTATTCTTAATATATGAAATAAAAATTAAATCTTTTTAACTTTTATTTAATGTTTAAAATGCAAATCCAATTAGATTCACTTTATTTGGTAAACAAAGCAAGTCTCTCTTATAATATATCTACTAAAAGACAGAACATATTACTGTACAAACTGCATTGTACATAAATCAGATGAACATTTTCATATCAGTCAATAATATTACTGCAATTAATTAAAAAAACTGACTAAATATATATTTACACACATTTACTGAAGTAAACAAACAGAGGTAATGATGGGCTAGAAATCTGCGGATTCCGTGTGGGCCTACTTAAAGGATAACACAAAACACCACAAGAAGGCAGGACAAAGAAAACAACACATGCAATTTGTAACAAAAATAAATTAATTAACTTTAGTCGTAACACTACCCAATATCTTAATATAATTATTGATCTAATATCTATTAATAAGCAGCAAATTATGAGTTTATTGAGATAAATATGATTTAACTGTGAGAACTGTACCTAATAAAGTGTAACCAAACAAAATTACTGAATGATCTAACATCTAACAAACATTAAACATTTTTACATGGCAGTAAAGAGTGACTATTTAAACAATCAAAGGTGTAATAATGTTTGCTGTTTTATGTTATAGTTATGACTCTCACTTGGACTATTCACGAGACAATAAAAAGAACAAGTTTGCTAATACCATGGCTTTCATGGAGGAATACCTCAACAATGTGCTCATCGATGACCTGCCTTTTGCAAACGAGGAGAAAAACAAGCTAACGTATGAGGTACTGTGGCATATTATTATGCTTTAGCTCCACTGGTAGTGCTTGGGAGTATTTATGGCTGCATACTTAAGCGTTGAATAAAACCATCTGTAAGATATTTCCAAATCATCTTCACATTTTTGCTTCATTTGCATGTTTGTAGGTGGTGAGCTTGGCGAGGCATCTCATCTACTTTGGCTTCTACAGCTTTTTCGAGCTCCTGAGATTGACTCGCACTCTTCTGGGAATCATAGACTGCACTCCGAGCAACGCTTCCATCAACCCACTGTTCAACGATGATGGCAGTGGTCAGTACTGAATAATGTTTAGATGTTTACATGGCTCCAAACCCGCTACTGAAATGGATGCAAAAGTTATTTTTTAAGGCAAAAAATGATGACTATCACACATTTTATAATGTTTTACAGATGAAACCTACCAAATGAAATAAAGTGTAACAATAGTTATATACCAAATACTCAAATCTAGTCACAAAAATCATTTAATGACATTAAAAGGATCACAGTGGATGCCAAAATTGCTGTTTAAATGTCACTTTAAATCTAAATAATTAGCATAATGACTTAAACTTTTATGTATTTTTAGTAATTACAGATTATGGTAAGTATGAAGTTTCATTGTTACATAAATATATCTGTTAATAATAATATTAATAATAATAATAATAATATTAATAATAATAATAATAATGCCTTTTATTTATAGGCTTACTGTACATAGCACCTTACAGTATATAACAAGGACATCAAAAAATACAGGCAGCTAAAAAAAAAAAGCAATCGACTGGATATTAAACCAGCAAATCATTAAAAGCGATGCTGAATAAAAAAGTTTTATCTGAGATTTAAAATTGTAAATAGTGTTTACCAAGCGAATGTGCAAAGACAGGGAAATCCATAACTTTGATGGTGCACAACTAAAAGCCCTGCTACCAAATGATTTCATCTTAAAGTTTGGAACAGATACGCTAAGCTGAATTATGATCAACATTTAGATTTTTGGTTTTCACATTTATTTGAAAGATTAATGCATTCAATATGTTTCCCATGCTTATAAAACCACTTTTGTAAATTTACTTTTAAAAAGTCTTGTTAATTAATACTTAATTTATACATAATATAAAAAAATTACATGAAATTCACAATTGCTTTTCATGGATTACATTTTTAATGGGATTTTAATGCATAATAATAGATTTTTTTAACTGGGAAAATAATTAATTGCTAAATCCAAATAAATTATAAAAAAATAATGATTTAAAGTTCACATTTAATGAGCAATTGTGTAATTTGTGTACTTGAATAAAAGGCTAAAAAAGTCAATAAAATTATTTTTTAATAACTTTAATTACTTACATCTTTTTTTACATATTTGTTCTGGTGTGTGTAATAAAAAAACTTCTACATATTTTTTTGTTTTCATTCTATACTAACAAAAATAAAAAGTAATGTAAAAATAAAATGTGCGACACAGAGGGAAACCCTTTATTTCTCAATTAGCTCACTGTTTGTTTTAGTCTGGTATTTGTATATACTTATATAAACTAAAACATCCTAGAATTTCAGTCTCCAAAATGGCCAGTAAATTGATTGAATCATTAATTTTTAGGTAAGAACGTCAGGCGCTCCATTCATGGCATGGGACAGATGATGTCTACCATGGTGCTTAACCGAAAACCATCTCTGTTCTCCGCTCCTGGTCGAACTGGAGACAGTCAAGTCGGCAGTAAAGACAGCATCGACACACAAGACATCACTGTCATGGACACCAAACTCAAGATTCTGGAGATTTTACAGGTAGTGTGTTCAAGTTATCTTTATTTCTATAGCACTTTATAAAATGTAGATTACAGTATATCAAAGCCACTTTACAAGAAGATGGCAACATTTTATTATTGTGGAACATATTTATTGCTGATGGTAGAAGAATAGTAGTAGACTGCTGCTCTAGTTCCATTAAAAAAAAAAAAAAACAGTTCAGTTTAATACGAATGAAGATACACTCAGGGGTAATGAAAAATTGTAAAATGTAAAAAAAGTCAAAAAATTTTTTACTAACATTAATGAAATAGTTTACCCTAAGTGAAAATTATCACATAATTTTTTCTTCCCAAAGCCATACTCTGTGTTTATGACTGTTCTTTCGGACAAACACAGTTGTTATAATTCACATATTTTCTTTGCTGTAAAATTGTGTTGGGTAGTGGGTCTTTTTTGAAACTTCCAAAAGCACATAAATCCATCGAAAACTATCCCATACGCCACCAGGATGCTTCAAAAAATGGACCACTACCCAACACCATTATACAGTTTGGAAAAGTCAAGATAATGGTTTAAGGCTGAGTAAATGATAGGGTAATTTGTATTTTTGGTATCTATTCCTTTAAAGCTGGCCTATTATTTAAAAAAAAATACTTTTAAAATGGGTTTAAACACAGATGTGTTAATATAGCCTGCTTCTAGTTGCAAAAATAAATTAATTCTATTTTTTATAAACACACTATATAAACAGTCTGCAGAAGCACTTTGATTGACATTCTCCTATTGTAAATGTCATTGAAAGGGGAAAGCCCCGCTCATTAGTGACGATTTCTTCCTCATTAGCATTGACAATCCTGAGTGAGAAGTAGCGTCCACCATGATGCTGTGTTCACACCAGACACGGCACACAAGAATAATTCACACTATTTATGTGTAAATAGACATGTGGACATTTTTAGTTTACTTACTTGCTTCATTTGCGCGTCAAATTCGCTTCATTCATGTGTCAAATTCACCTCACAATATATGTGGATTCGCGTCATAGGCGAGGCTTTTGTCTGTCTGGTGACTCTAGCTTCGTTGCTAAATGGCTAACATGCATTTTACTATTATAGTAGCTGTGCTTTGTGCTTTAGCAAGGCTGAAAAACAGCTTAGTTTTGTTAGTTTTGAGTTGCACCCAGCTCTGTTATTTCATCAACTCCTCCAGAAACTATACCTGGATGATGGAAGCTTTCAGCAGTGCTTCAGTCTGAGCTGAGCCCAGTTTGATGAACTGTTGTCCGGTGTCAGCAATGATAATCACGCCCCTACAAGAGCAAGCTAATGATGTTCAGATTTTTTAACTCAAGTGGTTCATGTGAAATAAGTGTAAAGCGTGTCAAACGTGCAAAACGCGCGCTGCCTCATTTGTGCGAAACGCGGCCAGGATGCATATTCGTTTTTTTTGCACTGACTTAACAAGCAAATCATATAAGCTTGACACCTCATCAGCATCTGCTGTGAACCCAGCATTAGAGTTTTGAATCTGCTGTGTAGCTCCGCCCTCTTTTGAAAAGAGGGCTGGGCACACAATCTCATTTGAATTTAAAGCAACAGTCACTAAAATGGCACATTTTGGATCAAAGCCTAAATGGGGCAGTTTTAAAAAGTGTACAAAATTATTAGTTATCTATTTTGAGCTGAAATTTCACATACACACTCTAGGAACATCATAGAGTAAATTTACACCTTGTAAAAAGGGGCATAATAGGTCCTTTTTAATATCAGAAATGTGAACCCATTTGTACTCTCATTTCTCAAATTAGGTTTTTTTTTTTTGTTTGTAGTTCATCCTCAGCGTTCGTCTAGACTATCGGCTTTCGTTCCTCCTCTCCGTCTTCAAGAAGGAGTTTGTGGATGTTTATCCTATGGAAGATGCAGATGCCACACATCATACTGAGCATGAGGGTAATAGATGTACAGATAAATATACAAAATCATACCTTGATGTAAATGCAATCACTAACCTACTAATCAAATAACATTAAGGTAACACTTTACTTTATGGTGTCCTTGTTATGCATGTTCCATGTACTAAATGAAGCATAATTACATGCTTCATGCCTTAAACCTAATCTTGATCCTTTGATCTCAAGAACATATAGTTTATAATATTGCTCAATACTTAAATGTATAAGAATGACACTGTACAATAAAGCGTTACCATCAATTAACAATCTATGAAATAACAATATAATCAAACTACCATTTAAATGTACTAATTCAATGTACTAATCCCTCCTATTTTTCTTCTTCGTGTTTGTCTCAGAGCATCGTTCTGGTGAGACTGGCAGTGTTTTATAATTTCTTGATTCATAAAATGATGTCCTTGACGTGGAAGTGTGTATTATTTTTTGACCTGTATTATACATTAACTTGCATCAACTTACTATTATTAATAATATTTTTTTATTTGATGATGGCAATACTGCAGAAATTACACACTTCACCTTCATTGGAACACCATTATCTAATTAATTGTACTTAATCTAATTAATCACCATATCTAATTAATTGTAGATTAATAGTGATAGTAGTTGAATGTGCATTCTGATTGCATGTTCGTGTTATTAATTCATTTGTTTTTGAAATATTATAAACAGCTTCCATCAACCTACAGCACATTGGAGAGCAGGCAGAGGCCATGTTTGGAATTGGGTATGTTAATGCATTGCATACGTACAGCATCATATGTTTCATCTAACAAATAATCTGAGTTGTGCAAGCTGACATTCTTGACTATGTCACTCGCTTTGCAAAAATAAAAGCGAAGAAAAACACTCCGCCTCAGTTCTAGTTATGGGGATATTTCACCCCAAAAATGAAGATTCTCTCATAATTTATGCTCCCTCCACGATTTTCAAACCTGTATGATATTTTTTTTGTCTTTTGAAGACAAAAGAAAATATTATAAAGAATGTTAGAAACTGGTAGCCTTTGACTTTCACTTGTTCCTATTTTGGAAGACAATGTCTACAAGTTTTCTACTACTGTTCTTTGGAATGTCATCTTTTATGTTTAACAGAAAAAAGAAACAAACAGCTTTGAAACCCCATCCCCAACCCCCCGAAAAAAAGTAACGCATAAATGTTTGGAACCACTTAATAGTGAGTAAATTATTAGAGAATTTTCATTTTTTTATGCAAACTGGTTCTTTAAGTAATGTCACAGCAGAAGAGTGTTCCCGAATATCTGCATATGAGTCGATTGGAAACGTCCTATGTTTCATATAAACATTGTAGTAATCATTCTGTCTTTTCTCCCATTTTACCCAAAGATTCCCAACAAAGTCGAAGCAGAACATTTGCACATTTAAAACAATGCTTGGGTTTATATATGTAGTTTTCTCAATGAATCAGTTTTTAAAAAATTGAGTAAGACAAAAATTTAAAAGGCAGCTGTTACTTTCCAAAAATCCCTCATTCTGAATGCATTGTTTTAATAAATGAATCATCAAATCACTCAATAAAACAGGGATTTGACACCACCTCTTGGCGGTTTTACTTATTTATCAGTAATAGGTGAAAAAAACACACATGTACCGTTGAATCAGAACTATTAGCCCCCCTTTGAATTTCATTTTGTTTTTTAAATATTTCCCAAATGATGTTTAACAGAGCAAGGAAATTTTCACAGTATGTCTTATAATATATATTTTTTTATTTCAGCTAGAATAAAAGCAGTTTTTAATTTTTTAAAATCCATTTTAAGGACAAAATTATTAGGCTCTTTAAGCTATATTTTTTCGATAGTCTACAGAACAAACCATCGTTATACAATAACTTGCCTAATTACCCTAACCTCCCTATTTAACCTAATTAACCTAGTTAAGCCTTTAAATGTCACTTTAAGCTGTATAGAAGTGTCTTGAAAAATATCTAGTCAAATATTATTTATTGTCATCATCGCTAAGATAAAATAAATCATTTATTAGAAATGAGTTATTAAAACTATTATGATTAGAAATGTGCTGAAAAAAATCTTCTCTCCGTTAAACAGAAATTGTGGAAATAAGTAAACAGAGGGGCTAATAATTCAGGGGGGCTAATATTTCTGACTTCAACTGTATATTAATTATTGAAATAAAAAAAGTCCCAAAAAATGTGAAATATTACTATTGCGCATGATCACTCACAACATTGTATAACCTCTGCCCTTTCCTCGCTGTACAGTAAAGGAAACAGCATTCTGGAAGTGGATGATGAAGGAGGACGAATGTTTCTGCGTGTTTTGATCCACCTCATCATGCACGACTACCCTCCATTGGTTTCTGGGGCCTTGCAGTTGCTGTTCAAGCACTTCAGTCAAAGACAAGAAGTCCTTCATACTTTTAAACAGGTAAAAAAGCTGTGCCTAAATAGTTCAGATCAAACATCTGTAGGTAAAGAACATTTCGAGATGTGCAAAATGGAGATTTAAAGGGATCGTTTACCCAACAAGGTAAATTCTGTCATTACTTACTTTAACGTTTTTACTTAAACTTAAACATTTTCTTTCCTCTGTTAAAGACAAAAACATATTTTGAATAATGCTGAAAACCTGTAACCATTGACTGCCAGAGAAAGTTTTTTTTCAATGGTTACAATTTTCCAGCTTTCTTCATAATGTCTTCTTTAGAGTTCAACAAAAGAATAAAAACACTTTTAGAACCAATTGAGGGTTAGTAAATAGGGAGCATATTTGAATTTTTTGGGTAAAATATCCCTTTAAGGAACGCTAACATTATGGGATCTGTTTTAACAATCTAGGCGCAAAACGCAGGGCGCAAAAAGCATTAAAGGCATGTCTGAGTCCACTTTTGCATCATGGTGCATTTGCAATTTACATGGCAGTGGAATATATTGCACTTATACATTCTGTTTATCTAGAAAATACTTAAATAATATGTGCTATAGGTTCTAAAATGGCCCTCTAAGTGAAAAAACTGAGCACTTTACTAGTGTGAAAACAGTTAAACAGACCATCTGCAGCACAAGGATAAAGAATGAGCCTCCTCCAATCGGCCGTTACTTTCACTTTCACTTTTTCTCTTTCGTGGATATGGAAACAGTGTTGTATGTGCAGGCATCCATTAGCTTATACATAATTAATTTTGTTTAAGCGCAAGATTTGTTTTAAAACAATTTCTAAATTCAGCTCTAATATCCAGCAAACGAATAAATGAATAATAATAACAAAGTGTGGTCAAAAAACTGAGTTATATTCAAACACACATGCTATGCCCCATATGGTCCAAAACCTGACAGGTGGACAAATCTAAGCTTGTTTTTAATAAAACAAATATAAATATGGATAAAATGGATTAAAAATGGATTTGTTTATTGTTTTTTAAATAACATGATGGAAAATGGGAAAATTAGTGTTGCATTGGTCTGAAAATAGCAACACGTCGGGGCAAACAGGTCCTGCACCTTATTGTGCCAGGTGTATGATATGGTCCAACATTTGACTTAAAAAACTAATAAAACATAACTAGCTTTAAAAATCTGACATTCTTGCTCATCCTTATGCAGCAAATTACAATTCTGGTACCACGAAAATAGAAAATGCTAAAATGCAGGCCTTTTTAGATTAAAAACCATGTCTTTCATTCTGCTGTTTGTTCTTTTCAGGTCCAATTGCTTATTTCAACTCAGGATGTGGACAACTATAAACACATAAAACGAGATCTGGATCTGCTGCGCACCATGGTGGAGAAGTCTGAGCTTTGGGTCATTAAAAAGAGCAGTTCTGGGGGAGATGGAAAGAAAGACAAGAAAGACAAAAAAGAGCCTGAAGCGGTGCGTCATACACTGAGGCATGTGTATTAATGTGATTAAACATGTGAAAAGAATGTTACTTATTTTTTTTCTTTTATGCAGGTGTCACCTGAGGAGGAGGCTGATTCTAAGAAACAGACAACTGAAAAAAGCAATGAAAGCTACCAGAATGTTAAAGAGGTGATGTTTCAGCATGTGTTCTCAGACTATATAGTTATTATACTGGAGTCCAAAATGTCTAAGATGTTTAGTTACATTACTGTTTAAAAGGTTGAATCTGTAAGTGTTTATTTTAAATATTTATTTTTATATTTGTTTAGCAATAATGCATTCATCAAGCCTAATTAATGCATAGTTCTTTAAAAAAGGAAAATGATTGATAAATGAAAATTTATTTTCTCATCTTCCACTTGTTCCAAACCTTGTGGTGAACACAAAGAAAGATATGATAAAGAATGCTGGACAGAAACAGCCATTGACTTCCATTGTATTTTTTGTTTCTGGTATGGATGTTTTGTTCCTGGTATGGCTGCTTTTTCTCCCAACATTATTCGGTATATCTTGTTTTTTGTTAAAGAAGAGAAATAAATTAAAAAGGTTAGAACCACTTGAGTAAGAGGAAAATGTATTTTTGGGTGAAATATTCCTTAAATAGTAAAGAAAAGTATGTTAAAAAGTAATTTTAGATGATTTCTTTTCAGATAAATGTTTATTGATCCTTTCTACCCATTATTATATCCATTATTCTAATAATAATAACTGAAGTTAAATAAGAATCTCTCAGAATTTTTCTTTAAGTGTAACATTCAGTCATGAACCTTATTTTTCTATAAAGGACCGCAAGTAAATAACTGCAGTTGTGAATAAAAATAAAAACAAAGCTGTTAACTTTACTGTTTTGATTTTCTTTTTTTGCAAATAAGCTAACCAACATTTTAAATCTGACTTCTGACCTTTAGATTCTAGAGCGATTGAATAAAATGTGCAGTTCAGGTGTATTTAAGAAGCAACAAAGGCTACTGAAGAACATGGGTGCGCACAAAGTTATGCTGGACCTGTTGCAGATCTCCTATGATCGGGTTTGTGGCCTTTTAAAGCATTCAAAACTCTACTAGATGTTTTGTAGCAAGTTTTTGGATTTGTCCCCCTATCAGCTCATGTTTTTTTCTCTTTTTAGAATGACACCAAAATGCTGGAGATCATCAAGTACACACATCTGTTTCTGCAAAAGTTCTGCACAGGGAATCTGGAGAACCAGGCTCTCCTCCATAAACACCTCAACCTTTTCCTGACACCTAGGGTCAGTTCAAAGCATAGAGGATGAAATACATTAGTATAGCATACTTGGCAGATTAGTGTGAAGACCGAACAAGTGGAGTGAGAACTGAACTACAAGTGTGAACATACACTAAGATGTCCTTGTATACTTTGATTGTGTTCTCACTTCTCTTTTTGTTTTCTCTCCCAGCTCCTGGAGGCAGAAACAATGCAGCAGATTTTCAGCAATAATTTCCAGCTCTGTTCTGAGATCAGCGAGTCTGTGCTGCATCATTTCATACATTGCCTGGCCACACAAGGCCGGCACATTCAGTACCTCAACTTTCTGCACACCATCATTAAGGCCGAAGGGAAATATGTGAAGAAATGCCAAGACATGATCATGACTGAGGTTTGTAACCTTGGACTGTTGGTACAGTATGTTTTGATTTTAACCATTTGTTTGACCATCATTATGTTATTTTATTTTATTTTTATTTATTTTATTTTATTTCATTTTATTTTATTTTATTTTGAAATTACATTGTTAATGGAGAAAATATTAATATAAAGACTACATTTTTTTACAACAAAATAAATAATGCTAATAAATAATTTTTTGTTCCCCTCACTCCACCACAAATCATTTATATTTGACCAGATTCAGGACAGATAAAAAAGTATAAAACAATATGTTGTGACATTCAGTGTAAACATCATTTATTGTAAACCTCAAACTACTTTAAATGAGTTTATTAAAATTAAAACTGAAACTAATGATGTGTGGCAAATCCACAGCTACTCCCAGTTTTCTCTCATTTAGCTCAAATACAACTGTGTACATGCACATTTTAGAATGTTAATTGCACTATGTAGTTTTTGTAAAGCTGTAAAAAGTCAAGTGAACCTTATATAGTGTAGATTGTGTCAAAGCCACATTATTGAACAGAAAAAGTATAAAAAATCCATAAAATATTTCAGATTATATTCCATATTCAGCACAACAATCAGGTCACAGAGTAGTTGTTGAATGCTAGTCTATAGTATTTTAGTTCAAAAGAGATCAGTTTCAGTTCACTTTAATACAAGTATAAACACAGTTTAAAATGAATGTTAACAGATAAGAAACATTTTTTTGTTTTATAATCTTATGATAAATCTTTTTTATATACTTAATTTTTAATAAATTTGTAGGAACATATAACCAGTGGGGACAAAATTAACTAACCAACTAACTAACTAACTAACTAACTTACTAACTAACTAACTTACTAACTAACTAACTAACTAACTAACTAACTAACTAACTAACTAACTAACTAACTAACAAAAACTAAATTTATATTCATATATACGTACACAAATACATCCATTCCACATGAACAGTTGAAGTCAGACTTTTTGAATTCAATTTTTTTTTCTTTTTTAAATATTTCCCAAATGGTGTTTAAGAGAGCAAGGAAATTGTCTGATAATATTTTTTCTTTTGGAGAAAGTCTTATTTGTTTTATTTCGGCTAGAATAAAAGCAGATTTTTTAAACATCATTTTAGAGACAAAATTATTAGCCCCTTTAAGCTATATATTTTTTCGATAGTCTACAGAACAAACCATCGTTATACAGTAACTTGCCTATAACTTGCTAATAATTCTGACTTCAACTGTATATCTATATACATACTGTATATCTAAATACATACATTTCTAAAAAAAAAAAAAAAAAAAACCTTTCCAAGTTAATAAATAAATAAATCGAACAAGTTTAAAATAGAATAAAAGGTTGCCAAAGATATTCTCTCTCAATCTTATAATGAATCCTCATTCTTGATAAGCTTGCTCTACCATACATTTGGGCATTAGTTAATGAAAACAACCTGGACACTAAGGTGGCACTGTGGCTCAGTGGTTAGTACTTTCGCCTCACATTAAGAAGGGCGCTGGTTCAAGTCCCAGCTGTGTCAGTTGCAATTTCTGTGTGGAGTTTGCATGTTCTGCCCATATTCACGTGGGTTTCCTCTGGATGCTCTGGTTTCCCCCACAAGTTCAAACTCATGCGCTATAGGTGAATTGGATGAACTAAATTGGCCGTAGCATATGATTGTGTGTGTGTATGGGTGTTTCCTAGTTCTGGGTTGTGGCTGGAAGGGCATCTGCTGTATAAAACATAAGCTGGAATAGTTGGTGGTTCATTCCGCTGTGGCAACCTCAGATATATCATAGACTAAGCCGAAGAAAAATGAATGAATGAACATGTACACTTAGGGATATTATTTTTTGAATAGCTTTTTAAAATCATTTTAAACATTAATGTAGGGATGTTGGTTGTGTATGAATGGATTGATATAGAAACATGTTTTTGTTTGTTTATTTGTGTTCATGCAGAAAACTTTAATCAGTTGTAAATAAAATCAGTAACGAATAAACGTCACCACAATGATGTTTTTCACTATTAGCTTACTAGTGCGGGGGATGATGTGGTCGTCCTCTACACGGATGACACGTCGTTTAACACCATGGTGGAGCTGATGACCCAGTCGAGGGAAGGGGTGAAGGACGACAGCCCGCTGCGCTACCATATCTCTCTGGTGGAGCTGCTGGCTGCATGTGCTGAGGGGAAAAACGTCTACACTGAGATCAAGTGCACATCTCTGCTGCCCCTAGAGGAAATGGTCAAAGTAATCACACATGAAGACTGCATAACTGAGGTAAACACACAATTAAGCAGGTTCATTTTTAAGAATCATGTTCAGCCTCACTATACTGTTTAATGTGATGGAGGAGCCAGTTAATGGATTCATTTAAATTTAAAGTTTGGACCATTCTCTGTAAACCATAGAGATGGTTGTGTGTGAAAATCCCAGTAGATCAGCAGTTTCTGAAATACTCAGACCAGCCTGTCTGGCACCAACAACCATGCCACTTTCAAAGTTGCTTAAATCACCTTTCTTCCCCATTCTGATGCTCGGTTTGACCTGCAGCACATCGTCTTGACCATATCTACATGTCTAAATGCATTGAGTTGCAGCTATGCGATTGACTGATTAATAATTTGTGTTAACGAGCAGTTGGACAGGTGTACCTAATAAAGTGGCCGGTGAGTGTATATTGTGATGAATCAAAAAACTACAGGATTCCTCTGTATCTTGCAGGTGAAAATTGCTTATGTGAACTTTGTGAACCACTGCTATGTGGACACAGAAGTGGAGATGAAGGAGATCTACACCAGCAACCACATCTGGAAGCTTTTTGAGAACTTCACTGTAGATATGGCCAGAGTAAGTCCAGTCTACTGGAAAAATAAAGTTATATATGATGTTTTTTTTAATGTATTTTTGTAAACTTGACTTGATTTAATTGTAATTTCAGGTGTGCTCCAACCGTGAGAAACGCATGTCAGACCCTGTGCTGGAGAAGTATGTAATTCAGGTCGTTTTAGACACTGTAACTGCCTTCTTCAGCTCTCCTTTCTCTGAGAACAGCACCAGCACGGAGGTGAAGTTCTGCTTTTATTTCATTGTAAAGCATTCTATAGATTGATTAGGGCCCAAGCACTGAAAATTAAATTAAAATTAAATAATTAAATTAATTATAATTAATTAAATTAAATTTTAAAACTTTTAAACATTAAACATGCTTTTAGTAAAAAAAATATATATTTGAAATATATCCAACGTTATTTACATTTGTTTTGGGTGAATTCCGAGAAAATCCTCTTATATTTAAAGTTTGTGGTTGTAAAGATTTTTAAGCTGCATTATTTGATTTAAAAATTAAATAAAACTTGTAATATCATTTTTAAAAATGATTTTAAAATTATTGAAAAATATTTTTTACAATTTAACGGCTGCTTTCCATCTTTATTTATTTTGCAGTATTTTAATATGGTGCCAAATTGTCATTAGTGATTACACTAGTTTTCAGTGTCTCAGAATATTTTAGTTGTAAAGTTGTACTGCTTAATGCTTTTGTGGAAACTGTGATGCTTTAAATTAGTAGCATTTATTTTAAATGTAAATCTTAAAAAAAAAAAAAAAATTTAAAAAAGAACACTTATTTTATTTTATTTTTTTGGTGTTTAAAAAGACCTTACATAGTAGTATACTCTACAGGGTCACACTTTATTTTGATTGTCCATTCGTTGAAAATAAGTTACATTGCATCTACATGACCACTAATTCTCATTAGATTATAAGTAGACTGTTAGCTTAGGGTTGGGGTTAGTGTAAGTTGACATGTAATTGCTAAGCTTCTTATAGTCAGATAAATGTCTGTTGAAGGAGTATATCAACAGATATTAATCAGACAGTCTACTAATACTCAAATGGAGCATCAAAATAAAGTGTTACCCCAAACAACATAGGAAAAGTTAGTTAGTTTTCTTATTTTCCCACTATCCTCTAAAAATAAAATAAATAAGATTTATGAATCAAAAACAAACCTATCCTCTGAGAGAACAAATAAATAAACAATTCATTGATTAATTAAAAATTAAATATAAATTAAAAATGAAAAAAAAATTATAATAATTGAGCAAGTTTACAAGAAAAGACTAAAAAAGGAAAAATGTAAAGAGAGAGAAGTTTCCAGTTATGTAATGTGCATTAAAATTGATATCGACTAAACAAGGTAAGTCTTTGATAATGTTTAAAGCAGGGTTCCAGGTTTTTAAAAATATTTGAAAGGTCCTGCAGGTAAACATCTCAACGTCTCAAGTTTTATCAAGCTAAACATCTCTCAGATCCACATCTCATGTGATGGAGGAAATATTTGTTTCTATTTGATAAGAATGGCTTGTTTAGCTAAAAGAGTAGAAAAAGCAACAACCTGGCGAGATGCAACAAGTCAACAAGTCAATCTCTCTGAAATGCCAAAAAGGGCTGTCAGGGGTTAGGGTCCAGATTTATTTAATATGTTCATTTAGTGTATCAAAAACAGTGGACCAGAAATTTGTCAATTTAGGGCAACTCCTGAACATATGGATATGGTTAGCAGCATTTTCTGCCACCTTTGATAAGTTGCATCATTGATGAATTTAAGTAAGTGTTTAAAAAAAAACGAACCCCAATCTTTTCAAAGGTTGAGTTAGCTTTAAATAAATTCTGTGTCTTTACTAGAAGAATAATAAAATAAATATGATTGCTGTTTGATATTTACAGTACCATGTCTCATATATCACATAAATGTTTTTTTTTATTTATTATTTGATCAGTTCTCATTTAATTCTCCTAATTTTCTCCTCATTATTCTTTTGTCTCGTTCAGGCTCATCACACCACTGTAAAGCAGCTGCTGCAGTCCACCATGCGTCTGTTAGACTGTCCATGGCTACAGCCACAGCAAAAAGTCCAAGTGGAGTCCTGCATCCGAACACTAGCAGTGACAAGTAGGTCATCCTAATAGATAAAGAGGAAAAATGAGGATTAATGTGTCTTTATCAGTTTTCATGGACATAAAAGATTTCTGCTGCATGACCAAATTTATTTTTTTTTTTTTCTGACTGTCCACAAAGCCAAGAGTCGCTCTATTCCTCTGCCAGTGGAGTTGGAGGCTCATGTCAACATGATGTTGAGTCACAGTAATTCCCTCACATTGTCCCGATCCAGTCACTCCAACAAAAGCATGTCACGCTTAACACGGCCTGCCGCTCCCACCAACCCCTGGGACTACAAGAACATCATTGAAAAACTACAGGTATTTAAGAGTGTGTGGTATAAATAGAAGCATTATACATATTTAAACTCATTTAAATTTTGGAGTCAAGTGACTTCTCAAAAAATGATTTATTTCCTTAATAAATAATGTTACTGACAAGCCATTTTATTAGGTACACCTTGCTAGTATGGGGTTAGACCCAGCTTTACAAACAGAACTGCTTTAATTCTTCATGGCAAACATTCCTCAGAGATTTAATGGGATAGTTCGCCCAAAAATTACAATTTTCAACATTTAATCTCACTTAAGTAAGTGGATCAAAACCTGAATTTATTTTTGTCTTCAGAACCAGATATTCTGATGATAGTTTCTTTTTTTTGTTTTTTGAAAATAATAACCATGTTAGTAAAATTATTAATAAAATTGTCACTTTTTCCACTTACATTTCAAGTGCCTTGATTATGATTTTTTTCTAAGGAATGTCGGTAAACAACAGTCATTGACGTCCATAGTATTCAATTCAATTCAGCTTTATTTGTATAGCGCTTTTACAACGTAGATTGTGTCAAAGCAGCTTCACATAAATGGTCATAGTAACTGGAACAGTGTAGTTCAGTTTTTAGTGTTTAAGTTCAGTTCAGTTTAGCTCAGTTCAGTGTGATTTAAAATCATTACTGAGAGTTCAAACACTGAAGAGCAAATTCATCGATGCGTAGCTCTACCAATCCTGAACCATGCGAGCCAGTGGCGACAGCGGAGAGGGAAAAAAAACTTCACCTGATAGGAGTGAAGAAAAAAAAACCTTTAATAACCTTTAATAAAGCCAAAGACCAAAAGTCTTGTGCAGAGTAGGAACCAAACATTCAGTAACACTTTAGGTTTAATCCACAGTATTAAAATATAACCATTAACTAACACTCCTAGCTTAATAAACAACTCATGATCTGTGTATTAATAGTTAGTAAGGTAGAAGTTGAATTTAGGTTTTGGGTAGGATTAGGGATGCAGAATAAGATCATACTTAATAACTACTAATGAACAGTTAAAAACTTGTTCATAGTCGGGTAATAAGCCAGTAGTAAATAGCATGAATTCTAACCTAAAGTGTTATCATAGTCAGAGGCTGTTTTCACCCAAACATTCTACAGTTTGCCATCATCTGTGTTGAACAGAAGAAAGAAACTCATACTTGGAGATGAGTAAATGATGACAGGATTTTCATTTTTATGTGAACTATCCCTTTAAGTGTTTGCGTTAATGAGCAACAGGTGTACCTAATCAAATTAATTCAGAATGTATTTAAAATAAGCCATAGGGCATGTTAAAATGGTAACACTTCAGAATAATGGTCTGTTAATTTATGTATTATCTAACATTAGTGTTAATAATCTTGTACAGCATTTATAGCTCAACATTTACTAATGCTTTATTAGTATCCAAAGTTGGGCCTGTTAACATTAGTTAATGCACCGTGGGTTAACACGAACTAACAATGAACTAATGTTTTTTAACACTAACGTTAACAAAGATTAAAAAATAACATCATAAATATTACTAATTGGTTGTTCATGTTTGTAAATGCATAACTAGTATTATTAATGGACTGTTGTTTTAAAAGTGTTTAGATGTATAGTATTGCAGTGTATGAGAGTTTGTGTAACTGCTCTTAGGATATCATTAACACACTGGAGGAGCGTGTGATGCCTTTGGTGAATGCGGAGCTGTCTGTGCTGGTGGATGTGCTGCATCAGCCTGAGCTGCTGTTTCTGGAAGGCACCGATGCTCGCTCACGCTGTGAATCAGGAGGATTTATTTCTAAGTGAGTCGCTTTTGTGTCACTTTTGACTTTTCTCATTTTGCTTTCGGCACACATGTCTTAGTCAAAAAAAAGCAAAGCGATTATGTGTGACTTCATGTTTTTCTCCTTTTGCTCTGAGCAGATTGATCCAGCACACAAAGGCCCTCATGAACTCCGATGAGAAGCTCTGTATCAAAGTCCTCAGAACTCTGCAGGAAATGCTCATTCGCGAGTTGGATTTCGATGAAAAGGTGAGGTTGAATCACAATAGTAAGTGGTAAAAGGCATTATAAATATTAAGCGTTTTGAAATTTGTTATGTAAGATTAATCTCATGGATGCACTGGGACATATCCTCAGTGATGTATTCTGGGATCATTGGGTGTTGCGGCAATCTAAATAATAATTGTTTTGAAATTTGTAAAGTACAGCATTTTAAAATTTCCTAAACTAATTTTAGTTTAACTTAATATTCAGAAAGTATATTCTAAATATTGAATATAATGATACATATATTAGAATATAAGTTACTGTATAGTCAAAGATGAGACATCCATTTTAGTGTCTACTTCAAACTTACAAAAGGGATTTTATATGGAAACCTTTATATAAACATTTCAAGTGTCTACTTAAGTAACTGTTTTGTTAACCTTTAGTTATATTCATTTAACCTTAACTTTTGTCAAAATAAATTGGTGAAAGATTGGTGATATAAAGTTTCATCATCGTTCAATGTTAAAGATATATTTATGTATAGTAACAATGAAATAACTCTGTAAATTAGGTTATATGTGAATATGTCATACTAAATTATATTTTATTTTGTAGTTATTTTTCATTCTATTAAATAAACATCTTGGGTTCATATGGGTGAAATTCATTTAAGGATTTATTTTAAACTGATATTTTAGGGCAGCATTGTGGAACTTGTTTTTTCTTGTTCTTAATATGCCTGAAAGGAAATTTTTTGTTATATATATTTTTGTTATACTAAAAGATAATTAAGTGATTGTCTTTTGTAAATTAATGTGAATAAAAAAATTATAAGCTAGTAAACAATCAAGTGAATAAGTAAATAAAAGACACATTGTTAAAAAAAAACTAATGTTTCTTGTACAATTTCCGAAGTTTAACAAAAAATATTCTAACATAGGCTCATTCTGAAAATGTAGCCCTAAATACATTTCTGGAGATTGTGAATCATGTAGCTAGATGTATATATGGCTACATTTCGTTTTTAAAAAGGAATGCTACGGAGTGTTATGATGCTGATTTTTTTTTCACACCTACCAGCTTACCACCGTATGCACGGCTTTCACATTGTTACCAATTTGATCAGTTAGCTCACCATGTACGTCGGCGGACTTGAGACACAGAGAGGAGCTGACAACGATGACATGGATCGAGTCTGGTGAAGAATGGTTCCAGAAAGCAGGTTAGACAAAAGCAGAAGCTAAAAAAATAAATAAATAAACAAGTAAATAACAGGGTAAGAATGTGGTAAAATCCGAAAACGTGGTAAAAATCAGACGAGGGATTTTCTTTTGCTCGATTGCTTTTGAAAACTGTTGGTTGGGTTTAGGGAAGTTTGTGGGCTCTAGTAAATCGGTGCTTTTGAAAACACTATTGGTTGGGTTTAGGAAAGGAGGAGCATAGGTCAGTCGATCGATCGATCAGTCAGTCGACAGTCAGTCGGCAACAACTTTTGGTTGATTTAAGCAAGCTCAAATGGCACTCGTGAGAGAAATTTGAAATCTAAAAAAAGCGCACACAGCCACCTCTGGCGGAAAACAAAAACTGCGAAAAAAACAGAGCTCCTGTGATGTATTTGGCACTCTCCAGAAATGCATGTAGGGGTATGTAATCAGAATGAGCCTGGGTTGAAATATTTATGTTCAACCAGAAAGCCTTACCTATTAAATCACTTCTGTCTTTTTGCAGGGCTTTGCCTTAAGAAAGGTGTTGCTCCAGAACTACCTCTACAATAACAAAAAGAACATAAAAGCAGAGCTTGTTGAACACGCAGGAGGTAATTTTCAATATTTTTAGAGTTAGGCTTGTGATCAGTACAATTAAATGTAAATCGCAGCTCTCTTCCAGATAAGTTTGGTGCTGTGACCAAATTTATTCAAATGACAAATACCAAAAAAGAAACAAAAAACAAAGATAGCCGTTCTGGCATGTGACACACATTTTCAAAGCAGAATATAATAACTCTACCATAGTTTTTCAAATAAACAAGAATATTGGCTTGGCATGTTTCATAAATATCTGTTAACATATTATGCTATTTTTATGCTTTAGAAGAGTCAAAAACACCTTTAAATGAATAACAGGAAGAAAAAACTAAAGCCTTAGTTGGTGATCTTCTTTGGTATTTGTGATCAGTACAGAAATCAGATTAATGCTAAATTGATACTGCAGAATTATTAAGATACAATTCACAAGCAAGACTCCTGACTTATGTTTGTTAAGGTGCAGAGGGCGAGAGAGACTGGCTAACAGTGGCAGCATTACAGTGTCGCCTGGACAAAGAAGGCGGCACCAAACTCTTCACAGACCTCATCACCAGCACCAAGAATGAGAAGATCTTCCAGGAGAGCATTCAGCTCGCTATCTGTCTGCTAGAAGGGGGAAACACAGAGATCCAGGTGGAGGAATAGCTTCTGTGCTAATAGAGCTAGCAGGAGGATCAGTACATTATGCATTATTATGATTATATTACTCATCTTTATAACAGAACTCCTTCTACAAACTCATGATGGGAGACAACAAGTCTGAGAAGTTTTTTAAAGTGCTGAATGACCGCATGAAGAACGCACAGCTTGACATCAAATCCACCGTCTCTGTCAATGTGGGGGAAATGAGCAACAAAGCCAAAGATGACAAAGATCTGGAGACTGGTAATGCAACCCCACACTTGCTTCCTCTGTAAGGGACACTCCACTTTTTTTGAAAATAGACTCAATTTGCAGGTTGAGTTTAACCATTTTTAAATCCCTTTAAACTGATCTCCAGGTCTGGCAGGGATACTTTTAGCTTAGCTTAGCATAGATCATTGAATCAGATTAGACCATTAGCAGCCCATTCAAAAATGTCGAAAGGGTTCAATAATTTCCCATTTAAAGTTTGACACTTCTATAGTTAAATCGTGTACTAAAAACAATAATGAACAGTTGTTATTTTCTAGACTGATACATGTAGGAACTTTACTCTCATTCTAGCGTAATAATAATTTTCCTTCAGGTGGCGTATCGTCGTTTGGCCAGCCTGAGCCTCAACCTGAACAACAGGAAGTGGAAACAGAAATGGGGCCATCTGTCACCATCATGAAACCCATCCTGCGCTTTCTACAGCTGCTCTGTGAGAACCACAATCAGGACCTTCAGGTCTGAACAACCCCACACGAACAATCACTTTAGATCATGGGGATTAGCTTGATTTAAAAAGAGTATCTGGATATCAAACCTTTGGCCAAAAGTAATCTGCATCTTTAGTGTCACAGTTAAGTTACCTAGGAAAAGTCTTTTTTTTTAAATGGTCTTTATTGAACATTGAACGTTGAGTATTGTTATAAGAATTATATTTTCATCTTTGCTTTAGAACTTTCTTCGCATTCAGAACAACAAAACAAACTATAACCTGGTGTCAGAGACTCTGCAGTTTCTGGACATCATGTGCGGCAGCACAACTGGAGGACTGGGTCTGCTGGGCCTTTACATCAATGAGAACAATGTGGAGCTGATCACACAGACCCTGGAGACCCTCACAGAGTACTGTCAGGGGCCATGCCAAGAGAACCAGGTCAGATCATCGATTATGAATACTGGTATTATTTCATCTAAAAAATATTTTGAGCCACAGATGCTTCATAAGGTGGGAGACTGTATGTAAAACAACTTTTGTGATTTTGGACTTTTTGACTTTCCATACATTTTTTTTTTCAGTCTAAAAGACAGAAATGATTAATGTACAGGGTGGGCCATTTATATGGATACACATTAATAAAATGGGAATGGTTGGAGATATTAACGTCCTGTTTGTGGCACATTAGTATATGTGAGAGGGTAAACTTTTTAACATGGGTGGTGACCATGGTGGCCATTTTGATGTTGGCCATCTTGGATCCAACTTTTGTTTTTTTCAATAGGAAGAGGGTCATTTGACACATCAAAGGCTTCCAGTATCCATAGTTTCAGGGGCTGCACATCTTGTATCTTCACACCATAGAAAACAAAGATAGTGGGGCCATTCTTCATCAGTGGAAACCTCAAGGCCACTGGATATTTGAAATTGCTACATGATGATGTGTTTCCCAATTCATGCACTGAAGCTGGCACGTTCCCTGAGATTTTTTTAGCAAGATGGTGCACCACGACATTATGGATGTCAGGTCCGAGCATTCCTAGATGAACAGTTTCCTGAAAAGTGGATTGGTCATCGTGGGCCAGTTGAATGGCCCCCAAGGTCTACCAATCTGACCCCCTTAGACTATTATTTTGGGGTCATCTGAAGGCATTTGTCTATGGTGTGAGGATATAAGATGAAACTACGGATACTGGAAGCCTGCGCTGGCATTTCTCCTGCGGTGTTGCTATCAGTGTGTGAAGAGTCGGAGAAGAGGGTTGCATTAACAATCCAATACAGTGGGCAGCACATTGAACACATTGTGGTTACAAGTGGTTAGAAACTTGTAAATAACGAATAAAGTTACGTTAAACCAAGCACACCATTGGTTTTCTTGTAAAATTCCCAATAAATTTGATGTATCAAATGACCCTCTTCCTTTTGCAAAACCAAAAATTGAATTCCAAGATGGCCAACTTCAAAATGGCCACCATGGTCACCATCCATCTTGAAAAGTTTGCCCTCTCACATATACTAATAATAGATGTTAATATCACCCACCCTGTATATATTTTCTAAGTATTAAGTTGTCCATTGCACACTTTATTAGTCTGTGTCTGAAGACTTTTACAATTCAAATATAATAAAGATTTTAAAAAGATTTTTTCTCCTTCATTGAGCCATAAATCTCCACTTCAGCAGCACATACTGTACATTCACATTACAACTTACAACTCTACAGTTTTATTCATATGTGTTTTGAAGGTTTTTACAAAGGGATGTGTTCATCTATGACTGATTATATCTGATTTAAAATACTTTTCTTTCTCATCATTTGCAGTATTTTTTATTGTGGGTTGATAAAACGATTCTTAATATGTCAACAGGTGAAACAAGAATTTTACTGCGGAGCTGACTTTATCCAACGTTTATATTTTCCTCATAGGACAATAGTGGATATTAATAGATGATTGAAAACAAAATTTTCATTGTTTAGATTGCTACCTCCCACTGTTATTAGTAAGGTGAATAATTAATTTGTGCAAGTTATTCCACTGAAATGTTTTTTGTTTGTTTCAGTCCTTCTGTTAATATCAACACGAGGGCTTCCATAGCAACTGCATATTATTACCATCACTTACCATTTATACTTTAGTTAATGATGCACAAAAGAAAGTCCCATCTCCTACTCAATATTTACTTTCAGCTGGAATTACATCAACAAAATAAAATAAAAGTCTCTGCAACTTCTGATTCATGCAGAATTTAAAGAAATGTTGCCTCATTTGTATTTATAAATGCAATATTTTATAAAACATGTAATACAAAAAATGTTTTTAATCCTTAATGTAATCAGTCAACATGGGAGGTATGGTTATTATGTTTTTAAACTCTTTAACTCTTTTCACATGTGGTGTCTTGCTTAAAACACACACAAAAAAAAAAACTGTAATTATATAACAAAACTTTTTTTTTAACAAAACTCTTTTTACAGACATGCATTGTCTCCCATGAGTGCAACGGTATTGACATCATCACAGCTTTAATTCTGAATGACATCAGTCCTTTATGTCGATATCGCATGGAACTGGTGCTTCAGCTCAAGGTGAGGATAAAGTCAAAGCTTTATTTTAATAATTGATAATGACTTAATGTAACAAACATGAATGTTATCAGGACAATGCCTCTAAGCTTCTTCTGGCTCTGATGGAGAGCCGTCATGACAGTGAGAATGCAGAGAGGATCCTGTTTAATCTTCGACCCAGAGAACTGGTCAGTTTGACTGCATCATGTTTGTCTGCATGTAAAGTATAATGGTAGTATTTTAACAGTTCTGTGCTGTATGTCTTTAGGTGGAGCTGATTAAAAAGGCTTATCTGCAAGAGGGTGAGTGTAAGGAGGGAGAAGTGTCACCACGAGAAGTTGGGCATAACATCTACATCCTGGCACTACAGGTGAAGCACTACATCAGATTGGCATGTTTGATGCCACTGCTGATTTTTTTGATTGAGTGATATGCAGAGCCAATGGACTATACTGTATGCACAGCTAGTGTTTTTCAGCCAATGATGAACTTCTGGTAAAAGCTTTATGTGAATATTTTCATTTTTTTAAGGTTTCTTTTACAGTATCGATGTTGTAATGTAATTCAGATATAATCATTTAAATAATGTTAAGCATTCGTTTGGTTGTTAAAGCGTGAAAAGAGATGAAAGAGCGTTTAAGCGCAGGGACCGTCATTAGCAGCATGCTAGCGCAGAAATTCTATTGAAAATACTGAGGTAAAACTTAAACTTAATTCCATATTTTAAAGACATGGCACAGAAAAATAATTTAAAACAGTGCTTCTTGTTTGATCTGAAACCCACTTTAAAAATGATAAGAACAATAAAAAATTTACTATTAATGTATTTCATTTATTAAAGTATGTTCTGATTTTTTTATGTTTAAAACTTATGTTAATGAAAATAGTATATTTGTATATGTACAATATATATATATATATATATATATATATATATATATATATATATATATATATATATATATATATATATACACACACACTACTGTGCAAATTTAATTAATATAATATAATTTAATTTAATTAATATAATTTTTTTTTCTTCAGGTGTTTTTTTATTTGCTCACCAATGCATTTTTAATCAAAAATGCATTAAAAGTGATAAACAAAAATACTAATTAGGTGTTATTTCAATTTAATTTAAAATAACATAAAATACAGAAAACAGCTGGATTTTTATTTTCTGTCTGGAGATTTTTTAATATTGCATTTATATCTTTGATTTCAAACTAAACTAAACTAAATTTTCACCATCAGTATTGCACAATCCTTCAGAAATCATTCATTTGCTACATATTATTAGGTAAATAAACATCTACAAAATATAATTCATAATTAATTTTAATTTCAACATTTATTGCAAAACTGCTTGAAATCAAAAATTGAAATTTTATTATTTAATAATTATTAAATGCTGTTTTAGTGCCTTTTAAAGTGCAAGCACCATAAAGTTTTAACATTGCTCTTTATTTTTTTGCAGCTTGCCCGACACAACAAAGTGCTACTCACACTGCTTAAACCAGTAAAGAAGATAAAAGAGGAAGAAGAGGAAAGCATCTCCTCTATGGTAACTTACGACTTTGACATTTATGAAGCAGATTTCTAATATGGGTGTCATGGTGTCACAGTGGGTAGCACGATCATCTCACAGCAAGAAGGTCGCTGGTTGGAGCCCTGGCTGGGTCAGTTAGCATTTTTGTGTGGAGTTTGCATGTTCTCCCTGTGTTTGCGTGGTTTTTCTCTGGGTGCTCCGCTTTCTCCCACAGTCCAAAGATATGCGCTATAGGTGAATTGAATAAACTAAATTGGCCGTAGTGTATTTGTGTGAATGCAAGAGCGTATGGGTGTTTCCCAGTGCTGGGTTGTAGCTGGAAAGGCATCCGCTGCATAAAACTTATGCTAGGTGGGTTGGTGGTTCATTCTGCTGTGGCGACCCCTGAATAATAAAGGGACTAAGCCAAAAAGAAAATGAATGAATGATTTTTCAATATAGCCTTTAGAATGCTTCATCATTACAGTATTTTATTCTGGCTTTTTTATTGCAGCTCAATCTGAACAAGCAGCAGGAGGAGGAAAAGGAGGATCCACTAGAGCACTACGACCGTCAAACTGCTCAGATTGAGGTATAGACAGTGTAGATTACAGTATAAATGCAGTCAAACCTCTGATATCATTTTTGACATGTTTTTATTAGTAGAAGCAGGATAATATAGTTCATTTATTTACAGCAAGACAGTATAGCCAATCAAAATCACATATTACAACCTACAATTATTCAAACAGTGGACTAAAACCAAACAGGAAGTTAAGTAATCTTTGATTGTTTAATTTCATACTGTAATTCTTTCCATACTGTACATTTCTACAGACGTTATCTGACATTATTCTGAGTTCTTTTCTATACTATAGTAAATAAACTGTGTTAATGTGAGCGGTATGAATAATTTTTGGTTTTTCTGCGTAGTATTTCTTTGCACTATAATCCTTGGTGTTATTGTAATTTCTGCTCATCTAGTGATTTAAATGAGTCTGATATTCCGTAAGGTGTTTTTCTATTGGTGTATCACATGCAGATTGTTCGTGAAGATCGCAGCATGGAGCAGATTGTGTTTCCTGTTCACCCTATCTGTGAGTTTCTTACGGAGGAGTCAAAGTTTCGAGTGTTCACCACCACGGAGCAGGACGAGCAGGGCAGCAAAGTCACAAACTTCTTCGAGCAGACCTCCTTCCTCCACAACGAGATGGAATGGCAGAAAAAGCTTCGCAGTAAGTGCTGGGCATGAAGTCCATTGGTTTGAGCTGAATGCATCAATAATCCAAAACTACAAATTTAACTTGTGCAGAAAATGCAAATATTGGATATATGTTTTCATAACTGCACACCAGTTCCACACTAACACTATCTTAGAAACTGCCACTAAGTAGGCCATCAGTAATAAAAAATAAATGTGCTGCATTCAGGTGTGTGTAGTTTGGACATGCAATTGTAGAGATACAATAAAAAATGGATTGAGAAATCAGCTCTTGAGAGTTTCACAATGCTTTGCTATTCTCTCTTGTATTGATTATGAGCTCAGTTTCTAACAGTGGCCTTTATACAGCTTGAATCCGATTTTTTTTTTAAATAAAAAAAATCAGTAATAACGATTGAAAAGGGGCGACATGGTGGCTCAGTGGTTAGCACGATCGTCTCACAGCAAGAAGGTCACTGGTTTGAGTCCCAGCTGGGCCAGTTGGCATTTCTGTGTGAAGTTTGCATGCTCTCACCATGTTCAGGTGGGTTTCCTCCGGGTGCTCCGGTTTCCCCCACTGTACAAAGACATGAGGTGCAGATAAATTGAATAAGCTAAATTGGCTGTAGTGTATGTGTGTAAATGCAAGAGTGTATGGGTCATGAGTGTATTTCCCAGTGTTGGGTTGTGGCTGGAAAGGCATCCGCTGCATAAAACATATGTTGGATAAGTTCATTCCGCTGTGGTGACCCCTGATGAATAAAGGGACTAAGCCGAAAAGAAAATTAATAAATGAATGGCCATAGTGTATGTGTGTAAAATGAGTGTGTATGGATGTTTCCCGGTAATGGGTTGCAGCTGGAAGGGCATCCGCTGTGTAAAACATATGCTGGATAAGTTGTCGGTTCATTCCGCTGTGGCAACCTCTAATGAATAAAGGGACTAAGCCGAAGGAAAATTAAAGTTTAGAAACACTCAACTGAATTACAAGAGTGTTCATAGTGAGTTGTGTTTACATTAATCTCATGACATAAAAGCCAACTTGAAAGTCTCCCAGTGCATTCCCAATTACAAATCTCGCCTTACGAAGGTCATTGAAAAATACCATGGTCGGTAGAAGTGCCCTTCGAAATGAAGATTGAAAAGGGACCCTTTCTAATAGAACCCAGTACCAGTCTAATACACAAGCAATCTTTCTTGGGAGCAATCGATTGTATGGTTGAAAGCTAGTCTACAGCACCATCTACTGTTAAAGAGGATGAGCTCAGAATCAGTTCAAGAGACAATACAGAGTCTCTGAATTTATGAAGAATTGTCTCCTCAAACAAATTTTCACTACAGCTCTAGAGACAGTTGTAGGTGGTAATTTAGCCAAATTAATTTAATCCAAGATTTGGAGCAGAATTGATTTCTTGAACAATTCTACGCCACAGCTCTAGAGACAGTTGTAGGTGGTAATTTATTCAAATCATTTTGATGACAGAATTTAAATCACATTAAGATGGTGTGCAGTAAGATTGAGCTATTTACTCGAATTAATTAATTAATTAATTTATTTATTTAAGTTTTTTTATTAAAGGTTTTCTGTCCCTCCACTGAAAGGATATTTGTTCACAGTATGTTCACTAATTGTGTATATGTATGATTTATGTGAAGAAAGTTCTTAATTGAATATATTCATTAAATAAACAATCCCATTTATTAACAATATAAAAATTAAAGAGTTAATTTCTTGTACATTTATTTTGCAATTCACAACCATTTGGATAATTTAAGTTTTGTTTACCTGGACTTTCAGTGGATAGACAGAAACATCTTAGGTTTCATTACAAATACCTTAATTTTTGTTTCGAAGACTGGCAAAGTTTTTAATGTTTGAATAAACTGGCCACATTTTATTATTCAGTGATTGTTTTTTTGTTGTGTTTTAGGCATGCCGGTGCTGTACTGGTTCTCTCGCAGAATGTCTCTCTGGGGCACCATATCTTTCAACCTGGCTGTTTTCATCAATCTTATCATCGCTTTGTTTTACCCTCATGACTCTGGTCATTCTGGTAAGTTTATATGTGCTTTACTTTCTGGTAGCTTTGGCGTATTTAAATTGTAATCCTTCATTGACCATAAATTGAACAATACGACCAATAACTATCACGTCTTTTGTTGGTGTTCAAATGTACCAGATCCAATATGTATATTTGTGATAATCTTTAAAATGCTTTAGACCCCATTTACACCTGTATGAAGCCTCGTCCAGTTCTGATCAGACTGATGAAAATGCATTTTAATTCCAGGGGACAACAGGGCTGTAAATTGTCTTTTCATGTATGTTTTCACGTCTCCTGTTCTTCCAGGTAGCATCGACTCTTCTCTTCTGCTCATGGGATTCTGGTGTTTTGCTGGACTGGCTGTTTTAGGCCTGCTATTCAAGCGATATGGGTTTCAGTCACTGACCGTTGCCATCACGCTGCGCTGCATCTATCACTTCGGTATTGGTCCGACACTCCTCTTGCTGGGGGCTCTCAATGTAAGTCTTAAAGTAAAATTCGATTTGTATTATACAATACTACACGTTTGCTTATATACAAATAAATATGTTGTCTTTTTTTATCCAGCTCATCAATAAGATAGTGTACTTGGTGAGCTTTGTGGGAAACAACGGCACCTTCATCATGGGTTATAAAGCCATGGTAATGGATGTAGAATTCCTGTATCATGTGGCTTACGTGTTAACCAGCAGTCTGGGGCTGTTTGTCCATGAGTTCTTCTACAGCATATTGGTGGGTGTCATGAATTACTATACACTATTAGTCACTTATACACTTATATAAGTGGTTGTTTTTTAAATACTTTAAACATGTATTTATAAACAGATTTCTAAAACTGATCAAGTGTGACTGTAAAGAAATTTATATTATATATAAATGTTTTAGTTTTGAAATTATTTCTTCAATTTAAACCTTAAATATCAAATAAAGTCCTTAATTAAAGTCCATTTTATTTCCCCAAAATAACAAACAAGAATAACAGTTTAATTAACCAGAAAACCTTTCTTCAGTTTGCATGTTATTCATGGTCAATAACGATTTATTACTATGAGTTATCACTAACAAAGCATTTTTAAAGCATTTGTTAATGGAATTATGAACCTTATTGTGAAGTGTACACTACTTTAACCTTATCTAATGTGTTACTCCTATTTTAACTAATGTGTAAATAATGAATTAATAACCTCCTCAATATATGATAAGTTTACATGTCAGATGTAGTTGTGCTGAATAAATGTGTTGTTAATTTTTAGTTCATGTTTTCTAATCCATGAACAAATGCATTAGTGTGTGTGTAAGTAAACAAACTAATTATAGGCTGATAATGTAAAAAGGTGCATTAGAATATGAGTATGTTAACATTAACAGAGATTATGTGATAAATAAAGGTTGTTTTTCACCATTAGTTCATATTAACTAATTTAATAAACAACACATTAAAATATTTACTGTTAATTCATGTTAACTAATGCATTAACTAATACAGCCATATTGTAAATTGTTTCCAAGCTGGTAAATAAAACAAATTTAGTCAATCTTTTAAAAAAAGATTAACAAATATAAAATATAAAAATGTAAACAATTTAAAATGCTGCAAAATACCTTTTTAATTTTTTAGTTTTGTAGAAAATAGATTGTTACTTGCTTTCAAGCACACAGCAGGTGAAGGGAACTAGGGTTGTGCTGATAGATGATGCCATTGTCCATCGCCAATGGCCGACAAACTTTACGATGCTGAGCCGGCATTGCGACCCATCACCCCGCCCCACATTTATTATGATATATAACTTATTATTTGCATGTCATCTTAATAGCAATAACGGTATTTTCATGAGCTCTGTTAAATTTTACATATAGCTGTCGCTTGCATGGCTGACAGCACCGTGAGGATTAATGAAGGATTATACAACACCTCTCGCGCTTAAAATGTGTAGATCCAGTAGCAAACGCTGTTACCTGCAAACCCCGTCCCACAGACTTTACAGTAAATGGCTTTAGTCATTTTTCAAAGCGGACTTGAAACCACTGGATGTGTTTTATCCACTCTTGGAAAAGTGTAAATGGTGGATTAACATTCACCACATGATCCCTAATAAGATGTGCCATTATTAGTAACTGTAGGTAAATCTGTTATTTTCATTTCCTCATCTTCAGTACAACTTCACATTTTCACAGTTGTAGCTCCTGTCATCTGAAGGCAGAAGGCATTGACTGAGTGATTGACGGCTGATACTAACCAATAATTTGCATTCAGTTCTAGAGCAGTGAGCCAATAAGAAGAGCCCAGAGGCAGGGCAAGCACTCTGGGCTTTTTTTACTTCAACAAATTCACATAACAACTGTTTTAATCTGTTATATATTATAAGCGGAGGGTAAGCCAAAGGAAGTCAAACGTAAACAATCCTCCAATGAAGTCTCTCATACGCATCTTTGCTGCTCCTTAAATAAGCAGTAAGATTAGCTGCACCTGCTCATAATGGTTCACCTATTAAGAAAAAGAAAGCAAAAGCCAGGAAACAAAACGAACCAATCACAAACCTATAACAAAATATTTCTAAACCACAAAAAAGCACCAATTGTGGGTAATAAATGCTATTGGTGAATAAATACAATTGAAACACTTTAGCTACTCACAAGAGGAAATTTGACATGACTATGTATGACTTAAATGCACACTATATGATCTTCTACCTATCCTCTTCTTCACCTCATTTTCCTCTTTTACCTTCTTCAGCTGTTTGATCTGATCTACCGTGAGGAGACACTGTTTAACGTCATCAAGAGTGTGACCCGTAACGGCCGCTCTATTCTCCTCACTGCTGTCCTGGCCATCATTCTGGTCTACCTGTTCTCCATCGTCGGCTTTCTCTTCCTCAGGAATGACTTCATTATGGAAGTCGACCACCTTGCTAGCCCAGCTCCAGGTAAAATTCCTTACAGTCCTATCCAGATGGTTGTTGCAGTAAGGCAGTGGTATGATTGGAACAGTACAGAATGTTTCAAATTTTTCAAAAGTTTAAAAGGACAACCATGTGTGTCCACTTGCATTTATTTTTGACAGCCTGCATCCTTCTTAGATAGACACTGCCGTGATTTAGGTTAACAAACACATAAATATTCTGTACATATCAGCCAATCCATAATAAGAGACAGCTGTCATGAACACATGATAAAAAACTGTAGCACTGTAATTTAAGGTGACATATTTGCATATGCTCCATGCAATTACAGAATTACAATGAATTACAAGAACTAACCCACATTCTAACCCCAACTATATAACAAATACTAGTTTTTAAATACTTGGGCTCTATCATACACCCGGCGCAATGTGGCGCAAGGCATGACGCAATTGTTATTTGCTACTTTCAGCTCGGCGCAAGGGTCATTTTGACGCTTTTTAAATAACAAATGCATTTGCGCTCATATGTGCGCCCATAGGCGTTCTGGTCTAAAAAAGCAGGCGTGTTTTGGTGCATTGCTGGCGTGTTGCTATTTTGAGAAACTGTAATAGTCTGTTCTTTAGACCAGATAAAACCCGGTCTAAAGTCCGGCGCAGAGCGCGTTAGTTGTGCGCCTCGCTTACACACTGCTTAATACACACAAGATTTAGAGCAATACGCAAATATCTTTACATATGAAAAATAAATAAAAATATTAAGGATATATATATATATATATATATATATATATATATATATATATATATATTAGGGCTGTAACGATACACGATATAAAATCGAAATCGCGACACTCAGATCTACGATCCTGTGTCGCGGTGTGATAAGGGAGAATCGCGACACACCCCGTGACTACCTTTCCAATAACGTCACGCGTGCCTGCAAAAGTTAAGCTAATTAACACCTTTTTTCGTTACACATTACAAGCACTGCTCCGTTTAAGCCCTCGCAATATTTAGCCGGGAGAGCTCGCACGGAGCTCTTAGTAAGGGACCGTCTGAATGTGTCAGGGATATCAAAAACAAAACCAACTTAACTCCGCTTGACAACCGACAACGCCAGAAACATTGCCAATGCTGTCAAAGCGGCCGGATTTTCAGCGCATATACGATGATTTGCTCACACTGTTAATGTGGATGCGCAGAGAGGGATGGGCGTTCACCAGATGTCAGGTAACAGCGCAAACTTTTCTGTAACCGTGCTGTGCGCTTTCTGTTTGAACCTTTGAGAGTGCTGACTGACAGGTGCGTGAGGTCAGAAAACACGACGAAGCTTTAAGTTAAGATGAACACAGTTTCTATAGTTATACTTTATTTAGAGATAAAGGTATATGGCTCTGCATATAATCACTCTATCTTGCTGGAGTTTATAGCCGTTTCGCTTTACTTCAGGACGCATTAACACCGCTCTGATGGTCTAATCGTTGTTTTAAGTTATCCAGAGCTGTATGAATATACATATCTTGAATATCACAATAGTATTAAATATTACAATTGTAACAACACAGACAGCAACACTTTTGCACAATCGATACCCAGCTGATTCAGTCGTTTCATAAGAGGACCGCGCCTCTTCTTTTTTCCTTGTCAACAAAGGCAGTGAGGTGCGCCTCGTTTTCGGCCACTTGTTTAACTGCAAGACATACTTAATTTGCGGGACCATAATGTATAACCCATGCCTACTGACACATTTACCAAAGAAGCAAAATGGAAGAAGAATATTGCTGTTTGATACAACCTGTTGATGCTAAACCAGCGCTTATGTTGACCTGGATCTGCGTAATAAACGCAACAAATAGGCTTTACTTTTTATTTTACAGCTTAAAGCATGTACGCAGATTAATGCAATATCATATTTAAACAACAAAACAAAAAGTCATTGTTGCTGTCTTTTCATCACGCAGCGCGCGCACTTGAACCGCGAGGGAGAGAGAGGAAACCATAGATTATATCAGGACATATTCTTTAAAATAATGATTTCTATTAAAAATGTAAAAGGTTTTGTGATTATAATAATAACAGCGGGGCATTAAATAAATGCATATTTTCCATGAAGCGAGCAATTTGAGGAAGTCAGCTATTTTTATTTGACGAAAGAAAAAAACATATGATTGGAAAAAACAGCCTATGCCGGTTATTAAAAATAATCAGTCAGTATTTTCGTTTTGTAATATAAATTAATTATTTAAGTGAAAATAATTTAGGGCAGTCCTATTTAATTTAATTCATTTTATTTAGATTATTCTGCTCTTCTGTGCTAAACACTGCAGGTGCGTGAAGATGCTCTGTTGTTCTGTTCCGCTATTAATATATAAAAATAAATCAGTATTATAAAATGCAATATTTAATGTGTCAGACACAAAATAGACACGTAAATTTATTTAATATAAAATTAATAGTAATCTGACCAGTTCACCGTTAATAACTGATTAATGAGCGGCGGTTGTCGGTTAGCAAAATTAACGAAATGAGCATCCCTAGTAGCTATTTAATTTAGTTTTTCTATGTAAGAGAACTTGATTGAAAAATAATTTTCAACATGCTTGAACCATCTACACAATGGGGTTTAGTTTTGTTTGGTTATTCAACAATATTTTGTTACAAAGAAACCAGAAGTATATAGCTTTGGCTATTTATTTATTTTATATATGGCTATTTATATTGTTAATAATTTGCATAGTTAATATTGTTCTTTGATTTTTAGTTTATAAAGATTTTTCAAATGTTATTTAATAAAAAATAGTTTTAAAAATCTTTTTTTTTCCCACCCCACATGAAAAAAAAATAAAATCGTGATACGAACCGAATCGTGGGTCAAAAATCGTGATACGAACCGAATCGTGGGTTTGGTGTATCGTTACAGCCCTAATATATATATATATATATATATATAAAAGATATAATAAGGATATATATAGGATATAAATATAAAGAATTAAAATATTACAAAACATATTATTTTCTAGCCTACATGAATTTAAAAACCACTGCCTTGAATCCTTCATCTCGGGAGGCTTTTTCAGTTCATTCAATTTGCTTTTGTATAATGTTATTATTATTAGCAGTATTATTTATTATATCCATAGTTATAATTGGTTTTTTAAAAACAAGCTTAGATTTGTCCAACTGTCAGGTTTTAGACCATATGGGGCATAGCAGGTGTATTTGGAAATAACTCAGTATTTTGACCACACTTGGTTATTATTGTTCATTTATTTGTTTGCTGAAAATTAGAACTGAATTTAGAAATAGTTTTAAAATAAATCTTTGCGCTTAACAAACGAAATTAATTATGTATAGGCTAATTGCGTAAAGGTTTCCCTATCCACGAGAACAAAAGCGAAAGTGAACTTACTTTACGTCATGTAAATAGCAAATGTGCTTATGGCGCGACGCAGCTGGCTCTTAAAGGGAATGGGAGATGAGACTCTGATTGGTTTATTCTCAAAACACACCTATAACTCATTAAGAAAATAAACTCAACCCTTTTAGACCATGCGCCACGGCGCAAAGCGGATTTTCCCGTCCTCATATTAGCACATATGGATTCTGACACTCCCTGAATGCGTTTGCGCTCTGCGCTTTTCGTTTTGCGCATGGACCATCAAAATAGAGCCCATAGTGTTTCATTAATATCCCAGAAAACTATTTTTTGTTTCATAGGCATCTAATAGACATCTAAACGTAGACAGCTTGGCTAAAACAAGGCTAAACGTGGGCTGTCAGAGAAAATCTAATAGACATCTAAGAATAGCCCAAAACTGGACTAGTCATCAAATCAGTGATCAAAGTCATTCATTTCTGTTTATTTGAGGACTAGTCTAGTTTTAAACTATACTTAGACGTCTCTTAGACTTTCACTGACAGCCCAAATTTAGCCTCATTTTAGCCAAAACGACTATGTTTAGACTTCTATTAGACATCTTTTAAAAACAAAAAAATGCTTGCTAGGATTACTCTATAGTTAAACGAATGGCTACACTGCAACTACATCACCTTAAAATAAAGTGTGACCTACAAAAACTTTTTCACATATTATTGTCAAATCCAATACAGTCTGAACAGGATCATCTTTTTGTTTTTATCTTTGTGAAAAGCAATCGATTTGTGTCTTATTTGAAAATAAATTTGCGGTGAAAATAAAGTGAACAAGACATCAAGTACTTACTGACACAGTCATCCACTCTTTCCTAATGTTGCGATCAGAAAGAAGGCAATGCAAGGACTGTTTTTTCACCAATTAGCTCTTCTGTTTGTCTTTGGAGTAGAATTGCATGATTCTGGCTAAAATGAGAATCGTGATTTTTTGCTTAAAATAAAGATCACAATTTTCTCATGATTCTATAGATGTAAGATAAAGGTTAATACGAGTAGGCTATTATTATTGTTATTTCTCGAACGTATTGTAAAACAGCAATAGGCTATGTGTAGTTCTACTGTTGGTTAAAATGCTCAATTTTGAATAGACTTGGAACGATGGACTTTAACAGACTTTAAATTTGTCCTGGTCATTATTGCACAGTAAAGTGATAACATCAGAACACAACTATTCATAATTCTGATGTTGAATTATTATGTTTTGGACATACGCTTGCCATCTGTCAATTACAACATTATCAGAAAATATTTGTCTACTGGTAAAATCAGACATTTGTCATTATCTGATTCCCTCTTGCATAATATTCAGCATTATATAGGCTAGAGTAGGTATACTGACACTGTTAAACATTTATTTTCATGCACTACACTCTGTGTTCGCTATGAAAGAAAAACAGATCAAATGCTTGTCGTAATCAGAACACTAAAATGCGATATGATTATTTAAATGATGTGCGTGCATTTGGTTTTATTATTACTGCTAAATACTCCCAAATGATCGCTCTGTGCCACAAACTGAATGTTGTTTACAATTTTACTACCTGTTATTCACAGCCTATGCAGGTTCTGTTCACTAAAGTAGACTTCATTCACATGCACCCACCCGCCCTCTGTGGTGACAGCTGACGGTCAGCTCACGACATTTCGCAGTTGCAACTGAAAAACTGATGTTTTTGGGGTGAATTATACGTTATAAATACAGCATGTGACTCTTTCAACATCATTTGGAGGTGTCCATGTTGCTGAGCAATATACTGTACGTATAACAATGTGAAGACTTGTGCAGCCACCTTTGCTTCTCTCCTGAACTTGAAATGATTGGCAGAATCGTTGAAATGCTGGATTAAGATCATTTAGGGGGTCGAATTGAGATCGCTATCTTTTTACAATTAATCATGCAGCTCTGCTTCAGAGCGTCTTTATCCTTTGCTTTCTGTGTTTGTTGAGCTGTATTTGCCAGTTTGCAAACTAATGCATAATAAAGTGGCTTAAACCACAACGTGTGTTTTGGGGGATCGACTTCAATATAAGCTGTTTTTAGACTAACAAAAAGGTTTTGAGTTATTAAATGTACAGGATGTTTTTGTAAAACACTGAACTCAATTTTTCAGTGCATGATCCCTTTAAATAAAGTAAACTTGTATTATGAAACAGTGACATTTCAATGGCATAATTGTGATTTGTCCTCTCAGGAGATACTGAAAGCTTTATGAGCAGCTGCAGTTCTGATGGAATTGACTGCACAGAGGAAACTGGTCTCCTTGCTCCAGCTGAAGGTGAACTTAAAATTAATAACATCTTTAGTATTATTTTACTTGTAGAATTGCATTATTAGAATTGGTATTAGATTGTTATCAATCACAGTGGTCCTAATGTATTTCCTGTATTACATTTTGAATTTCCATAGCTTCCAAGAATCCAAAAAGCTCCACACATTGATAAATAATGTTATGGCAGCCATTTTAGCATTAAGATATCATTAATTTGCCTCTTGTTACAGTATTGAAATTGTTTGGTAACAAGCAGGAAGTCTTCATTGGCCAGTGACATCGCCACATTGAAATGGTCTATAGTTGCTATATAGTTGCTGTTTTTATGTCCTCACAGAAGATGAAGACAACACTGAGAGAGCATGTGACACCCTTCTTATGTGTATTATTACGGTGCTGAATCATGGGCTGAGGAATGGAGGAGGTGTAGGAGATGTTCTGCGCAAACCATCTAAGAATGTATGGTGAACACAACCGTATTCTGTATATAAATGCAAAATCAAAGCAAACTGATACAGTGTTGTGTGGATTTCAGGAGCCTTTGTTTCCCGCTCGTGTGGTGTATGACCTTCTCTTCTACTTTATTGTCATCATCATTGTTCTCAACTTGATTTTTGGTGTGATTATTGACACCTTCGCTGACCTGCGTAGTGAAAAACAGAAGAAAGAAGAAGTTCTGAAGACCACCTGTTTCATTTGTGGTACGATATCATAATTTTTCTAAAACATAATTAATAAATGTTTTCTGGATTTATTAGGTTCAAGTTTGAGTAAAATGTTAATAATTGTTTAAAGGGCACATAGTTTACCCCTTTTTTATGATTTAATATGAATAGTATGGTTCTTCTGAGTGTGCCAGTTTAGGTTCAGTTCAACACACAGTTTACTGTAGATGTTTTTATTATAATGTGTTCAAAAGTGTCATGCTGGGGGCGTGTTGCTTCACATGAAAATTAGTTTCGGCTTGTCGCCCAATGTAACAAGGGGGCGGAGCCAAGAGCTCCACCACTCTGTATTTGGCAAAAGACAGGCAGACAGAGAGAAGCTGCAGCATACTGTAAGTGAGATGATCAGCATTCAGCCGTACATGTACGACTCGGACAAAGACCAAGCTGAGAGTACAAAATCATTTGTGTCTTTGTATAGTTTTACAGCCAACTGTGTGCTAGTTTCAAGTGCCAAGCTTGTACACCGAGACTCATAACCACGCACACTGAATTAACTTTGACTGAGGCACCGAATGCGCTGCTCGAAGCCGCGACACGGCACACCAGAGACTCTCAGTGGCACGCCAGAAACATGAAGTGTCCCGAATCATCGCGCCGAGCAGCGCCATGCATTCCAGAACTCCAAACACAGGCCTCCACCAGGGCAAACACCACAGCGCCCCAAGTCGGCGGCGATTTTATTTCCAATGGAGAGACGTGCACATGAGGCAACACGCTTGCACTTTTCCAGCTGCACCTAGTTAAGATCACAGGAAGCTTCTGTGATGCGACCGGCTGAAGTTTAAGGTAGACGCAATGAAAAGTACACGTTTGCAAACCTACCAAAAGGTACAAACAATAATTCTGAATAAAGCTATAATGTGGAGAAAATTGATCTTGTGTTGAGCCCAATGAGTCTTACATCTAAAAATAGAGCAAGGGTGTTCCTTTAGTCATATTGCTTTGACTCACGCTGAAAATGGCGGACATGAAACGACAAACTAAGGATATGGTGACGGTAGGGATGTGCGGAGCAACCGGTATTTGTATTTGTATTTGTATTTGTTAAGGGGGAAAAGTATTTGTATTTGTATTTGTATTTGTATTTGTATTTGTATTCGAGTAAAATTCACTTCTAATTTACGTTATAGTGAAAGTATTGTTTAATTATACCCATTATCTAAATTATAGATATGCAATATTGGTTGTTGTTTTTGAACATGTGACAAGAAATGTCATTGAAAAGAAAATAACATAGAAGCCATTATCTCATCCATGGTTAAACCAACAACTAATAAAATACCATTGTAAATATTATGAACCCCACCACCACCGTTCTTGTTGAAGGACACTGAATAGACAGAATAAAAACAAATAATATTAAAAAAAAACTGTTCTTCTTCTGAAAGAACTTCTTTCCAATGCACAGAATTCCAAAAACTAATATTAACTAAATAAATCTAAATAAAACCCTGCCTGGGAGATCTGGCAGAACAAAAGTATTCTATATAATACTAAAAGATACAGCCCTGCTATTGTCATCTGGCAGAATGTGGCTGTGTTGATGGTTTGGTGCTTGTGGAGGATTTAGCAGAACATAGCTGTGCTGATTGAAGGGATTGATGCTTGTGGGGGGTTCACAGACAGTATCAGGAGAGGATGCTTTTAGTGCATGTGATAATACATTACATAGAAGGTTGCGCAGTGGCACAGTGAGTACCACTGTCGCCTCACAGCAAGAAGGTTGCTGGTTCGAGCCTCGACTGGGTTCTCCCCATGTTGGCGTGGGTTTCCTCCGGGTGCTCCGGTTTCCCCCACAGTCCAAACACATGCAATACAGGGGAATTGGGTAAGCTAAATTGTCCCTATTGTATGTGTGTGAAAGAGAGTGTATGGATGTTTCCTAGTGCTGGGTAGCAGCTGGAAGGGCAGCCACTGCGTAAAACATATGCTGGATAAATTGGTGGTTCATTCCACCGTGGCAAACCCAGATCAATAAAGGGACTAAGCCGAAAAGAAAATGAATGATTATGCATAGAAGATGTTGACAGATGTTTAATATCTCTGCCTCTGCTGATTTCACTTTTGCACACATTATACAGTATCACTTTGTTTTATCTGCAGCACCACTGACTGTAAAATGCTTCCACAAAGAACATGAAGTTTTATTTTTTTTACTGGTGGAGGACTAAGAAATGGCTCAGCAGCAGTCTCATTCTTTTTCATGGTGCCCAAATGTATTTGAGGAGTTTCAAGTTAATAAAAAGTGACGGGAAGCTATGCTAAGGTTAACTAGCCTATAGCATATATCTTGCTGTCTGCAAAAGACAGTTATTTAGACGTACCATATAACTCCCATAAGTGCATACTATTCGACACAACAGCAAAAGCATCGTTTTAACCTTTATAAACAAACGTTAACGTTACTCTGTCAACAGTCTATTGTCTAAAATTACCGCGCTAACAGAGCTAAAGTTGCGTAAACAGAGCACCCGATTGCAAACTTCAAAAATGCAGCGTAATGGAAAATCCCGAACAAACTCCGCTACAAGTTTATAAACTGCATCTGGAACCCAATTAAGGTACAAAATAGTGATGCAGAGAAGCATTTTTTTTGCTCAGCCGAGCCTTCTCCGTCTGCTGCTGTGGAGAAGCGTGTGCCAGAGACCTTTTACCTCCGCCCCGCCCTCTCTCTCTCTCTCTCTCTCTCGCTCTCTCTCGCTCTCACTCACGCACTGTGGTCTCAGGAGGAAACGCAGCTTTTTGATATAGTGTTTTTCTTGCTCCCGAATACAAATAATTTTTCAAGTATTTGTTCGAAATAAGTATTCGTAAAAACACGCTATTCGTGCCTTTCCGAATACCGTATTCGGGTTCGGCTCCACCCTTAGGTGACGGCCGCGCCTGTCAACCGATATTGGTGGGCGGGGGGACCGCACTCCTACGTCAAGTAGCGGTCGATCTGAAAACCGCTCCAATTGGTCCACCGTTTTTATGTTGTTAAATTGAGAAAAAAAAAGGACTATGTGTGTTTATATCACCCCAATATGTGAGTCTATACACTATACCTATACACATGTCTGTCCAAACAGCTTGAAAAGTAGATTTTTCAACATAGGTGACCTTTAATTCTACAAAGGTATGATAACTTTTCTTTCAGTTGTGATTGAAACTTTTGACTAGTCCACTAAATACTGGTTTTCTAAACTCATCTGATGTAAAAACATTGGTATTGAGTTGTATAAACATGTAAAGTTTAACATGTAAATTCTGCAACTTTTTTAAATTTGGCATGCCATATTTTACATTTGGAAGAACTTTGTACTGAATAAAACAATTACATTTTACCCAAACACAGCTATGAATTGTAAAAAGAAATTGAAGTTTTTCATTATTATTTCTTTTTTTCCTATAACTGTATATACTGTACATACAAAGGTAATAACATTTATTTTTTCAAAAGCTTATTTTTCATGCCTAAATATTTTAATTATTTTGCTCAGTGATATTTTTACAACAATTAATTACATTTCCTGCCACATTTCGGCAGCATTCCTTCAGTACAAAAGTTATTTTATGATATGAATGCACAAAATCATTAGAGCTTGTTATTAGCTTGTGTTTCTAGCAAATTCTAGCTAATGTTATTGCACTTAGATAATACATAGTATCATACATAGTACACAGAAAGTACCATTTGCTAGCATTCGTCAAATGAGCCAATACCCAGGCCTCTACGATGTTCCGATGTAGAGATATTGCTGTTTTTAAATAGTTGCTATTGTTTTATTGCTATGGGAACAATAATAATACATCAAAGCTTCTTGCCAATATGAGTGATATAAATCAACCCTGATGTCTCTAAAATAGTCAAAAACTTGACTTGGAATTTATGTAAAAATATTTTGTTAAAAACATAATGCTTAATACTTGTGAAATTAACACAGTACATGCAAATGGTTTGTCATATCAGTAAAAAAAAAAAAAAAAAGATTTTTGTAAAAATGACTTGCCATATCAGAAGAAATGGGGTTTTAAGTAAAAAATGTATTAAGAAAAATAATGCTTAAAATGATTTATTGGAAAATTATTTGTCTGATAAACCTGAAAAGATAATGCAGAACATAGCTTTTGACCCAGGCATTACTTGACAGGCTTTATGCGAGACACCCAAATATAAATATACAAAAATTAAAGAACTGTACAGAAATGAATGACTCTGTTTGTTTCGCCAGGTCTTGAGAGGGACAAGTTTGACAATAAGACAGTGTCATTCGAGGAACATATTAAATTGGAGCACAACATCTGGAACTACCTCTATTTTATTGTGCTGATACGGGAGAAAAACAAGACCGATTACACCGGCCCGGAGAGCTATGTGGCTCTTATGATAAAGGTACATTACAGAAATGAAAAATTCCTACTGATTGGATAATGGTTACACCTTTACCAGTGTTATTTTAGTAGTATTTATACACTTACTGTATGTACTGAAAATTAAATCTTTTAGTTTGTTTTTTTAATTTTCTTTCGACTTATTTTGTTGCATGCATGTGCTTTTTGTTTTATGTATGGTATTCAGCTTTATTTAAAGGGACAGTTCACCCAAAACTGAACATTTTGTCATCTTTTATTCAGCCTTGTTTCCAAAACATGCTTGCCTCTGTTTCTCTATTGAGCAGAAAATAATATATTCTGAAGAAAGCTGCTAACCATTGACTTCCATGGCATTTGATCTTCTTACTATGGAAGTCAATTTTTTTTAACTTTCTTCAAAATATCTTGTTTTGTGTTCAACAGAATAAATAAACTAAATAATAAATAAAGGTTTTGATCCACTTGAAGGTGGGTAGTAGTGAGTAATTTTTCATTTTTGGTTGATCTATGTCTTTAATTGATCTTGCAATGGGTTTTGATTCAGTCTTCTTGTCGTCTCTTGTTAGAATAAGAACCTGGATTGGTTTCCACGCATGCAGGCCATGTCTCTGGTTGTAACGGATGGAGATGGAGAACAAAATGAGATGAGGAACCTGCAGGATCGTCTTAGCTCCACCATGAAAGTGGTCACACAGCTCACAAGCCAGTTAACAGAGCTGAAAGAACAGGTAGATTTCAAAAATACAGCTTTACAGTGTTTATACTTGGCACGTTTGTTCAATTAAAACAATCTTCAGTGCAGTAGTTTTATAAACCATTTGAGAGATGTAAACAAAAACAATGGTCCCAACGTATTTCCTGTTTTACATTTTTAATTTCTAAAGCTTCCGAGAATCTAAAAAGAGCCACATATTGATCAATAATGTTATGAGAGCTGTTTTAACATTAAGTTATGAATAAATTGCCTCTTATTTCAGTCATGAAATAGTTAAATAACAAGCAAGAAATGTTCATGGGCCAATGACATGACCACATTGAAATGGTCTGGAAGTGTGTAAGTGTTAGTAGTGTCATCTGAAACTTTAGGAAAAGATGGCTCTCTGTTGTGCATAAACACCAGCATTTTAAATCAGAGCCCATTAGTTCATAGCTTCAGTGTTTGGCTAATTCACACAGGGGCAATGAGTAGCTAATTAAGGAACTATAACTGAGCAAGGGATGGCGAGTTGACTCCAAATTAGTCAATTACTCAACTCTCAATGGACCTTGTGCCGGAATCGTCTCCAGCACTGGAATCGACCAACAGAGTAGAGTTTGTTTTTTCAAACCCTCTTAAACAAAGCTGAGACAAACACTAAAGTTATACTACTCATTCTTGACCACGATGAACAGCGAAGGCAATTGCTTTTTAATGTGTGATCATACTTTTGAAAGTGCTTTTGATTAAGTTTGTTTCACTCTGTTTCACATGTGCACTTTTTTTGCATTTTGGTTTTTAAGATGATTGGTTTCATGGTGTCATGTTTGCAGTGTTATGAAAGAAATATAGGTCTGTGCAGTGGATAAACATCCTATAAGCGCTATACAATTGTAGATGTTTTTTTTATTTATTAGACTATGCTGCTATTTGCTCAAGAAAATATTTAACCTATGTAGGCATGCCTATTTCACACACAAAAACACTTCTTATAATGATAATATATATATATATATTTAATATATATATATATATATATATATATATATATATATATATATATATATATATATATATATATATATATATATATATATATATATATATATATATATATATATATATATATTATATATATATATATATATATATATATATATATATATTTTTTTTTTTTTTTTTTTGGCTTTTAAACCAATAATATAAGAAGGATATTAGGGGTGTAACACCATATAAATTAGGGCTGTAACACCATATAAATTATTCGTATGGATCACAACCCATAGTTTAGAACACACATGATCCCGCGGATTAATATATTTTTTTTACTTGTAGATTAATCAGAGAGATCACCTCTCACATCATTCAAATCACATGTATGAAAGCATTTAGGCTTTCCTGTAAAATATAACGATGACAGAATAAGTTTTGGTGGGTTATTCAGGATGTGGTGGGTATCTCAGATGTTTTCTGTCACTACTTGTTTAGCTTGCGTCAATGCATTCAGTGTAAGCGGCACGATTAAACATTTAAAGATAAGGATCTCAACACCCACACCATATAAACTATAAATGATTGTGATTTGCATGTGTTTATTAATCTTAAGGGATTCAGGCTTTTGAGTTATGAAGTTACAAACAGACAAATAACACACATGTACTGGGATAACAGTTTATAGATTAAACAAAACCATTGATGTTTATAGTAAAGATTAAAATCACTGTCATGTGCATTTAACGACACTCAAAAATGAAAGTTGCAAGCAGCAATTACATCTTTTAACCAATAGGTGGCAACAACCAGCCTTCAAAAAACATGTCACTGAATTATTCTCCAAAAATGACATATCTAGAAATGAAACATGAAGATTAATGAGTGAATAACTGAATCATTTATTGAAAATGATACTAAATATACATTTAAATATATATTCTATACTAAATATGTGAATAAATATATGAATTATTAACAATACTGAATATTTTACAATTTATTTTTATTCAGCTGATTATTTCCTCATTTTATTTTTAATAACAGATTCGAAGTAAAAGCAAAAGTGTCTTGCAGTGCTGTTTTTGTATAGAAATGGAAAGCAAATGACATTTGTCTCCTCCACTTTTTAACTGATCCAAAAAATGTTTTGTGATGGTAATGTAAAAAATGGTAATGTGATCTGAACCGTGAGATACGGACCCGTTACACCACTAGAAGATCTTATGTTGCATGTTGTCCATTCTTTTTTCCGCAGTAATAACAAATTAATTATGTGACAATAAACATGTCCTTTTGTTTTGGCCATGGAAGTAAGTGGGCTTTAGTCTTGAACATAGTCTTTAATTTCCCTTTGAAGGTTATTCGTTGTTCCTGTTTATTTTTATTTTGTAGATAACTGACTCACACGAATACATATACAAATTAAGATATAAATTACACCAATTAAAATTCTGTAGATTTTGCCAAAAACAACAACAACAAAAAAACATATATATATGCAAAATGGTCAGAGTTCTGGCCTACTCTTTTTCTTCTAGTGTTTGCCAGGCATTACAGTACTAATATTTGTAGATTCTCAAGTATATAAAATAAAGGCTGTGTATTTGTTTATTTAGATGACTGAGCAGAGGAAGAGGAGACAGCGGATGGGTTTTGTGGATGTTCAGTCCGGCTCCAACCCTGGGATGCCTGTGCCTCCTAGTCCTGCTGGAGGAAATCAGGTCTACAAGGCCTAAACCCTCCAACTCTCCTGCCATTGACTTTCTAGAAGCAATAATGTAATCCTGGGATGCTGGTGTACTTTACAATGGGGAAAGGTTGCGTTTAGCCGTGGAAACTGGTAGATGGGTTGGATCTACACACCCTCAAAAGCACTACTGACTTGATATTTTTTTACATGGCTGAGCGTGCACATATTTTATATATTTAAATATATGAAGTTTTACTTTCTTTTTTAAGAGTGAGCACCTTTTTTAAAGATATTTGACAGCTTTCTATAGATTTTGTTTGAATGTATGGATAAATGAAGCATTACTTTATAAGAAGCTGATGTGTTTTAGATTAATAGTGAGCATTTCTTTTTTTATGCATCAGCGTCTGGATTTATCCAGAATGAATGTAAGATGATTTGGGGAAACCACATCATGAATATCTGGGAAAGTCTAAAATTTAATGTGGGGTGTATATATAGCATAATATTCTGGATTAAATCATGTTTAAACCTTCTATAGCTTTAATTTAAATGTCAAGTGCCTAAAAATGACTCCGAAATAACTGCTCAGGACAATAACGTGTTATTTATCTTACTTATAAAACCTGGTTATGAGTGAACACATCCTAATGGTCTCCATACATAGTGCATGCATATCTATGTATATAGTCTATTTAATAATGTAATTGTGTGACCAGAACTGCATTGTTATGGCCACAAAAAAGAATGCTGGAACATACTTGTATTTGGGCCTTATTTTTTACTGTTTGTGTGTTAATCCTAGCAGTTGTACCATGATATCAATTAATTCTCAAGTTACTGCTAATATTGTTTATGTTGTCATAAAGAGCCTCACCAACTTTGCACAAAATACAAAATAAAACATTTGGCCATTTGACTTCTTGAGTCTCAAGATTACTAAACATTAATGCATAAAGGAAGTATGACAGACATCTGCTATTTTGCTTAAATAAAATGTTATAAGAGTCTTAACCACATATTTAAGCATTTACGTATGTTAGTTTCTAACTTTAGTTCACAAACTAAATAACCAGAAAAATAAACTACAGATGAGAAATGTAAAACAAAACCATTGTAATTTTATTATGTATTGTACTTTACCAGAGCTAACGATGAAGGTTAAAGACACAATTCATCCAAAATGAAAATCCTGATATCCTTTACTTACCCTCCACTTATTGCAAATCAATTTGAGTTTTTTTTCTTCTGTTGAACACAAAAGATATTGTACTATAGATTTCAGGAGCTATCAGTTACCAAAATTCCTCAAAACACCTTAATTTATGTGTAATTGAGAAAAATTCCTAAATTGAGAAAACATAAATTAAAATTTATGTTTAATTGAGAAAAATTCCTAAATTGAGAAAAAATTCCTATACTTTATACACATACAGTATTTATGTGTGCGTGGTAAACAAAAATCTTACCCTTTAACATACTGTAGATGAATAAACAATGTAACAGATGTGTTTCTCATATTGTTTGTTTACACACTGTCGGATATTAACTGGACTTTACTGCAAAGATTTACTTGAAAAATGAATCACAATAGTATTTTTAAGATTAGCTCAGCTAAATGAACGACATCTTCCAAAAGTAAACAAACGTGTGGTCGAATTTGCTGTCTGTAGGCTAATTGGCGGAGCTTTGTCCATTGATTAGCGCTGTATCAGATTACGTGCTCCTGTCACGCTCAGTTGAGAGTATTTGGGTGTGAGCAGAAGAACTGACGGGCTCAATTCCATCGCTGTTCGTTTGAGCGTCGGTGCCGTTCAGAAGTTCGTCCTCAGTGCAGGTCAACAGGTAAGCTGATGTTTTCCACAATAGTGAGGCAGTACCTACTTTAAATCGGAACCAGTTATAGTTTTTCCGCATATTTTAATTCAACGAATAAACCAGAGAAAAGTCGCCGTTCATTCTGTTCTGTAAATTATTTAAAAACTAAAACTCTTCAAAATAAAATAGTGTAATTTACATGATATTCAAGTCATTTATCAAGCCTTTTGCGTGTGTTAAATACAAATATAAAAGTGTTTCTTTTCTGATCCTTGGTTGATGCTGATAAGTGATAGTGAATGTAACCTCAGACCACAGAAACACCAAAAAGAGAAAAATCTACCTCAATTATAAGTCTTTGAGAGATAGACCTATAAAAACATTATAGAAACAATATCATTAGTAGGCTACACTGCAAAAAAAAATGCTTTTCTTGCTTAGATTTTTTGTCGTTTCTAGTCTAAATATCTAAATTTCTTATATCAAGAAGCATTTTCTAAACAAGCAAAACATATTGTCTTGTTTTGAGAAATAATATGCCAATATCAAGTGAGTTTTTCCTTAAAACAAGCAAAATAATCTGCCAATGGGGTAAGCAAATAAATCTTGTTTTTTTTTTTTTTTTTTTTTGACGTAGGCTAATATTATTTTGCTTACCCCTTGTTTTAAGGAAAAACTCACTTAATTTTGGCATATTATTTCTGAAAACAAGACAATAATATGTTTTGCTTGTCTAGAAAGCTCTTATTGATTTAGGAATTTTTAGATATTTGGACAAGAAACAAGACAAAAAATCTAAGAAAAGCATTTTTTTGCAGTGTACTCCGATATTGCTTACACATAAATCCAAAGAAATGGTATGCAACACATATTAAACATGAATAAAGTTTTTTTTTTTTCTTGAAATTTTAAAATGAATGAAATAAAAAAGTATGTGTTATAGGCTGCCTATAATGCCACATGTGTGTTATATATTTTGACAGTACAGACATAGAAAAGCCCCTTTTTTGGATGAAGAATATCTTCCTACAATGAAAAACCTTTTTTGGAAGGTTCCAAGGATGTTAAAAGATGCTTTATGCCAAGCAACGGCAATTATAAATAATTTTTGTGTTTTAAATAATATTTATATGTTTTTAGATGTAATTTAATTGTTTAATTTGTTAACTATTGATTCCATAATATCAAAATTATAAATATTCTATCATTAATTTTCATTTTCATAAAATACTAGGCCTACGTTTCCAAACCTTTTCGATCTGTTTTTATAATTGATAATTGTTATGTAATAAGCCTACACATCAATACAAAATATACAGTTAAAATAACAAACTAAAAATTTGTATTATTGTAAATAGGCCTAACAGCTAGCCTAATTATTTTTTGTAAAATAATATTATTTGACTTTTTTTTTCTTTTTCACCATCGCATATTCACAAGTCAACTTTTTCCCTTTGTTATTGTTGTCATCTATTGTTGTAATATTTCGTTTTATAAGGTCGATGCTTCTCGGTAAGCTTAATCTAGCTTTTATCAATTTAAATGACGTCATTGTTTAACTTCGAGCACGGAGTGTTGAGAAAGCGCGTGTCTGCGCGCTCCAGATAAAGCGCCCTAGTGTGCCGCGCCCTGATGCCCGGCGCGCCCTCAACACCGCTGATTGAGATGTGCCGTAGGGTCACTTTACAGTGGCCTTAACTTAATATAGGTTTAGCTGGACCTCTTTCTTTTGCCTCTTAGATTAGATGTTGATAAGATGATCACATTTTCTAATAAAATAATTGATCATTTCGCAAGGAACATGTGATTTTATTTGCAATTTTATTTATTTTTTCATTTTTTATGTAAAATTAAAATTTAAGTTGGTTAATCATAAAAATGAAAAAAAAATTAAGTTGTGCAAAAAAAGTGTTGTTTCCAATCATTTCATATAAATAGTTTGAACATGGCAGCAACTAGCAGTCATTTTTTGAGAATTAGTCTACAGAAGATGTAATATAACAATTATTTATGTCAGGGTCTCTTCTATAAATATGAAATCGTCATCCCAGACACTAACACATTTTCCATTGTTTACAGCTGTTAAAATCATGTCTGCTTTTCTGCATCACTGCCCATTCTTGAAGTCATCTCCAGGCCCTTCTGCGAGGAAAGTGGCCACATACCTCAACTTGGCTGACCGATGCCCCATCATTGTCCGCCAGATCTCGGCAAAAGCTGCTCAATCCTCTGAGCAAAATGGTAATGATGTTACTTTCTGTCATTCTAAGTTTTATTTTATTAAAAACTTTATGTACTTCTGGTGCGCATAATGTTCCTGATAATTCAATGGCCCACAATCAGTGTTTTTCCCATTTAAATTACAGTTTCCCACACCTTACAATATTCTTCATCTTCTTCTGTTAGACTCTGAAATAGCAGAAAACATTTGGTGAAGATCTGAAATGTGAAAAACCTGTATTTAATTACCTTAGTTGTGCATTAATAGAAAATAATTAATCATTTAAGGTAATCTAAGCCAAAGATCTAAATAAAATGTATGATATTTGATTGTCAACATATACATTATGGCCATGTCAATGCGGCAATGAGCACGTTAGCCAAAGATAACACTGAATTTGAGTCTATATTTGAACATGCAATGCAATGATATGTTAGGATGTACTGTACGTCACGTGTCATGTTTGGTAAACTAGCATGTACATAGTCAAAAATACAACGTTACCTTCCTTTAAAACTTTCCCCTTTGCAAATTCCAACTGTACATGTCTACACTACTATAGAAAGTCATTAAAATTAGTGGTGAGTGAAACTAAGCCTTTCAAAGCTATGAATCAGGGAAACCAACTCATTCACAAAAATGATGTGAATGTAATCATATAACAACGGAATTATACTGTACTAGTAAAATAAATAATGTGTTCTTCATAATGTTTGTTCTTACCTAATATCCAGTTCCTGTTTTAATGACTGTTATTTCTTTAAAATTACACAAATAACTTATATAAAACTCATCCAAGATCAGGCAAAACTTTAGAAAATCCAATGATTCTCCACTGAATCATTCATGTGATTCCAACAAGTTTGAATTTTAAAAGTCTAAATTTGATTACGTACAGGTAATGAAGCATTAATCACTGAAAGCATTGTTTTTAATTGTTTCAAAGTTTTATAAATCAGTTTTTTATTAGCCATAATCGTCAGTCCTGGTAAAGAAATGATCAAACTTTTTGTGTTTGTAATCAAATTTATCACACTTTGTCTTAAAGGTCCAGTGAAATTATAATATATATTTTTAGATGCTATATAAGCTATAAGCTAATGTGCTCCAAAACATTGACACAATATGTGCTTAGAAGATATAGACCTGATATAAACAATCAAAGTTTGCAGTTTATCACTTCCGCCTAAACCAAGGGTGTCCAAACACTGTCCTGAAGGGCATATTTTAGTTCCAACCCCAATTATACACACCTAAACCAGCTAATCAAGCTCTTTCTAGGATTACTAGGAGCTTCCAGGCATGTGTGTTGTAGAAAGTTGGAGCTAAACTATGCAGGACACCGGCTCTCCAGGACTGAGTTTGGACTCACCTGGCCTAAACGGATCAACAATTTTTTTCATGTCACCTCATACTTCAGTTTCCTCATCAAATCTTGACCAATCAAATGCTCTCTAGTATTTGACATGCCCCTCCCCTTCAAGATGCTTCTCATTTGCTTTTAATTTGATGCACTTCAGCTCAACCAGTCTCATTGGCAGAGCTGTGATAAAAACAAAATGCTACTGGCTGTTTAAAAATGGGAGGAGCTTCTATATGTGCCGCCCTATCTTCATATCTCAGATTACGTCAAACATCAAATAAAATACACATTTCAAGGGACCTTTAAAGGTGTTTGTCACCGATGGTCTTCCATAAATAATTGCACACAGAATGTCCGTCAACCTGACAGAAGCAATCATTTAACAGCTCCATAGTGTAACAGATATAAATCATCTTCTGTGTAGGCCTTCTCCCTCATAAAGAGCCAAAGCGGCAGCTGGCGACCACAGCGACTCAGGTGGCGGTCTCCATGTCCCAGAGCTGCCCTTTCGTTTCATCCAAGATCGGACTGGTTAAAGCCAGTCCACAAGTGCAGGAGGATGTCCAGCCCAATCTGGAGAACCAAGACACCTCAGGTAAAAACCAATTACTCTAAAATTAACTATAATGAAATGGTAATATTGTTTGAGAAATCATCATCTGACTGACTGATGTGTTAATGCGGCGGTTTGCCTTTATGTCTCTTTTTGCCACCACAGTATAATTACTTGGGTGCTGAAGAGGCTCTTTTGTTGAGCCAGAGTATCATGCATGGGTTGGATGCATTTTACTTAATAACAAGCAGCTGGGAAAGTATTCTCTTCTCTGCAATTTGCACCATTTAACTCTAATTCGAGAGACTCGTCTGATGTGAATAGTAAGCAGAGGATGAATCAGAGTGCTGATGTTACAAAAGCTGGTCTTCAGACAATCGCATTACAGGTGGAACTTCACAAAGCCGCGTGTGTACTAGAAAAGAACACCTAATTGGAAAATTTGAGTTTTTGTAGCTAAGGTAGATTGTGAGCTGATGTGCAGGGCCTGTAATTAACAGAAAATATAAGACTGAGGCATTAAGTGAAAAGAAAATGCTTGGATTTGTAGCTATTACATTGTAAAGTGAATTCAGTGTGAAAATTCAGGATTTCTGCTTGGGTGTTGAATATTTGACACCATAACGTCATTTGTTTTGTTTTTTTCCAGGTTTGATAAGCTCTCTGTTCAGTGGCTTACAGAGTCATCAGTCCACTGGTCCTACACACCTTCTTCAGGACAACTTTAGTGAGTTCAACTATGTTTTCCTTATTGATAAAAGTGTTGAGTTGTAAATGACTGTAAAACCACAAATCACGTTATATTACATTTTAAAACACCAATTATCAGACTACAGTTACTTTGTTGATTGTTTAATATTCATTTTTTTACTGTTCATTGTTCCTTTCTAAAAAGTGAATCTATTGTGTATAACACAGGCCAATTAGATGGTTTGAGTGTTTTTATTGTTTAATTAATTAATATCAGCACTCGTACAGGCTCTTCACCCTTGTGTATTACTCTGCCCACTTAGAGTGACAGCAGATCAATAAATTCACTACAGTTTGACAAATATTACAGCTGTTGGACAACATAATGTACCTTTGAGGCATTTTAGATCAGATTGTAGCTGTTTAGTGCCTATTTTAAATATTTATAATTTCGGAGATTCAGCGCATCATCAGTCATTAGCCTGTCATTAAGCAGAGCAAAAAGAGTTGACGTTCTGCCACAAGATGGCAACAGAGAGCCAATAATATGTCCTTAGGGGAGGAAAGACTAAGCAAAATATTAAGTCGATCTCTCTCTTTTGGATGTTGTGCTGATGTATTTATACCATAACAATCTGGTAGTGTTTACAATGATTTGGATTTTTCAGGGTTAATTATTGTGATCTTCCGATTGCAACAGAGAAAAACAGGGAAATCTCAGTAGACTGATGGCATTTCATGCCCTTCAGCCTTGAAATCTTAAAATGTGAGCAAAATGACCTGTTTTGTCATCATTTTAGACATTGCGCTAGAGAATCATTTAAATATTAGCTCTAAAGTGACTTTTGTAAAGTAACAATGGTTTCTGCTGTTCTGACGTGAGCTGCAGATGTGAAAGAATGGTGGAAGAAAGTAGTACAAAAGGATTTTTGAGACTCTTTGTGTTTAATTTTTACACGATTATGACATGAAACTGTTGTATAAATGCAGTGCGATATGGTTGTATTTCATCACTGATGGATGGGACATTATAGGCACTCGGCCCATGGCCTCGGTCCAACGCACACCTCCCACCAATGCTGATATACAGCCATAGTGCACAGCTACTCATGTGATATTGCTCATATAAAACTATTTCATGAATACAGTAATTATTTAATATTCTTGAATCATTCATTAAATACAGTGCTTAAAAGTTATGTTTGTGTTGAATAGTTTTTAAACTGTATGCTCCTCAGCAAACAGCTGAATTTTTAATTTGAGCCACATTTTTTATTTTTTACTTTATTTATTTGTCTAAGGATTGTTTGTCTTCTTTCATAATTCAGACCGCCCCACTTTCAGCTACGATGAATTCTTCACTCAGAAAATTGTGGAAAAGAAGAAGGACCACACCTACCGTATCTTTAAGACTGTGAACCGTTTTGCGGAGGTTTTTCCTTTCGCTGAGGACTACTCTATTGCAGGACGCTTGGGCTCTCAGGTGTCTGTGTGGTGCAGTAATGATTATCTGGGAATGAGTCGACATCCCCGTGTGGTCAAGGCCATTGGGTCAGTACATAAAACAGACAAACAGTGAAATAAACGCTTGCTACCATCTGCTGTAAAAAAAACATTAAAGAGTTTCTTCACTACTTCAAAAAAATAAAAAATAAAATAAAATCTTTTCATCTGGCTTTAAATGACCCCTACTGAGGATTAAGGGTCTTATTCACTAAAGCGATTGGGCATTTTCATTTAAAAAAAAAAAGTGCTTTAACCAGATAGGCTTGTCCTGCATTTGCTCTGCAATACCAGCTTTTGGGATTTCTGTATGTTTTCCTCAAAACCGAAAAGCGGATGTTTACCAAAATATTACCTCATAATTTATTTACCCTCAAGGCATCCTACTGTAGGTTGACACTAAACTATGAGACAATAGTCAAGTCAACTTGACAATTAAAGTTAATTCAGATCGAATGGGAAGTTATGTTAGCAAGTGAAGAAAACAACATTATTTTAGGCAGCTGGGTAACAAAGTTTTTTGGTTAACCAATTTTCTTTCAGCTGACTTTTTTACAGTGTAGGTGCATATGACTTCTTCCAATCTGAGTTATTTTAAAATTGAACAATCAAGAAATGTACATGTCCCGCTGATGACACTCACTAATGCACCAAAAATGCAAAGAAGGAGAAAAAAAAAAGACTGACGGCACTTGCCAAAAGTTACACAGAACATATACACCTATGCCGGATGCTTTGAGAGTAAATTATGGTAAATTTTTGGCAGACCTGACTCATAAATATATTTTTGAAAGAAGAAAGAAAAAATGTACATCTTGGATGACAAGTGGATGAGTAAATTATTAGGAAATTTCACTCTGGAATGGAACTAATTCTTTAAATATCAATTTAGGTACAATGTGAGAATAATTTTACAAATCATATACAGTATTGCATGTAGTTTTTGATTGTTTGCTTTTGAATAATCTATACAGAATTTATATATATGTATAACTGTTAAAACAAAGTAATCACAAACATTACATTTTTTAGTGATGCTTTGAAGAAGCACGGAGCAGGAGCAGGTGGAACCCGAAATATCTCTGGGACGAGTAACTATCATGTGGCCCTGGAGAATGAACTGGCCCGTCTACACCAGAAAGATGGAGCGCTGGTCTTTTCTTCCTGCTTCGTAGCCAATGATTCTACACTTTTTACTTTGGCTAAAATGCTTCCAGGTATGCTCCAAGGCTACAGTCCTCCATATTCAGTCTGAGATACATGAACTCAGTACAGTTAGTGATGTCACTTTGAGGGTAGGGTTAGGGGCAGGGTTGTGTGCGCATTAAAAGAGTTGCATGCAGTCTCAGCTTGCATGTGCACCTGGTCTGCAGCCAGACCTTTCTCAACAATACAGAAAAAGATACAATTATGTAACTATTTGCTAGTTTATTAAATTTTTAGATAATATTTTTCCTGTGATGTGATAACATGGCAAAGGTCTTGTTTTATTTATTCATTTATTTCAGAAAATAATTCAATCATTTTATAAAAACAATTCTCTTTTTAATGATCAAAATCCTTTGTTTTTATTTTAAAACAATTAAAATAGTTGTTTTCTTTTCAACAGTTTATTAGGAAACTTAGATAAATAGCAAGTAAAAATCTTTGTAACATTATAAATAAATGAATTTATTTATTTTAAAACAATTGGTTTTTATTTACTGACAGCAAACTTTTGGATGCTAGAATATCTTCTGAAATGACACTAAAAATGTGTTCTGTCTGCAAAGGTTGTGAGATCTACTCAGACATGGGCAATCATGCCTCCATGATCCAGGGCATCAGAAACAGTGGGGCCAAACGTTTCATTTTCCGACACAATGATGCCAGCCATCTGGAGGAACTGCTGAGCCGCTCAGATCCACTGACCCCCAAAATCGTGGCCTTCGAGACTGTGCATTCAATGGATGGTGAGTTAAATATAGGACCACATAAGTACTTCAAAGGAGCTGTTTCTCCTTCTTAAACACTATGTCATGGGTTTAATTCAGAGTGTAAAGCCTGAATGCAATCTGATAACAAGTAAGTGAAGTTTATTTATAACTAATTTCGAGAACCACATAGTTATGATTGACCTCGGCTGGTCTCGCATTAGCAATCACAAATATATATATACCAATCAATATACCAATACTGATATACCAATCAGATAAATCCAAATGCATATGCAGTTGAAGTCATAATTATAGCCCCCCTGAATTATCCCCCCTCGTTTAATTTTTTCTCCAATTTCTGCTTAAAGGAGATATTTTTTCAACACATTTCTAAACATAATAGTTTTAATAACTTATCTCTAATAACGGATTTATTTTATCTTTGCCATCATGACAATAAAAAAAATATTTTTTTTTTCAAGACACTTCTATACAGTACAGCTTAAAGTAACATTTAAAGGCTTAACTTGGTAATTAGGTTAATCAGGCAGGTTAGGGTAATTAGGCAAGTTATTGTATAATCATGGCTTGTTCTGTAGACTATAGGGGAAAAATGTAGCTTAAAGGGGCTAATAATTTTGTCCTTAAAATGTTTTTTAAAAAAATGTAAAACTGCTTTCATTCTAGCCGAAATAAAACAAATAAGACTTTCTCCAGAAAAAAAATATTATCAGACATTCTGTGAAAATTTCCTTGCTCTGTTAAACATCATTTAGGAAATATTTAAAAAATAAAAAATAAAAGGGGGGCTGATAATTCTGACTTCAACTGTAACTACCCAGATTTTCTTACCATAGCCATCTTCGTCTTGAAGAATCCCCCCATCCATCCAGACTCCTTTACCTCTTTCCTAGCATTCCAGTTCAGTTCTTGAGACCCAGCTGAGCTCAAACTCGACTAAACGTTAGAGAGCCCCGGGCTTGAGCATTCTCTGAGCTCAGGGCTTTCTCACAGGACAGCATGCCAAACACGCATTTATCTTATCAAGCATTAGCTAAGTGTGAAATCTTGAAATAGAGGTGTAAGTGGGGTCAAAAATGTTTTAAGATTGTACACTTTTAACCATTTCCAGAGGTATATATAAAATAAATGTATGGGGACACTTTACAATAAGGTTCATTAGTTAATGCATTTACTAACATAAACTAATCATGAACAACACATGTACAGCATGTAAGAATCCTAATTGAACATTTACTAATGCATTATTAACATCCAAGTCCATGCTTGTTAACATTAGTTAATGCACCATGAGTTAACATGAACTAACAATGAACTACTGTATTTTCATTAACTAACGTTAACTAGCATGAACAAATACAGTAGTAAATGTATTGTTTATTGTTTGTTCATGTTAGTAAATGCATTACTTAGCATTAACTAATGAACCTTATTGTAAAGTGTGACCAAATGTATATAATATTGTTCAAAACACAATTGACCGTTATTTTATAGAAACACTTTTTATTAATTTTAGTACCGAGCATTTGTATTTAACACATGCACTACTTATACAGTATATGCTTAAGGACAAAGATTGTGTTTCAGGTTGATTGCACGTAATTATGTAGCAAGGACACCATAAAATATAATGTTAGTTTCATTTAATTTACCAAACAAAGTCAAATATATGCTGTTTAATTGTAAGATGATTTTGAGCTCACATGACCAGTCAAATACTACATGCTTTATCTTAACTACCACATTTTTATCAAACACATTCACTCATGAAATAATTTAAGCATAGTAAAATGATTTAGCACATTAATACACAGAATTAATGACCAATATCTAGGGCAAGACAGAATCTGCAGACAATTTTTGCTATTTCTGCGTAGAATTTTGTAAAAAATCTGCATCTTTATGCGTAATGATTTAAGGACTATTGTAACTAAAAACTTAATATGTAAAATAAAAAATAATACAGTTTTAATGTTTATTTGATGTTTACAATGCCAGCAAGTCTCTTATATAATATATCTACTAAAACACAGAAATTATTACTTTACAAACTGTATTTTGTACATTTTCATATTAGTTAATAGCATTACTGAAATTAATTTAAAAACTAAATATAAATTAACACACATTTACACAAGTAAATATATATACTCAATGATGGGCTAGAAATCTGTGGAAATCTGGAGCTGGATCAGAACAGCTTAAAATGATAGTTCACCCCAAAATCAAACCAACCTCAAGTGGTTCCAAAATCTTTATGAGTTTCTTTTTCCTGTTGAACCCGAAGATGTTTTGAAGAATGTTGGAAATGTAGCCATTAATGTCTATATACAGTGATAGAGGGAAAAAAAGTTATTGTAAGTCAATATCTTCTTCTTTTGTGTTCATCAGAAGGGGTTTAAAATGTAGAGGGTGACTAAATGATGGCAGAATGTTTCATTTTTGGTTGAACTAAATGTTTAATGAATGAGAAATGACAATCTCTAATTGTTTCTCAGGTGCAATTTGCCCTCTTGAAGAGCTGTGTGATGTGGCACACAAATATGGAGCTCTGACTTTCGTGGATGAGGTCCACGCTGTCGGCCTGTATGGAGCTCATGGAGCAGGTGTAGGAGAGAGAGACAACGTCATGCACAAGATTGATATTGTCTCTGGAACTTTGGGTAAGAGAGAGATGCGAACATGTCAAGTGCAAGGTTTAGTGTCAAATCACATGTGTCCATTTGGTAACATTGTTTTCCCATATCTGCAGGCAAGGCGTTTGGCTGTGTGGGTGGGTACATCGCCAGCACTGCTGCCCTGGTGGACACTGTACGCTCCTTCGCTGCCGGTTTTATCTTCACTACCTCCTTGCCCCCTATGGTGCTGGCGGGGGCTCTGGAGTCAGTGCGAGTGTTGAAGAGCGATGAAGGACAGGCTTTAAGGAGAGCCCATCAGAGAAATGTTAAGCACATGAGACAGCTGCTGCTGGACGCTGGACTGCCTGTGGTCAACTGCCCCAGCCACATCATTCCCATACGAGTCAGTACGCAATAATATGATTATAAGCTTTAAAGGGTATCTATTATGCCAAAATCACTTTTCAGGGGGTTTAAACACAGTTGTGTTGCAACAGTGTGTGAATAGAGCCAGTTTCTTGGTAAAAATGGATTAATTATTTTTTTTTTTTTGTAATAACATTTGATAAAAACAGTAACACTAAAGCCCCTTAACACATACAGACCTTTCTGGAAAATTACCAGCAATTTGCCGCAAGGGATCATGTGTGAACCGGCCTCCTAAATTAGTTCCAGCAATTGTCCGGAAAAAGAAGTTGTAGCATTACCGGTAATTTGCCAGAATGTTGCGATGTGTGAACGCAAAAGAAAAATTGCCGGAAAGACTTTGTTCATGTTTAGAATGCGCTCACGTGAGATGTCTACTCCAGCCAATCAGAACATTCAAATTCAAATCCATAAAATGCTTAAGATAAATTGCTGTGTTTACCTTCAAGCTCTGCTTCAGTTGCTTGACGCGTGTGCACATGAAGGACTACTCCGGTGAGCGCCAGCACACACACATACACACAAACACACAGCACAGGCTCATTCTGAAAACGTAGTCCCTTGGACGTTTCTGGAGGCCGCGAAACATGGCCTGGGAGTTGCATATTTTTGCAGTTTTTGTTTTGCGCAAATCCACGAGAGGCAGATGTGTGCGCTTTTTCATATAGCAAATGTCTCTCTCGAGTGCCGTTCGCGATCACGCTTTTCTCGTGTAAACCCACCAAAGGCCGCTGTCGACCGACCAATGGACTGACCCACCCTCCTCCTTCCCTAAACCCAACCATTTTTAGAGATTGACCCACCCACCCGCTTACTTCCCTAAACCTAACCGAAGATTTACAAAAGCTGTTCGTCGTCGACGTGGTCAACTCCTCTCTGTGTCTCAAGTCCGCCGACGTACAAGACAAGCTAAAGGGACAAACTGGTTGAAGCGGGAAAGCCCTCCACACGGAGGCCAGCCGTTAAGCACAAAAAGGAATGGCGTCATACCGCCCTCTAGCGTTCTCTTAAAAAATTAAATGCAGCCATGCGTACCTCCGGCTACTTAATTCTCTGCCTCCAGAAATGTCCACGGGACTACATTTTTAGAATGAGCCTGGGTTGCACACACAACAAAAGCCTGACCACTTTTATGTTGATAAATACAAGCGCAGCCATTTAGAGCTCATTTGTGGTTAATGATGTCAGAATTTACCGGTGGTTTGAAATAGATGTGTGAATGTTTTTTTCTGGAAAAAATTCCAGAACGGCTTTACCTGTGTGAACATCAATTTTGTTTAAAAAATTACTGGAAAAGCCTAAATTTTCTGGATATTTACCGGTATCACTGTGTAAAAGGGGCTTATGATTAACATTTTTCCTTTTGTACATCAGTGGGGGAATGCCCGGTCCATTAGTGACAATCTCTCTCTCATTAGCATAAACAGCCCTAAGTGAGAAGCAGTCGTCCATCATTAGACTTTCCACCATACCTGCTGAAGATAAAGTCAAAAACTACTGCAAGTGGCATTAAAAATGTGGAGTTTAAGGATGCACAAAGCAACCATGTATTCCCTATAGTAGACTACAGATAGTCCAGATAGTCAGATACTTCTTCTGTAGTCTACATTTTCAGTTTTTCACAGAGAAAACGATGGTCCTGTTTTTGAATCTGCTGCGATGCTGACGTAAAGACGTTTGTAGCTCCACCTCCTGTGAAAAAAAGAACACAACATCATCCTTCTTGACTTGAGATGACCGCGGAAGTATAAATCAGCCTCAGACTAAAGGTGCAGGGTCACATGACGCATGCCGTAGGGAAAGTAATTGTAAAAATCGCCCTGGAAAAATTGATAGATTATAGGTTCTGAATTTCGATTACTTTTTTTATTAATCACCCAGCCCTAGTGTGAACCAAACAAAGTTGCCAAGCACCAAACAATAAGATGGGTCCCTGCCGGCGTATGTGTATTGTGGTTTGGTGCAGGGTTAAAGAGATAAAAATAAAAATTCTGTCATTATTTAGTTTCCAATTGTCACAGACCTGTTTGAATTTCACAAAATATTTAAAACCGGTAATACTTCCACAGTATTTGTATTCCATACTATTGATGTCAGGGGCTAGCAAATTCCAACATTCTTCTAAATATCTTCTTTCGTGTTCTCTAAAAAAGAATGTGTATCTTAATCCATTGTTCTTCATCCATTATCTGTAAGATGACTGTATGTCTGCTCAATACTTGGACCTATCTGAAAGATTTTTATGTTGTTGTTTTATGACACATTTATTACCCTTTTAGGTATTCCTAACTTTTTGTCTATACATAAAATCGAGGAGTTAAAACCTCTTAATGTGTGTTTCAAAGATTGACAAAAGTGTTTTAAAAAGTCTGTCATCATTTACTTAGCCCATTTAAATTTCTTTTTTTTTTAATGTTGAACACAAAAGAATGTGCTGTATATTGAAAATTGTTGGAAAACAGTAACTAATGATGCCATAGTATTTTTCCCTATGATGGTTGTCAATCAGTTTTTCAACCAGCATTCCTGAAAATATATTATTTTGTCTTTAACAGAAAAAGGAACAGTACAGTAAATGTAACTGAATGTGCATACTACTGTATAAAATCCTCACTCTGCACAGGTATAAATGTTCGCAATGTGTATTTTTCAGGTTGGAAATGCAGCGAAAAATTCGGAGGTGTGTGATATTCTGTTGGAGAAGCATAACATCTACGTGCAGGCGATAAATTACCCAACAGTGCCTCGCGGAGAGGAGCTGCTGCGATTGGCTCCTTCCCCATTCCACAACCCCATCATGATGAACTACTTTGCAGGTGAGTGCTCATACAATTAGGTAAACTGAACTTCTTACTGTATATGTGTATAAAATAATAATGATTTATAACTGTGTTTTTAACAATGTTTTCTGCTGCACAGAGAAACTGCTGGATGTCTGGCAGGAGGTCGGACTGCCTCTGAATGGACCAGCTCAGGCATCCTGCACCTTCTGTGATCGGCCTCTTCATTTTGACCTCATGAGCGAGTGGGAGAAGTCTTATTTTGGTAACATGGAGCCAAGATACATCACTGTGGCTGCACAATGAGTCCGTTTCAACAACTCAAGATGTAGATCTTCCATCAGATTACACTGACACTTCAAACCAAAAAAATCCTCTTCCAATACTAAATGAAACAATGGTATATAAGATAAAACTAGAGGGTGCTTAAAATGTCTTAAATTATTTAAAACATGTTTTTCTGTATTGTTTGCTGTGGTTTAGTGATGGAAAGATAATTTGTTGTATTTGAGTTAATGTACTGCTAAAATTAGTTATTGAGATATTGGTTAAATCCCATGTTAATTGTGTCCTTACCTGCATGACAACAAGCCTGCACATGGACACTTTTTGATTAATCTCAATTATTGTTTTTAATAATACTTTAAGATGTTGCCTGCATGTAAGATCATCTTTAATAACAACATGCCTTAAGTCTTCTTCCTGTTTTGGACCATTTTATTCTCCTGGACTCATAGAAATTCATTAAATGTGGTCAGTTTAAAGAAAACGTTTCTGATAACTTGTTTTAACCACATGGTTACAGTCAGATCTCAACAAAAACAACAGAGTCTGAACACTCTAAAGTTGTCACTTTAGTTGTTTTGAATGGGCCCTCTTTCTAAAAAAACACCACACTGCCACCTGCCGGAATGTATTGGAAATGTTTAAAACATTAATAAATAATATAATAAATGTATTTGAACAGTGGATAAAAAAATAAAGAAGCTGAACACCATATTTGCACATTTTTATTTTATTTTATTTTTAAATTTTTTTCAAGGCATCGATGATACAAATCCCATTTCTGTTTGAAGTTTAATAGCTGGCCATGTTCTGTAAGAGAATAGAAGTGGGAGAAAATGTAATAATGGTACAGGGTCTTTAGTTTCCGTCACGATAAACGCTGTCCAAAACGACAAAGTTTAATCCGTACGTCATCACGGCATGTTTGCTAATATAAAACACTCACCTTGCTGATCCAGTCGCTGTAGGCGCTCACGCGGGTGAACACGGTGGGCTTCTTGTTATAATTGCAGCTCAATCCTGAACCGAAGCTCACGATACCGTGGACCTCCCAGGCTCCATCGCTGCCAGCGCAGTTCAGAGGACCACCCGAGTCACCCTGTGTCGAGTGGGACATGAAAAGAGTTATTTTCGACAAAAACTTCCTCATACAAACTTTTTATAAGACATCCAAGGTAGTATCGCGCATACGATATTGCTGCTTATGTTAGTTAATTAATGTTAACGTTTGGCTTCATTTTTTACTCAAATATATACTTGTTTATTGTAATTTTTTTACTGTTCCACCAAAAAGCAGACTTGTTACCATAGGAACAAAATTGAACATTCATTAGACATCATGCTAATTCTGTGTGAAATGTATGCATTTTCTATTATGCTACTTGATTTTTGCTTAGTTTTCTGCTGTTTGCTTTTACATTTGACTCTTACCTGACGTGCTTCAGAGAGTTATTCTACTCTAATTAAAGTTCATGTTACATTTGTTAATGTTGCAATGAACAATACATGAATTACATTTTTTGTTTTTCTTTGTTAACATTAATGAAAATAAGCGTGTTAGTCCTTGTTCTCACAGTACATTAATGTCAACAAGCACACATTGGATTTGAATAATGCATTAGTAAATATTGAACTATGATTAAGTTTAAGATTAGTTCATCTTAGTAAATATATTAACGGCCGTTATCTAATGGAACCTTTTTTTAAAGTGTGACTAAGTTGGATATAGTCAAATGTGCTTCTGATTATAGAAAAAGATGTCAAGAAGCCATTAAAATCTGCTTACATTACATCCAGCAACAACACCATCTCCACCAGCGCACACCATGCTTGTGGTGACCTGAGAGCCCCACCAGTCAGACTTGGAGCAGGTGGCATGATCCACCACGGGCAGAAGAGCCTGCTGCAGGATATCGGCCAGGGGTCCATTAGCTAGTTATTCACAAAAATAGGTGAGTGGGAAGAAGAAAAAAGAAGCAGACATGTCTAAAATTTGTTATTTGTCATTTTGTTTTCCATCTGCAAACTAAAGCTAAAATATAGGGATAAATGATTCTATAAAAATCCTTTAATACCCATGGAATCATTTCATCAAATGCCTGGAAATGTTTGGTCTTTGCGCTATAAAAATATTGTCCTTTGGTGATCTCAAAAAGTTTTGTCAATGACATCACTATGAAAAATTCTGTGTGAATCTCCCTGACACCTTTATTTTTAAGACTGTAGCAGCACAGCCTGGTCCATAATAACCATCAGCCAGACTTACTGTAGAGACGTCCCCATCCAGTGACGTAGCAGGGAGCATTATGGGGCAGCACATAGCCAGCCTCGGGAAGACATGCAGGAGTGATGGTGTCACCTATGGTAACAGCAGTCTCCAGTTTGATCAGGGCGATGTCATTACTGTGGTGCAGAGAGAGAAATAGGGTTAATTGGATTTAAACACACAACGGTTCAATAAATGGATCTCTGAATAGTCTTTACCGGATTGTGAAGGAGTTCCAAGCCTCGTGGACAATGATCTTTCCAGCACCAATAGCGACAGAGCCGTTCTCCTCCTGGCTCAGGCTATGTTTTCCCAAAAACACTCTGTAAGTTCTGCTACTGCTGCAGGGCCACCAGAGAAAGACAAATAACTTCATTTACATTTAGTCAGAAAATGTAATCAAAGAACGCAAATGAAGCAATTCATTCAAGTGTGACTAATACAAAGTTTCTGATTTAGTTAGAAAAATACAAACATGAAGGAATTAAGATGTTTTTTTTTCATAAAAACAAGGTACTTTTATATATGGTGTTAATACTGTTATCATGAACTGTTACTAAAATGGTTGTTTTTTATTTGTAACCAGGCCTGTGTTTAGGATCTTCTCTCTGTAACTAACCTGATGCAGTGAGCGGCAGTCAAAACCCACTGTTTGTCAATAAGGCTTCCACCGCAAGTGTGGTACCAGTTGCTTCCACTTTTGTACTGGAGGGAGATCTGGATGAAGAACAGAACAGGGGTCAGTAATTATCCTTGAAAACGTTTGTTTGTAAGTCAGCAAATTAACTATACGTTCATTTATGTTATCTGTATGATTAAAACTTCGAGAATCTGGTTGTAAAGTTGTAGAAGATGAAGATACAAAAGTTTATTTTGAAAACGCTATGCTTTTCAGTGTTTTTTTTATTTATTTTTTTACTCCAAATGATATGAAAATTTTAATGAAATACAAAATCAGTTTTTTTTTTTTTCGGTCACTGTGACTGTAGAGAATTAAGTAATGTAATAATTTCATACCTGCCAGGGCCAGCTGTTAGGACGCACATCCACACCTCCCACAACCCTCGTCACAATAGGAGGGAAAGTGGGAAGCCCACAACTGTACGCTGAGGTAAAACAAAACACATCATGCCTCTTTTAATAGCAATAAATATTATAAGGCTTTTTCTTTTATTATATTTTTTCTTACAATATACATTATATATATAATATACAGTTAAAATCTGAATTATTAGACCTCCTTTGAATTTTTTTTCTTTTTTTAAATATTTCCCAAATTATGTTTAACAGAGTAAGAAAAATTTCACAGTATGTCTGATAACATTTTTTCTTCTGAAGAAAGTCTTATTAGTTCTATTTCGGCTAGAATAAAAGCAGTTTAAAAAACATTTTAAGGTCAATATTATTACCCCTTATTAAGCTATTTTTTTGATAGTTTACAGAACAAACCATCATTATACAATAACTTGCCTAATTACCCTTACCTGCTAAGTTAACCTAATTATCCAAGTTAAGCCTTTAAATGTCACTTTAAGCTAAATAGAAGTGTCTTGAAAAATATCTAGTCAAATATTGTTTAAAATAAATAAGTTATTAGAAATGAGTTATTAAAACTGTTATGTTTAGAAATGTGTTGAAAAAATCTCTCCACTAAACAGAAATTAGGGAAAAAAATAAACAGCGAGGCTGATAATTCAGGGGGTTTAATAATTCTGACTTTAACTGTATTTGAGAACCACTTTATTAATTAACAACAATGCTTCTTTTTTGGGATTACACCTTAAAAGAAAGAATATTAAGTCGTCTTACCTCCGACAACCAGAACAGCCAAGACCACAAACTTCATCATCCTTGTATCTTCAGTGTTTGGCTGTTCTGCTGGGGTTTATATACTGGCCAGTGCAACGAATGACCACAATCGTGCAGTTTTGTGGAACAAATGTCCTTGATTGATGTAGGAAAAATAAACACCCTCCTCCCCACTTTCATCCAATGGTGGTTCTGAGGGTACAGTTTGACCCTGTCGTGAAGGATAATCAAATAATTTAAAAATAATTTTTGTTATTGATTAACATTTTAAATATTTGCTATGTCTACACATTTAAGCTCCCCCATTTTTATTTTGTACCACTACTTTGTATAAATGTATTTAAATGAAGAACAAATAATACACAACTTACAAATATATATCTATGTTTGTTATTGATTTACATTAATAGCCAGTTTCCTCTCATAACACCCAAATGCATGAATTCAGATGAATGTATAGTTAGTTGTTGGTAATGTGCACACAGTATTATTTTTCATATCAGCATGTCATCTGTGCATTTCTCAGGAATGGTGACCACCTGGTTTTGCACTGTTGCAGGACTGCACGTGCAATTCTGCAGGACACGTGTGAGAAAGATAAATTTATACCATTAGAGTCTATAAATATTGACCCAAAATTAGTTGGAAAGCCTATTTGCTGTGTTGTTGGATGAAAAGCTGCAGTCAATCGCCAATGAACTTTGTTTATTGTCTCCAATTGATATGATGTAATTTACCTCAAAGCAACAAATCAGTTTGCTAAAAATGTTGAAATGAGAAATGGGCTTGCACACATTGTGTGGTTCATAGTTGTTGTTCTCAGCAAATTATTACAAGACTCTGGGTTCAGTATTGCTATATGTAAAGTTGAAGGCAAAATTATCAGCTTTTTCAGATGTTACCTAAGTGATGTTTAACTTTATAAACTTTTATATTTCCTATATAAATATATATATATATATATATATATATATATATATATATATATATATATGTATATATAAGGTTGAAGTCAGAATTATTATCCCACCTGAATTATTAGACCGCCTGTTTATTTTTTTCCCCAATTTCTGTTTAAGGGAGAGATTTTTTAAACATAATAGATTTATATGGAGATATGTATGGAGAAAGTCTCATTTCTTTTAGTTTGGCTGGAATGAAAGCAGTTTTATAAATTTTAGGGGCCGATATTATTAGCCATCTTACTATTCTTTTTTAATTGACTAAAATAATGTAAATCACCTGTTAAAATATTATGTACTTTAATATGATTAATGTCATCATGGCAAAGACAAAAATTTGTTCAACTATTTTGTTTAAAAATGGGGCGAGACGGTGGAGCAGTGGCTAGCACAAACGCCTCACAGCAAGAAGGTTGCTTGTTCGAACCTTGGCTTGGTCAGTTGGCATTTCTGTTTGGAGTTTGCATGTTCTTCCCATGTACGTGGGTTTCCTCCGGGTGCTCCGGTTTCCCCCACAAGTCCAAAGACATGCACTATGGGTTAATTGGGTAAGCTAAATTGTCCGTGGCGTATGTGTGTGATTGAGTGTTTATGGGTGTTTTCCAGTGACAGGTTGTGGCTGGAAGGGCATTTTCTGCGTAAAACATATGCTGGATAAGTTGGCGGTTGAGTCCACTGTGGCAACCCCAGATTAATAAAGGGACTAAGCTGAAAAGAAAATGAATGAATTAATTATGTTTAAAAATGTGTTTTGAAAAAATATCTCCTTAAAACAAAAACTTGGAAAATCAGAAAAAGAATTTAAATTTCACAGGAGGGCTATTAATATTGTCCTCAACTGGAAGATGTCTCTTGGCTGCCATATACTGCATAAGTGCTGAAATCCCGCATAATGATTTTGCTATCAGACATAGCGACTGATCCACTCTCTTGCCCTATCATGTTGTTTTCCCAGATACACTCCATAAGTTCTGCCACTGTTGCAAAGCAGCAACAAAAACAAAAACGTTCAGAAACTGGGTTATATTCATTTTAAAAAATTTGCAACAACACTGTGTAAAAATAGTATGAAGTGAAATCAACATAGAACTCGCCATTGTACTGAATGACTCCCACATTCTCATATAGTACTGCATTATCACTGACTCTAACTTTAAGAAGTTCTACAGTGTTTTTTAATTTTTCACTCAGCCTATTTCTTAACATTTCTAAACGTAGCTTTCCACTGGAGAATCCCTTCGTTAACTGATCATCAATCAACTGAAGTGTAAGCTGCCATGACCCACTAAGCACAATTTTTAAATGCAGTAAACAGTCACACGTTGAAAGAAATTGTGCCGCCACAAGTGTGATATCAGCTTCCAGGGAGATCTAGGTTAAAAAAGACTTTTACTGTAGTTTGCAAGTGGGCACATATGAACACTGTTTATTGTAAACCATGTAAAGTAATTTCATTGCAGTAATGAAATGTGCATCTACCAGCTGTGAGGATGGGTATCTGTATAGGGAAAAACCCTGTATTTCCCTGTCTAGGGAAAAACACTGACAATTTTTTAAATAATTATTTTTAGGAGGTTTTCACCATTTATCGAAATTGGACAGTGGAGGTTACAGACAGGAAAGTATTGGGATTGGAATGGAACTCCTATGTCTTTGTGCTGCATGTCGGCACGCTTAACCACTAGGATAAAACTGTGAAAAGTATCTTACATTTATGTACTGCTTTCTATCTTTTTTAATTTATTTTTTATTTTACAACACCTGAGGTTTTGGGTGACTAAATGTAAGGATGTTTTTTAACTTTTTAATTTAGTTACTTTTTTACCACTGACCATACCGAACAAAAGTATTGTTCTTTCTTAATAATTTTTGTGCTGGTTCCCACTTCAAATAAAGTCTCTTGAGGTCAGGATAGACCGGAAAGCAAAATTACGTGACACAAGAAGTCTTCGTTTTCTGTGAAATTGATCAAAATGAGGTTTGATCAAGATTAGAACAAGAATGAATGTTTATTTATCTGTTTTTAAGAATTACCTTCAACAACCAGAACCGACAAGATCACAGATTTCATCATGATATACAGAAAAATTCACGCTTAATTTGTCTTTGATGGAAAGAATAGAGAAAAACAAGGCTGAAAAAAGTAGTTCTCTGGTGCACCTTCAACTAAATATTACACAGTGTGAATGTTTTTTAAATACAAAAATAATTAGATTAACCGCTAGTTTCTTTTCTACCAGGTTTGTGTAATTGTTTTTTTTTTTTTTTTTTTTTTAAAGTTTACACTTAATTTTAGGTCACAATTCATGCTATTAACAAACTATTAACTGAGACTATTAACTTAATAAGCTATTAATTAGTTGCTTATTAATAGTTAGTAGGGTAGTAGTTGCATTTAGGTATTGGGTAGGTTCTGGGATGTAGAATAAGATCGTACTTAACAGCTATTAATATACAGTTAATATCATATTAATAAGCAGATTATACGCCAGTATTTAAAAGTGACTTAGGTGTTAGCTTACTCTTTAATTTTCCACACTTTTCCACACTTATGTAGGTGACGGTCCTCATATTTGATCCAGAACATGTGGCACTTTCCATTTTTACAGTTTGTTTGAAATGTATTTTGATAGTTAAAAGATCAAAACACAACATGACTAAAAAAAATAAATTCCATTAAACATAGAGTCTATGCGAAGCACTAAAAATGATCTGGGTTTGGCAAGGCATTACTGTTCATATCAGCGTGTCATCTGTGCACTTCACAGGCCACATATATGAATCCTCACAGATAACTGATATTTTTGGGCTGTTTATCTACAAGGCTAAATGATACTGGGAAGGCTATCTGTACATTGCAACAGGAAATGTCACTGCTCCGTCACACCGTCCAGATCCAGGTTAGCTATAAAAGTGCTGGATTTTTGCCTGTGGTCACTGCAATCAGGCACGATGAAACTTGTGATCTTGGCTCTGTTTATTGCTGGCGGTAAGATGGACGTTAAAAAAGGAGCTAAAAAAAACTGTTGTTCTTTTAATCCTCAGTAGTAGATTGAGGATAGATTTCACTTACAGTTTGCACTGAAGACAACGAACTTGAGCAGACAGTAATTTATCATTTTATGTATTTTAACAGCCTACGGTTGTGGGCAGCCCACCTACAAACCCATCGACTCGAGAGTGGTGGGAGGAAGTGATGTCAGACCCAACAGCTGGCCATGGCAGGTATGATCTCTACAGTTGATTGTTCTCATCCTAAAATGCTTTACAATCAAACTATGAGCACACTAATATGTATTGATTATCTTTTGTTACACTTCTTTTAGAGACTCTGCTGACTATAAGTAGCTTTGCAACTACTGTATGTCAACTATTATTAAGCCACATACAGTATACAATGAAGTTAAAATCAGTTGTCAGTTACATGTTTCTTTCTTAATTCTGCTCTGTATACACACTTTAATATAGTTCAGGAGTGACCGCTGTATTCTGCAACTGAATGTAGCAACAATAATGTTTACGCTAATGTTATGCAGGGTTTATGAAATTGAACTTTAAAGGATAGTCCAAATTTTTAAATTCTGTCCGTATTTACACACCCTTTACTTGATTTATTTTGAAAATTCTTGATAAACACTAATAAAAATGTTGGAAACTGGTAACCATCGACATAAATAGCAGGAAAAACAAATACTGTGGAAGTCAACGGAGAACGGTTTCCAACACTCATAAGAATATCTTCTTTTATGTCTAACAATAACGAAACAAAACAAAAACTCAAACTGGTTTGGAAGGGTGAGTAAATGATGGCAGCGTTTTCTTTTTTAAGAGAACTAAAGGATGTTATTAGAGATGTATTTAATGTGCATCAAAGATGTGCCTCTCTTCTGCTTCCGCCCAATAATGACACTTAAATGGCATAAGAAATAACAGAAAAAGAGGCACAAGCCTTGACATTTGATTTGCCAGATCTCACTAGAAAAAACAAGAACATGCCCATAAGAAACTGAATGAAATACAAAAAGTTTATCTTGACAATAAGATAAAAATATTGCTTCTGCAATCTATAATACTTACTCACTTTCTCACTCAATTTCCTTTGGCTTAGTCCCTGGTTTTTCAGGGGTCACTACAGTGGAATGAACCTCCCACACTCTAATAACTGTATTAATTTAAAACATTTATGAGCCAATCCTAAACAACAAACCCAAAAATCATTTTAAAAAAGTGGAATGGCAACACAATAGTTTGCTCTGAGAAACAGCCTTTCAAAAAACCTTCTGTCTTTTGTATATATGTATATATATATATGTATATATATATATATTAGGGATGGGAAGATTAACCGATATGTATCGATACGCGGTCATGCGCGTGCACGATGCGAGTGCATCGGTTGAGCAGCAGAGGATGAATGAAATTTTGGAAGCAAATCGAGATGCATCGGTTTTTGCGAGATGGACCGATTTTTCCGAGATACAGCTTATATTTTTAATATAGAATGTATTTTTTATTTATTAACAAGTGTTGTCAACCTGTTTTTGGCGCATAATTTAATCGACCTACACAAAGTAAGCCTTAGCAACGGATTTGCGGATGTGCACACACTACAACTCAGTGTATCAGGTGTGCGGATGAAGCTAGTGGTGCGCCCTCAGAAAGCGCGAGAAGCAAAACAAACATATTCCCCACTGAGTTTTAAATCTAAAGTATGGCAAGCAACATTATGGATTTAAGGATGGACGACATGACAGGACAGATGCAATTTGCAAAATGTGCCGCGCATCTGTAAAATACGCGGGCAGTACGACTAATCTGAAATCTCACTTGAAGCGGCGCCACGGTGTTGTTGTGAAAGCATCTTCCAGTGTTTCTGCATCCCCGGCTTTCGCACTGCTTCAACCAGCTCCAAAAGTGGTGAGAAAAGCATTGCAAGTTTTTTTTTCCATGCGCAACAGTTCTGCTCGCTCTACGCCAATAACGAATGCTATTGCATTGTTCATCTGCAAAGATATTCAGCCTAGTGTCACGGAGAACGAAGGTTTTAAACACCTCCTCCTGTTATTTTTTTTTAAATATTTTAATAATAATAATATTAATAATAATAATGATAAAAATAATTGGGTGTCACGGTGGCACAGTGGGTAGTTTGACCACCTCACAGCAAGAAGATTGCTGGTTTGTTATATTTTTATTAGCCTGTTGTTTACAGTGACAGTGATGTTTGAAAGCAGCATAACACTGCTAGTTCACAACCTTAAGTTTTGAATAATCAGTGGCAAAATATATCTTTGTAAAACTTGTTTTCATAGTTGAAAAGTTAAATCACAATTCTTGTTGTGCAATGCTAAATTTATTTATGTTGAAAGAGTGCAAATATATACATATTTATTTAATATATATTGCACTTATACATTCTGTTTATCTTGAAAATACTTAAATAATATGTGCTATATGTTCTAAAATGGCCCTCTACTGTAAACTGACACTTTGGCTCTGAGAGAAAAGCCAGTTTGTAAAAAAAAGTCTTGGTTTTGCTTGGTTTATAAATAATCAAACTCATTCAATGGCACAGCATCCTCTTTCACATCATCTCATAAACTTGATCTAATTAGTTAGTGCTGAAATATCGCATCGTATCGTGATATGGGTGTGAATTGTATCGTGTTGCATCGCAATATGTCACAAATGTATCGCTAATATATCGGATCGTATTCTTTGTATCGAGATGCGTATCGGATCGGCATTATAGCTTAGATGCCCAACCCTAATATATATATATATATATATATATATATATATATATATATATATATATATATATATATATGTATATATATATATATATAAAACAATGTTTAAGTGCTGTTATGTTAAATAAAAATAAAAAAATAGCTGGAACCAAAGTCATGCAGTTTACAGGAGCAGATTTATAATTTAGGGAAGTAACAAAGTTTTATCTGTTAATAATTCTTTGGTTGTGAGACAGTTGTGAAACCACGTGTCAAATTCTGTGTGTTACTTGCCCAAACTGTTTTTTGCAATTTCTCAGTGAAAATTGTTTTCAGACTAGTTTTCTCTGTATATATTTACGCATCTTCATCTCCTCAATATTTCAGGCATCTCTCCAGTACCAGAGTGGCTCCAGCTTTTACCACACCTGTGGTGGCACCTTGATCGACAAGCAGTGGGTCTTGACCGCTGCTCACTGCATTAGGTAAAAAAAAAACAGCTACTCTTTCTCTAACATTAAGAATCTTTAAACCAGAAACCCACTTTCAAAAAAAAAAAAAAAAACTAAATTTGCATTGCGAAATAGTCTAAAACTTATTTAAACTTTTTTTGCCAAGCAGCAGCCGAACTTACAGAGTCTTACTGGGCAAGCACAACCTGCCACTCAGCAGCGAGTCCGGCTCTCAGGCCATCTCTCCTGCCAGGATTATCGTTCATGAGAACTGGGACTCCTACAATATCCGGTTGGTCCTCGTTTCATTTTAAAGCAAGAGAACAGAAGTTTAATCTAAGAGCATGTTTTTAATGCATGTGTGTCTCTCAGCAATGACATCGCCCTGATCAAGTTGTCAACTCCAGTGACTTTCACTGACAAGATTTCACCTGCTTGTCTGCCTGATTCCGGCAGCATCCTTCCTCACAACTCCCCCTGTTACGTCACCGGCTGGGGACGCCTCTGGAGTAAGCCTGCATCTTTTGCATCGCTATTTTCATCATTTTAATCACAGACTTCAACATTCAAAGACAAAATTATTTCTCCAATGTATCCTCTAAATACAGTTAAAGGCAAAATTATTATCTGATTTTTAATCAGAGAGATATTTTTTTCAATTTTTTTTTGAATATAATACATTTAATCACTTATTTATAATAACTAATTTATTTTGTCTAGTTAATTTGCAGTTTATTCGTATTTAGATTAAAGTGCAATTTAATGCTTAACTTAGACTAACTAGGTGGAAGAACAAAATAACTTTGACCAGATCCTAAGGGAGACTGGAGACATTGAGACCGAGTGGTCCATGATCTCCAACTCTTTTGTTGACACGGCCAGAAGGAACTGTGGGTGGAAGGTGCTGCCTGCCGGTGGTGGAAGTTGGTAGTAATGGGGCCCAGGGGCAGACCCAGGACATGCTGGAGGGACCATGTCTCTCTGATTGACTGGAAATGCCTCGGGATCCCCCTGGAGGAGCTGGAGGAAGTGTCTGGGGAGAGGACAGTTCCCTCAGATCTACCTCCTGAGACTGCTGCCTCCATGACCCAGCCCCAGAAAAGCGACAGACAATGAATGAAAGAAGGCTTTTAATCTAGCCAAACTGAAATAATTAAGACTTTCTCCAGAAGAAAATATAAAATATAATACTAAAAGATTTAGTTGGGAAATATTAGACAGAGAATACAATTTTCACAGGAGGGCTGATAATTTTGACTTTAACTGTGCAATGGTTCCTGGTTTGTAGCAATAAAAAAAATCATTATTTTGTAAATTTCAGCCGGTGGTCCCATTGCTGATATCCTGCAGCAGGCTCTGCTCCCTATTGTGGATCAAGCTACCTGCACTAAATCTGACTGGTGGGGCAACCTCGTGACCGACCTCATGGTGTGCGCTGGTGGAGATGGAGTTGTGTCCAGCTGCAATGTGGGTTTGATGTGCACTTACATTTACATTTTCATAGACTTTCATAGACTTATGAAACTGAGTGTTCTCTGATTCAACAAGAAGAGGCAATACACACAAGAAATACTAATTTTACGAATTAACTGTGCTCAGAGAACTAAGTGATAGAGTTGAGGGTTGAGAGTTATTTTAGTATTTTTAGTATTAAGTGATTTTTAAGAACATGACTGGTGCAAATGTAGGTAAAAGTGTCAGAAAGATTAAAAAAAGTGTTTTTACTACAGGTGGTTTGTCAAGCCCACTCACCTGTGTGAAGCACACTCAGAATTGATAATGTTTTAGGTTGTTGTGTGGTTTTTATCCTTGATGTATTTGAAAATGCACCCTAAAAATATAACCTGACTGCTGCAGGGTGATTCTGGTGGCCCTCTGAACTGCCAGAGACGTGACGGCACCTGGGATGTTCACGGCATTGTGAGTTTTGGCTCCAGCTTGGGCTGCAACTACCCCAAGAAACCCTCCGTCTTCACCCGTGTGTCTGGATACATTCCCTGGATCAACAAAGTGAGTATAGAAGCTGCTGGTGACTGAACAAACAACATCTTTTCTTTACTTTCTGTCGACACATTCAGATACCTTAACTGGCCTCCTGTTTTTCAGGTGATGACCTCTTATTAAAGCTTGGAAGGCGTGGATACCTCAAATTAAACAACAAAATAAATGTGGGATTAATAAACATGATTCTCCAAAATTCTTCTCTTTGTCTGTTCTTGGCCATTTTAATGAGGTAAAAAAAAAAGAAACATTAAAATATTTTTCCACTGTACTTGGTTATGTATCGTGGCATAATCAAGATATTTTCTTATGCAATGATGGAAAAAGTAAGACATTTCTGAGAAACAGTTATCTGGATGTACACCAACAAGAATTATGTAAAACATGTAAAACATTCTACTGATGACACTGCTTCAAAGTCACAAGTAATTAAGCATTTGCTGTTCTAACCAGTTACCATTTTATTAAAAATAAATAAATATATAAATAAAAGAAGCTGTAAATAAAATATTTTACCCCAGTCCAAAGACATGGAGTATAGACAAATTGGCTTGTGTGTGAGTGTGAATGGGTCACACGCAGGATTTTTGTAATTAGCAACACGCCTATTACCATACTGTATATTGAATATTATGTTTATTATAGTATAAATCCTTCTGTTGATTTTTTGAATGAATGATAATTGAATTTAAACCGATTAAAGACAATGTGAGGTCCCTATAAATAGAATTGCAATAAATAGTATTCTGGAAATATAAACAAATTTTTATTTTGATACCGTCAACAGACTTAAAACATTTATAGTGAAAAAGTAATAGAATATAGAGATAAGATGAGAGCTTTATGGTTGGGTACAAAACGAGCGTCTCATTCTTTTTAAGCAAACTAGGTCACAGAGTACGCATGAGTGCGAATTGTCAAACAACTAAAAAAAATATCACTGTTATTAAAGCCTCGTAAGCTCAGGAGGAGTTCCGAAAAAATACTGAAATTGAACACAGTCTACTGCTGCATCAAGAAATGCCACCTTGTTGCTCTCATTCATATTGCTTTAAAAAAACAAACAAAAAAAACATACTCTGATGCTTTAAAGATATTTTATTATTTGGAAATACAAATCAAGAAGTCTGTATTTATTAATAATAAAAAGAGCCTGTGATGTGATTTTTTCAATCACTCTGGTCCTGTAAAACTGCATTCACTTATTGGTGTCACTTAATTTCTGGTAGGCTATTCCACATACAGTGTAATGTTTTGTATTAAAAGTTTTTAATTATAACAGCAACATGATTGTTTTATAAAGTATTCGTTCATATTTGTAAAGTACAGTTTCGTAGGAGGAAACAGCTGTGGTGTAATTAAGTGAACAAAAATGTTACAGTAGATGGAAAACCGACTGCTCAAGCGTGACATTTAAATACTGAAAAAGAACTATGCAGATATTATTACTGTATCGATACATTAACAATTTTCTGCACTTCTGTGGTATGTGGATTTAAGGATAATACTTATCTTCCACATTCATAACATGTATTTTGACAAAGTTTGCCACATTTCCTGTGAGGGAAGGGTATAAGTAGGGGTGGGCAGGGCCAATAAATGGTTTTGAAGAACCCCCTTGCTTGCTGTCGATGTTGTCCAAATTGGGACCTAGAAATTTTTTCCTGAAACTGCAGCCTATCCAGTGGGTCCCACTGTGCTCTAACCATAGGTCTACAGTAGCTGCTCACTCAGACTGACAGTCAAGCCACTGCGCGCGGTGTTAAAGGCGGGACTTCGCGTGACTTGATCGTGTTACCATGGCGCTTGTACACAACCTATTGTAGACAGACAGCAGAACATGAGGAGAGGTGTCGAACAGTGAAAAACTTAAAGGCCTGGTGAGTTTTTTTTAAATAAATGCGTCTTTAGTATTTAAATGCAGATTCGTGTTAACTTAACTTCGTGTACAACTAGTGTAAAGTTCAAGACAGAATAATTAGCCCTCCTGAATTATTATCCCCCTGTATGTATGTATATATATATATATATATATATATATATATATATATATATATATATATATATATATATATATATATATATATATATATATATATATATATATATATATATATATATATATATATATATATATATATATATATATAGTTTTAATAGTTTTAATAACTCATTTCTAATAGCTGATTTGCTTTCTTTACCATGATTACAGTACATTATATTTTACTAGATGTTTTTCAAGACTCTAGTTTTCAGCTTAAAGTGACATTTAAAGGCTTAACTAGGTAAACAATTGTAGGCTAACTAGGCAAGTTTTGGTAATTAAGCAAGTCTGTAGACAATTAAAGGGGGTCTATATTGACCTTAAAAAGGTTTAAAAACAATTAAAAGCTGCTTTTATTCTAGCCAAAATAAATTTACAAAACTTTATCCACAAGAAAAACAATGTTACTTTGTTGAACGTTATTTGGGAAATATATTAATTTAAAATTCTGACTTCAACTAGACTGTAGACTGTACATCTGTGCAATTTTTTTTTGCCATGCTAATAGTTTATTTTCGACCTTCTTGAAAATAGGCTATGTAAATAAGAGAATAATAGTGAATATTATATCTTGACTTTTGGGTGTTTGACTGGGGCCGAACATTTGGTGCTACTCCTTTGGTAGATATAGCTGTTTACAACAGACTGCAATTAAATGTTAAATATGGGTGAACTAATTAGCAGGGATTTTTTATTTTTTTATTTGTCAGCAGGTTCAAATGAGGGGTTTTCTTAAAACGCCAAACTGGGTATTTAAACTCCAGCCTAAAACCACAACTATAGGAAGACACAAAGACTCTGACCTCTGTCTACAGGTATTAACCCATATTGTCTCCAGTGTTTCCACTCAATATGTCATTTCAATTGGTTATTGATTTAGTATTTAATTATTCATTCTGATTAGCAGATGATTTAATGTTGGATATGAAAGGCCAATTCCTGCTGGATGAATCACTTGAGAGGACAGTCTTTAAGTGTTTGTCATCTCATGTACTCAGAACAGTGGGGTGGATGAATATCATGCCACTATTGACTGGTGTGAAGCGGACAGCTGCTATGTTATCCGTGACTTAAACTCAGCACACGGGACATACGTTAATGACTGCCGGATCCACAATGCAACAGTGCGTCTCTCTCCAGGAGACCAGCTTCACTTTGGCTATGGAGGATCAACCTATGAGCTGTCCATTGACAACGAGAAATCAGTAAAATTAGCAGTATATTTGAACCTTTGTTGTTGTTTTTGGAAATATAATGGAAGATATAGCAATTAATTCTTTCTAATAAATAATATGATATTTTTATATTAAATAATATAATAAATAACATTCAAATCTTTATAATGAAAAAACTTTTCCTAAACAGTTTCCTCATTTGGCTGCTCAGTCTCCAGTTCCACAGGCCTGGCCACGAGTTCGGACTACCTCTGTTTCACCCCATCCTCCAACCAGACCTCGTCCTATGAGTGCCGGAATGAAACGGGGTTCCACTACAACTGATCGAAAAACTCAATCTAGTAGACCAGGTAGCAGCCTTTTTCTTTAGTTTTAAGAAAAATATATTTATTGTCAGTCCAAGTTAAGTATTTTATGATAGAAAGAAAATGGGTAAAACAAGCTATTGCCAAATAAGGGTTATTCTTGATAAATAATTAATATTTTTATAAATTATATATTTTTTAATGATTAAAATTGTAAAGTATAATTAAAAAAATTACATTTTTTAAATTACAACAATCAAATAACTAATAAAAGTTTAAGAGTTTTAGTTAAGTACTGGAAAAAAAAATGTAATTGAGGTAAAACTGAAACTTAAAAACGATATACTTAAAAATGCATACTATTATTAAAAATCAACCTGACATGAAAAAAACTACGTTCAAATCTAATTCAAAATATGTCCAGTATAAAACCTAAAGCAGTACAGTTCCATAAAAAAATAAAATAAAAAAATTCAAACCGGCACCAAACGGATGGATCCTCATGGGAACCTCTGCTTCAACAACTTTTCATGTTTTGTATCTAAATGTAAACTTCAACAAACTTTTATAGTCTTTTTAGTGAATTGTATTATATTATATAAATATTTCTGACCTTGTATATGCAGTCAAGTCCAAAATTATTCACACCCACTGGGTCCGTATATCTCCTGGAGTCTACATCAAAAACTGTCAGAGCAGAGATCATGATTGGACATGGGACGATAACCATTTTCAAGTATACCCCGGTTTGGAAAGTCAAGGTTTTAAAACTGCCAAAATTTTCTGTTTAACCGTTCCTTAGTTATGTGATTTTTTTATTTACGTTTTTTTTTAAATTAGTTTTTTAGGACAACAGTATCTCCAGCAAAACACATTCTGTTTTAAATTGTACAGAAATCTGTTGTTTTTGAAACAAATAAAGACAGCAGAGTGATTGATATAGTGATTTATTTGAATTATTTAGCCTGACATCCCAGCTGGCACATAACATCATAGACAATAATTTTAGGTAGATGTAGGTCGTAATGTTTGGTGACCAAAATTCAATGTTTTGCCAGCATCTAAGGACAAAGTTAATTTGACGTTCAAAAACGATGTCAAATGATTTTAATATTAGGTTGATTTTAGGTTGTGTTGGAAAGTGACCAAAATCTAATGTTGAGCCAACATCTTAAACCAACGTCACATTGATGTCAAATACTGACATTTATTCATTAGGTATGGCAACCAAAATCCAACATCTGATAGACGTCATAGTTGGTTAACATCAACACATTTTCAAGCTGTAACATCATTAGATGTTGATATTTGGATGATTTTAGAATATGACATTATGTTTACATTATGTGGCTGCTGGGATGTTTACTGTTCCAAAATATTTGAAATGTTTCTCAAAATAAAATGTTTTGTGTTCAAATTGGAAAAAAAGTTTTTGTTTTTTTACCCAGACATTTAAAAAGAATATATTTTAGAGCAGTAATCACAATACCGTGAAACTGATATTTTTATCCAACGTTATTGTACTGTCAGAATCTTTTACTGGGCCATGACTTCCCTTGATACAGTTTAAAAATATAAACTGAAAACACCTAAAAATCCAAAGCTACAGGCTATTTTTTTTACAGTGCAGAATATTTTAGACAATGTTTTCCTTTGTTTACTATTCAACTGTATATGTTTTGCAGGAAGCTGGAGTGCTAACAGAGGATGTAATCTCAGAAGTATAACTCAACCTAACATTTCTCAAAACATCCAATGCCTTCCTATGGACGAGGTGATCAACATCCAGTTAAAAAAAAACACCTTGCTGTGTACACATAAGCAGACACCTCATTTTAATGTTTAATTTCTGCTTTTTGGTGTCAACTGCCTTCCAGTCATTTTTAGCTGCAGAAAACCCCAGCTTTTTTTCGGTTTAAAAATAAGGACTGACCCTTTGCTTGACCATCCATGCTACTGATATGCCTAAATAATACCCTGTTCTTCCTCAGGAGGAGAGCTTGCATAGCCTTGGAGAGGGACATATTCGTGTGTCTCTGTGCTTTGACGATGAGTCCCAGAGGAAGAATGATGCGATCGCGGCCCTGAAGGAGGAAGTGTCAGCTCTCAAGAGCCAGCTGTCTCAGAAGAAGCAGGGTGATCCAGATGTCACACACAGACTTCTCTGCCTGGAGAGTGACATCAAAGAGAAAAGGGATCAGATACAGCAGCTAAAGGAGCAGGTGTGGTAGAACATGTTTTGCTTTCTTACTTTACACTGTGTGTAGTTTTGTGATTGTAATGGATAATGGGATTGTGGGTAATTTTTATCTTAAATTGGTGTGTACATTAATTTCGCTTTTATTTACATTCAGAAGGTTTATTCCAAATAGCATATTCACGCACAATTCTGAACCATTTTGTAATATAAATAGTGTACGAAATAAAAATAACACTTTAAATACTCAGATGCTTATTCAACTGGTAAAAAGAAGTGTGGAATGTTGAACATTTCATGCACTCTACATTTACGTTTTGCTCATGTAACGGAATGGGAGGGGCTATTAGAAACTAAAGTTTGATCTTTTATTTTGGATTGGCCAAGTAAAATTCTCCTACAGAGATGATTATTTCACCTCCTGATTGTAAATGCAGTTTTACACATGAGTCATGGCAGGAACTATTTGATAGTTTGGACTTTTGCCACAGCCATATCACCCTGCAGCCCAAGACCGTTTACTCACTGAAGCTAAGCAGGGCTGAGCCTGGTCGGTACCTGGATGGGAGACCGCATGGCAAAAACTAGGTTGCTGTTGGAAGTGGTGTCAGTGAAGCCAGCAGGGGGAGCTTAATCTGTGCTCTGTGTGAGTCCTAATGCCCCAGTAAAGTGAAGGGGACACTGGGACACTATACTGTCAGTGAGCGCCATCTTTCAGATAAGACATTAAACGGAGGTCCTGGCTTTCTGTAGTCATTTTAAATCCCATGGCACTTCTCGTAAGTGTAACCGGGGTGTAACCCTGGTGTCCTGGCCAAATTCCCACCATTGGCCCTTACCCATCATGGCCTCCCAATCATCCCCATCCACCGAATTAGCTTTATCATTGTCTTTCCACAACCCTTATAGCTAGTGTGTGGTGAGTGCATTGGCGTTATTGTCCTGTGACTGCGGTCGCATCATCCAAGTGGATGCTGCATATTGGTGGTGGTGGGTTGGTGAGACTCCCCTCATGATTGTGAAGCGTTTTGGGTGTATGACCATACATGTTAAATGTGCTATATAAATACACATTGCATTACATACTGTACACTCTTACTGTGAAGTAGCCGGGCTGCTTCCCTTTATCTCTGGCGACCGCACTGGTTCACACACACCCACAGACGCTCACAGACACGCACATACATACGCACATACATATGTCTACTCACCTCTCCTTTTCCTCTCAGTATGCTGCTAGTGACAAAGGGCCCTGTCATCTCGCACGCATCCAGTCATCCATTCCATATCTCCATTTTCCCACAGGTTAACATTAAGCATACATTTACACACACCTTTGTGTTCGTGTCTTTGTGTTTTTGTTTCGTCATTTGTCCGGGAAAGTTGGTCTTCAGTGTTGTGCCGGCCAAACCGAGCGAGCGAATGGCGCCGGCTTATGACGTCACCGGCCGCGCCATGGCAGCACCAATCACAGAAGCGCCAACCGTACCAATTGTTTGTGTTTGTAGGGTACAGCCAGCGTTGTAGAGGAGCGATTTATATGTCTTTAAACCTCTGATTGTTGGTTGTTTTATGTATGTATGTATGTCAGATATTATTAGTAGCTGTGTGCTTTTATATTTAGAGATGCCACATTTAAATGTTTAATGGTGTGATGTAGAAGTTTACCTGAATTACCTGTTTATGGTATGCTCCAAAAGGGGGCGGAGTCTAGCCTTTAAAAGGAGACGGCAGACTCAGAAACGGGGTCAGTTCACCTGGCTAGCGAGCGTGTTGTGGCAGAACCGTAAGCAATCCCCTTTATCAATCTATTGTCTGTGTGACATAGATTTCTTTCGTATATATTGTAGATATATTGTTTTGTGTTGTATATATCGTATTTTGTTTTTTTGTTTTATTGAGTTGTTACTTTGTTTTTTTTTTGTACATACCTTTTGGGAAATAGGTCACTGTACATTTATCTGCACTGGACTGTTTTGCGTTATCCTTGTAAATAAACCATCTTTTTTACACTTCTGGGATAAGGCCATCATTTTTGAGAACTCTTTATTTTTATTTATTTTTTGCTGATGTTGGGCATCCCACACCTGGTAGTGAACCCATTCCGGGTCCATTACATAATTACTCACGGCGGCACGGGAACCATTCTGACACGCACCACTCTGTGGTGAGCACTATCACCGCTCGAAGCTCACAGGGTGCCACAGCAGGTGGCAGTAGTGAGTTTGTGGGTCGCGGGCCGTCGCACTTACACATACACTACGGTCAATTTAGTTTATTCAATTCACCCACAGTGCATGTTTGGACTGCTGGGGAAACTGGAGCACTTCTCATAAAGAGATGTAAGGAGTGTAACCCGTTGTCCTTGCCAAATTCCCACCATCAGACGATCTAATGATCTGATCATAATCATCCTCATCCACTGAATTGGCTGTATCACTGTCTCTCCACGTCTATAGCTGGTGTGTGGTGAGCGCACTGGCGCTGTTGTCCTGTGCCATGTCCAAGTGGATGCTGCACAATGGTGGTGAAGTGGGAAGAATCCCCTCATGATTTTGAATTGCTTTGGGTGTATAGCCATACACAAAAAATGCGCTACATTCATTCATTCATTTTCTTTTCGGCTTAGTCCTTTTATTTATAAGGGGTTGCCACAGCAAAATAAACTGCCAACTTATCCAGCATATGTTTTACCCAGCAGATGCCCTTCCAGCTGCAACTCATCACTTAGAAAAACCCATTCACACACATACACTTTGGACAATTTTAGCCTACCCAATCCACCATAGTGCATGTCTTTAGACTTGAGTGGGAAACTGGAGCACCCAGAGGAAACCCATACAAACACGGGGAGAACATGCAATCTCCACATATAAATGCTAACTGACCCAGCCGAGGCTCGAACCAGCGACCTTCTTTTAGTTAGATGACATCGCTACCCACTGTGTCCCTGCTCCGCCTAAATGCGCTATATAAATATAAATTACTTACTTAGTTACTTGCTTTTACTGTATTTCACCATTGAAAGGATTGGCTGGCCAATCCTGGAAATGGTTATAATTTTCCATAAAAAAACTTTTTCTTTTGGTATGACACTATTAACTCTAATACAAAGACCGTAAGGTTGGCTTCAGGATACATCCAACATACAGTATAAGGCCAGTTTTTCTTGTCTTTTTTTGATAATATGCAGCATAATTACTATTGCCATGCAGTAAATATTTAAGTTAGTTATAGCTGAGATTTATATAGGGTCTATATGTATAGGGTGGGTTTAAAAACACCTAAGGATTAAACATGGGTTTTAAGGTCCATGTTTTAATACTGATTTTCATGGCCAATGCCTGTACTGTAAAAAAGGCTGGGTTCCACACAATCCCTTCATCTCGTCTCAACTCAAATCGATTAAATTAACTTAATGGTTTTTACAATATTATGTTGACTGAACAAAAAGCAATTAAGTTATCCCTAAAAACTCAAGAACTTTGTTATTTGACTTCAATTAAAATAGGTAGTCTAAAGAAGCAGCAAATTTTTTTGCTAGTGTATAGAAGCTAGTTAAAAATGAATGATACTGTTATCATTGAAGTGTTATCAAAGTACTTATTTAAAAATGTAAAAAAAATCTGAATATTTACATATGTAGTTTTTGTTTATTTATTTATTACAAAGCAACACTGCCATCTACTGACCTAGAATGCATAATACAACTTGTCATTGACGCCATTTAGTCAAAGCAGTTACAGTATGTAAACTTTTCACAAACACAAAAGAAAAACCTTTACATTTTTAGTTGTCATGTAATCATACTTTACATTTAGATTCCTATAATAGTTTGATGATAAAATACTGTATAAATGACAATACACTACTTGACAAAAGTCTTTCCAAGCCTATCCAAGTTTTAGGAACAACAAATAATAACTTGAATTCTAGTTAATCAAATGGTATTTGAAGTGGCTAATATGATTGGCAAAGGCCTCTAGATTACGGTGTACTCCAATAAATATAATCATGCTTTGATTATTAATTATTTAATTAGGACAGTGAGGTCTGACTTTGCTTAGATAAAAGTCTTGTCAATTAACAGAAATAATAATGTACAGTATAGAATATAAAGTTATGGTGCAGTGCAAAAAGAATTAGCATCCACACATCTCTGCAGTGACTCAAATAACTTATTAATAAAGTTGTCTGGAATGGAAAAGAGAGCGTTCTTGCAGGACTCCCAAAGTCCATCAAGATTTTTTTTGGATTCATCTTCAATGCCTCCTTCATCTAACTCCAGATATGCTCAATAATGCTCATGCCTGGTGACTGGGCTGGTCAATCCTGAGCACTTCGACCTTATTGCTTTCAGGAAATTTAATGTGGAGGCTAAAATGGGAAGGAGCTCTATCCTGCTGAAGAGTTTACCCTCTCCTGTGGTTTGTAATGTAATAGGCAGCACAAATGTCTTGATACCTCAGGCTGTTGATGTTGCCATCCACTCTGCAGATCTCTTGCACGCACCCATACAAAATGTAAACCCAAGCCATGATTTTTCCTTCACCAAACTTGACTGATTTTTGTGAGAATCTTGGGTCTATGCGGGTTCCAATAGGTCTACTGCAGTATTTGTGATGATTGGGATGCAGTTCAACAGATAATTCATCAGAAAAATCGACCTTTTGGAACTTTTCCAAATGATCAACTAGAAGTCAAGTTATTATTTTTTGTACTTACAACTGGGATCAATGACAAGATTTTGTCAGGTAGTGTACAGCCATTATCTTAAACACTGCATAAACATTAATTTAATGTTTCACAGAACTTTGAAAGGTTGACGTAAAACATGCATCTTTCACATTATTTATATACTTTTATCAAAATGCCCCAAATCCTTTGCATTAAAATCCATCAACAAATATTGAAAGATCATGGCCACTGAAGTCTGCTATACCAGGAAAAGGCAAAAACACTCATTACAGATAGTAATTATTCAAGTTTCTTTATATTTAAGGTTTAATTTAAGCAATGCTTGCATTTTGGTGAAGCTATTTCTCCACTTTCCAAATTCATCGAAAATCTTTCAAGGGCTAATTAATAATTAACTGCTGCGCCTCATTTCAAGCTTGATCTGTTTAATGGATGCAGATGCTGGAGCTTCAGAGATGTTCTGGAGAGATGCTTGAACAGACTGTGACTGAGAGAGATCAGAAGATCAGCGCTTTATTAGAACAGATGGATAAACTCAGGAGACAAAATTCTTCCTCTACAGGTATGAGGATGCTATTAAGTGGATGACATGTATAGGTCATTTACATTCCTGTAATGTGGAAAAAAATATATAAATACTTTATCACAGAAAACCATATTTCACACAGGGTTAAACTTAATTTATGTACATTTAAATGTCTAAAAATACACTTTATACTCCATTTATAGTTCATTTATATTCATACTAAACTTCAGTTTGAAGATATTACTACTATTAAACTGTATTTTCTGTATTTTATTTCGTACTTTCTATTCATCCATTTAAATTGTATTTTATATTGTACTTTCTATTGTTTGAGTCATGATTTCAACAAAACAGCAAAATGGTTTATAATAAAAGTTTTTGTGATTAAATTTTGAGTAATATGGATGGAAATACACTGTTTTGTAGTGAAATTACAAATAAATTATTGCATAAATAAAAATATTTTGACATTTTTGTGGCATGTCTGTATAGTGAGTAAGATAACTTGTTGGAGATAAAAGTTTTAGCACAAAAACATTGAAAAAAAATATGTAAGTTTTATCAACTTACTAGATAACATATTATTTTATTGCAAATATCCAAACTTTGAATTAAAAAATAATGCGTAAATGCATAAAAAACTTTTTAAGTCATCCAACAGGTCTAACATACTAACCAGTACCATATTTGTAGCATGCATGCACCATCCTGTCCGATCTGTGGAGTTATTTTGTGTTTTTTTTCACTTTCAGCACTGGTTAGCAGTCTGCAGAGAGACTTGTCTGCCCGAGAGAAACAGGCTCTAAAACTAGCCGCTGAGGTGGACAAGCTCAGACAAGATGTGAGACGCAGAGAAGCCAAACTCTCAGGCATTATGGACAAGGTTCCTGCATCCCTCTCCTTCTACAGCTGTTCAGCTCTCTAGGTTAACACGTAGCTTTCAAAGTGTTTTATCAATAAAAGATCACACTTTCTCTGGTCTGATCTTGTTTTAGAAGTTGAAAGACTCCCAGAAGCATCAGAGTGAGCTGCTCGCCAGGCAGAGCGAGGTGGAATCTCTCAACAAAGTGAGTGTTTTATGAAGAACACCTTTACAGGCACAATAACGCATTGGTAACTCACAAAGATGACCTTATTGAAATAACCCCATGTCAGAGTTTACATGCAAACCAATAACTTGGCAAGCAGGAGAAAAATACTGTAGTGATTTGTAGTAAATACTATAGTGTTTTTGAACCATACTATAGTAAAGTACTTGAATTATTCTGTTTTGGCTATATAGTTGCTGTGGTAATACTTTAGTATTATAACACAAATTCTACAAGAATATGGTACATTATACTACAATACACCACAGTTTACTGTAAAGTATTACTGCAGTAAATATTTTTTAGTTTATACTAAACTGAAATTCAGCTATTTTAATTGAACTAGAACTAAAGCAGCAAAACCCTTCAACAGAAATCATCAATTCTAATTTAACAAAACCAGTTGTTGTTTGTTTACTTGCTTGACTACAAAAATCAAACTGAAAATAAATGTTTCAATTTAATGTAATGATTTAAAAAAAATGTAAATACCGTTAGAGAGGACAATGCATTGAACTCCATTGTGTTATGAATGTCACTGTTTGTTTTTACCGCAATAAGTTCATTGTTAAATGAATAAGTGTGTATGGATGTTTCCCAGTGTTGGGTTGCAGCTGCATAAAACATATGCTGGATAAGTTGGCGGTTCATTCCTCTGTGGCGACCCCAAATTAATAAAGGGACTAAGCCAAAAAGAAAATGAATGAATGAATGAATGTATAAATGAATCAATATTAGACAGGAGTTACTTTCTCAAGTTTAATTTAATACCTTTGGATCGTCATTAGACAAAATTTGGGCACCCCTGGTCTACAGAAGAAATTGTCCAATATTTAATTAACTTATCTTGCCTACTTAACATATTAACCTGGTTAAGTCTTTAAATGATACTTTTTAAGCTAAATACCAGAATCGTGCAAAATAAATAGAAAAATATTATGCAATGTCACCATGGCCAAAAAATTAAACAATTATTAGCGGGGTTAGACGGCATCTGTGGACATTAAAAATATCTGTGGGTTTATGTGGACTAAATTTGTGAGTATTGTAACTAAAAACTTAAAACATGAAATAAAAAACAGACTTTTTATTCTTTATTTAAGGTTAAGGAAGCTTTTTAACTTTTATTTAGGTTTGCAAATCCAATTAGATCCGCTTGTTTGGTAAACAAAGTCTCTCATACAATATATCCAATGAAATACAATTCATTCATGTTGTCCCAACACAAATCGATTAAGTTAACTTAACACTTTTAAAAATGTATGTGGATTGAATATAAAAAATTAAGTTGTCCCAATGAAATCTCAAGAATTGTGTTGTTTCAGCTCATTTTTATTAAGTAGTTTGAACAAGTAAAAATATATATATATTTTTGAGTGTATGTAAATGGACACTTTTGCAAACTTTTTATATATATATTTCACATTTGCAATGTATTTTATATATGTAAAATCCAAATATGAACTTGTATGTCATATATGTCATTTGCATATATTGACATATGTCAGATTTCTATGGGGTCTTTCCTTCTCTGCTACAGCAAAGCATCTGTTGCATCTGTATGTGCTTAAATTAATTCCTGTCACACATCACACTGCACTCTTCAGTAAACTGACAGAGAGCAGGTTAATACGTTTACAAGCTGGGTGAAAACAGGTTAATGTGTTTACATGATCACATGCATTGTCGGTTTATTAAATGCAATCGGGTGAAGAAGTGCATGTAAACATACTCTTATCCATTACTTACCTCCACACAGCTTCCCACAATACCCAGCTCCGGAGGCTGATGCCTTGTCCATTAGGCCACTGGGCCAGATAGTATTCATTTATGAAATTAGACGTCATGTATCTGTTAATTATGTGTGCTGTAGGAACGAGCTTCTCTGCTGACAGAGCTGGAGAAACTGAAGCAGCTTCATGAGCAAACGCAGCAGCGAGAACAGAGAGTTCAAGAAAGGCTTCAATGTACTAAATCAAGGGTGAGCAAGCTTAAGACAGGGGAAAAAGTCAGGTAAAATAACTCCTGTATCTATTTTGATAACCTATATGAAATTTCTTTAAAGTTTGACAGTTTTCGCGAGCAGATTGTCAGGATTGCACACGTTTCTGACAAGCAACCAGACCAAGAGGTATAAGAAAACATTTCAGTTTATTCTAAAGACAAGTTTACATGAAATGATTTGAAAATTGCTGAAACATTTAAAAAAAAGTTATCTCTAAATATTTGTTAATGTCATTTTAAATGTATTTTTTTCTTTTAAATAAATTCTATGGTATTATTTTAAATGTCACAGAAATTTGATTTTGATACACTTTTGTTGAAAAAAGGCTCCAATCAAACAATCAAATAATTGTGGTGCCACATTACACATGACATATACACAAAAATACATTTAACTTGCATCCATATATTGTTTTAAACTGTTTTATTTGGGAAAATAGGAATAATGGGTCAAAATAGATAACAATATAGATTATGAAAATAAACCCTTTCTAAATAAATATTTCTCTTTTTTAATTGCATGCAAATTCTAGGATGATACGTTAAATGTCACTGAAAACTTTTTTGAATAATCACAAATAAATGTTTTCCCAGTTCTGGGTTGTGGCTGGAAGGGCATCCGCTGTGTAAAACATATGCTGGAAAAGTTAGTGGTTTATTGTGCTGTGGCGACCTTTGAAATAGAGACCAAGCCGAAGGAAAATGAATGAATGAATGAGACAAATAAATGCTTGTTACATAACAGTAGAAATAAATAGAAACTAATCTGATATCATCATGATTGAGCAGATTTATAAACAAAAATACTAATAATATTATATATCATATTTATATTGATATATTAATATATAAAATATTAAAGATATTTACTAATATATAGGTATTGAGTATGCTCATTCTTTGCTAAGTCATGGAAATTTGCAACTTTTGATTTAGTGGCTAAGTTGAATGAATTTGTACATCTCATTCATACAAATTAGTATGATTTGCTTATGCCCTAATGACAGTTAGGTTTAGGGGTGGGGTCTGGTGCCACGACCTCGTTTTAAAAATCGTATATTTTTATATGACTGAACTCAAACAAATTAGCCACTAAACAGACATACTGTTGCATGAAATAGTTTCATTTTCTTGTGAGATCAGGCTCACTTATTGTACTTTAACTTTTTCATATTTCTGATGTCACATGACATTATAAAGGTAATATTGACATCACATTTGTATAGAAATAAAACTTGCATCTGATTGAAAAAATGTTGACTGGAAAGCTTTAATGATATTATTTTATTTTATTTTTTGTCATTTTGGAGCCTGCCAGTTTTATTTTGCCACTTTCATTCTGAAATATCATTTTGGAGCCTGTCAACTTCATTCTGAGTGGCCAGAATATTGCAAAATTCCACTGGAGAAAGAGAGGTTTTAACAGATATGAATGTGTGAAAATTCTGCCAGATTTTGCATTGTCGGATGAACTTGTTCATGCAGGTGCTGGACTGTTTATCAGAGAAAATGGAACAGATGGAGATGTACAAAACCAAAGTGCATGACTTTGAACTAAAACTCAAAGAGCAAGCTCACACACAGAGGAAAATATTGGACGAGAGCCAGGAATTTAGAGCTAGACTGCACGAATGTCAGGTATTGTGTGGTGGAAACATTGATTATGCCGTGTACAGTTGTTTATCTGTGTTACAGCAATGCACACCATGCTGCACAGCTATGTAATGTCTGTTTGCATTTGTCTATAGAGTCGAGTGCAAGATGCATGTATTGTGGACACAGTGCAAATGGAAATAGCTGGTCTGCAGGAGATGAATCTGAATCCTGTGCTTAGTTGGGTTCAAGAGCATTCCCTCTACACACTGAATCTCCTGCACAGTGTATTGCTGAATATGACTCAGAGGTTACAAGAAGCAGGTCTTGATGTGTCAGTGAAAACTGGAGGTATATGCTTCAGCTAAAATTTAGCATGGGTTTCACAAAGCGAGAATTTCAGTGTTCATGAAATGCATTACAAAAATGAAGGTGACACTTTATTTGAAGGGAGTGTTCATAACACTGTCATGACACATTTATAATAATGAGATGACACATTCCATGAATAAGGAGATTTTATACATGCTTATTACAACTGTCATTATGTGTCATTCGCTCAGTTATGTCATTGTTTAAGATGTCTTTGTTATGAAAAATTGACATGAAAGCTTGACATTATTAAGACAGCATAACCTGTCATAAATCTGTCATAAACATGATTGTCATTAGGCCATTATAAATCTTTCAGGAATATTTTTCTGATCACTTTTCAATGGAACAAATTAATTAGTCAGTAATTTGTCTCACTTAAAGTGTCTCAATACTCTGTCCGATAAATTAATAAAAGCGTGATTAATATTTAATAACATTTTATAACATTTTAATTACAAATTCCATGTGTGCCACTCTAATAACAAAACTGTTATAAAATTACACAATTCTAATGGCCGCATGGCAATTAAGTCTATAACAGATTTATGACAATTTATGTTGTCTTGGTTATGAAAAGTTGTCACGACAAAGGCAGAGACAAGTGTATTTGTTTATGTCAAGCTGCCATAAAGACATCTCAAACAGTGTCACCTTTGGAATTAAAATAAAACAACTGAGTGATTGACACTTAATGACAGTTAAGTCATTAAGCATGCATAAAATCTCCTTCATATTTATGATGTGCCAAATCATGATTATAAGGGTTTCATGACTGTCTTATGAAGGCTCCCCTCAAGTAAAGTGTTAAAAAATTAATTAGACCTCAAATTCAATGTGTTTCAAATTCAAAAGTAGCCTTAATAACTGTCATTTGTTTTTATGTAGGAGTATTAGGTGCCTTACATATTTTGTGC